ATAGGAAAAGTCAAAACGAACTATCTTAATACGGGATCGTTTTAACACAGTAGCTCTCGATAACTTTTTTTATGCAGCTAACCAACAAAAATCAATCAAAGCTAAGGACGCGCTTTCAAACAAAGCTGTCTTCTACAAATTTAGTAAACTGGTAGCGTTGTCGCTGATCCAGGCTGCCGCGGTTGAAGTTCAGTTAAGAGGCTACTGGGAATCATCAGCCTCAGCAATTTCCTTTGCTCTTTGCAATCTGTACATTCTTGTCTCTTGTGGGATGTCTTCCAAGAAACTCAAACAGGTCAACGAACCACAAAACTGTAAAACGAAGAGAAATTTTTATTTATTTCCATCACTTGTCTGCTTGATACTGTATTGATATTTTAACGAGAAATTCTGTCATGGTCACTTATGGGAGTTGAAGGGTAAAGAGGGAGTAGAGGAGGGATTAGTCGTCGCTAAGAGAGTTTGATAGAGTGGGGGATGGGGGGGGGGGTAAGAATGCTACTGAGCCTTAGGAGGGGTATGGGTAAATGTTATTGTGACACAACCAAAATCCTCGTATGGTCATGAGGACTTGTACAGCTAAACCTTCAAGAAAAGAACAGGTGTTTTTGACTGGTTAGAGCAGAAAAAGATTGGTTTTAAACATCCCATTGTCAGTAACAACATTAAAAGAGCAACAAAACGTCGTCTGCCGCCTAAACATCAAAATTACAGCCTTGCAACCTCGTTTTTAAAGTGGAGAAGCTTGAGAAAGAGTCAGTCATCTTGAGTACAAGGCAATATATCTGCCAAGTGACTGGCTATATTTTGTGCAACTGAGATAGTCAAGTGTCCAGCCTTCCACAGTTCTTTAATTCCTGTTAATAGTCTGTATACATGAGAGCCTTTTTAGGTAATAACTTAGTCGGTTAAATTTTCCCTCAAAGTTCTGAGCTGCTATGATTTTATCCTCACTCACTTTGATGGCCATTTTCCGGCGAATTTTTCTACATGGTGTTAAATGTCCCTCTTCCCAATCAGTGACCTAAAATATCACTCTGAATTCCAAAAGTCAAGAGTGCAAAACCTTTCTTGTGAAAAGAATGAGGCTGCTTTTTGTCTCAGCACCTTTCAGAGGCCTCACACGAAAACTGACCCGATTTCAGAGAGTCTTTGGGCATCTTGAAAACGGCCTTGTATTCGTATCACATTCATGAATTATCAATGTGAATTGGTTGCAATACTCACTATCAGTGTGGAATATGATGGTGTCCTCAAGTATCGCTGGTCTTTGTGGATGCCAAACATTAACACAATTTGGAGGACTATCACCATTACCCGACAAAATGTAGAGACTCCTGCGAAGAACGTTGCTCGACCATCCAAATCGAAAGTACGGTTAGAGTAAACAACACCACATGGCCAGGCGATTAACAAGAAGAACTGTGTAAGAGGTACGCTCATGAACAATTAGTATTGACCATCACCCTTTGGTTGTTGGTACAAAGCCGTAGAGAAGCAAGTGGTGTTCCAACGAGGTTCCTAATGCATTCTAACTTAGAGAGAAAAGAGGGCATAGCCTTATTGTCCAGTAGGGACATGGCCTTGTTGTCCAGTGGGGACATAGCCTTGTTATCTCATTGGAGACTGTGCTCCAGACACTGTCTGTGGCTGATTAGAATATATCTGCTGCATGACTATCTAAGTGGTCTGACCTTGGCCGGTTTGACGTTTGGCTTCACCTGTGATTGAAATAACGAATTATTGCCTGAGCTAATCTGACGTTTGCTGTGGTCACGTGACTCTGTTTTGTCTTTGAACTCTATTGATACTTTAATTAAGATATTTAAATATCAGTAAGAGTTGGTTCAATGGTAGCAAAAAGATGTCCTAACTTTTTAAAATCAAATAGCCTCAAAAGCAATTTATATTTAAATTATCAATTGTTTCCCTGAAGATTTTATCAAACAAAAGTCAAATTAGTGGTTATTTAAGGTACAAAGTTTACCATGAAGACACCTCAGCCCCTCAGAAGCACTCTCAGCTGCTGAGGTTTCGTTTACAAAATCTTATTAACTTTCGTTCTATGTTGGAAAAATGACTAGGTTGGATGGAAACTGCGACTTTATATGATACCATTATCGAGGTTAAACATTTAAAATGACGTTTTCTTTGAGCCATAAAACTCAAGGTCCTAAAATGTTTGCTTGATGATAAAGCGGCATTTGTGCATGTCTATCAATTTTCGCAGTGTTATTAAAAGTTGCGGAGCGACTTCAGATTATTGCTGAATAACGTATATTGCAGTTAACTATCGCGCTTTGTCACCAACCCTTTTAATAAAAGTAGTAACTATATGAACGTAACCTTTGGGTCAAATCAAAAAGGAACAGAGGAAATGACTCCAAGAGTCCTGGAAATTGGAGATACTTCATGCTGTCACAAAAGTACAATTTCATTGTTTTACATTTGTTTTTCGAATTGAAATTGCTCACAGTTTATATTGGTGGGCTCTTAAATGCGAAGATCACCTCTTTATAACATAAAAACCTGATCTTCAGTTCTAGCTCGACTAACCTGCCAACTAATGAAGAAAATATCATCTGAAAGGGATCAACTGTAGTAGACCCGAAATAGTATGATTTTCATTGCATCCTTTTATCCTAATTCTATTCTTTTAACTGCGGAATCTCGCAGCTATGGACATTGAATTGAATGAGGCCCCTAAAGGACTCCTTTTTGAAGTCCCTAGCTAGATTTTTACAGCAACGAGTTGACTTTCCTAAATATGGAGAATATGGCATGTCTCCCAAGCGCGTGATCTCGTGATCCTTTTGGGGCAAAAAATTAGTATTTCCATGGTCTGTACCAGAAATTCCGCTCCATTGATTTGACTAACACTCTGTTCGTGTCCATCCATAGAATGCAAATCATTTGTTTCAGTATTGAGGAACATTGTCTATTTAGCGAGAGTCTAAAATTCGAAATCATGAGGTCATTTTTACAATTTTATAAACATACCTTCGTTTTCTGAGCGTTTTGAGGCCCTTAAAAACTCCTCTTGCTTCGGACACAAACAGCAGATTGGCACTGATCGTTATTTCATCAACTTTCTGCGAAGAAACTCGATGCTTGAATAAGACACTTGAACGGTTTCTTAGAAAGACAGAAAGAGGAGCCATAAGCTTGTTTATGAAGCAACCCAAACATTGAAAAGATGAGTTACGCTTAGCTTACAACAAACACGACTCCAGTTACAATCTGCATATAAGCAATGATTATTTCGCCGATTTTCTGCGTAAGAACGCGATATTCTGCGTAAGAAAGCGATACCCGAAGAAATTATAAAGGCGATAGGTTTCCTAGAAAGATAATGAGACAAGCTTTGAGGCCGTTTACGCAGTTACCCAAACATTCGTAGAAAAATGACATTCGAGCGGTTCGGTTGCTTTTTCTGAGAACGTGAATTGTAACGGTGGTCGTATATCTAGAATTAAACAGACATGAGCTTGTTTAGAGGAATTGTTATCGTTTTGTCCTGATTCGGAGAAATAAAGAAGAAGTGTTTATCACAGAACCTTTCATTGAAGGCGGTTAATCGCGCGCCCTTCCTATGTTTGTAATTGCGTTCAATTTTAAATTCAAACACACTTTCATAATTTTTAAAACCTAGATTGCATTCGACACTCAATTGAAAGCAGCCGCATTTGCGAAATCAAGATTCTAAATAAACTCAGAGTTTCATCATTTATTGACAGTGATTTCGGGGAATGCAAAGAGATGGAAGTAACTTCAATTACCGTCGATATTTAGTACTCTGCTTGAAAGCATAATACATCTTTATAAATCCTAAATAACTAACATAGTTGTGGCTCAACATACTGCCAAATATTAGTATTCCTTAAGACAGCACGCAGACATTGTTAAAATAACCACATCATGTTTTAATTGACATATTTGTTTTTCTATATCATTGACCATAACAGGGAAATAAATTCCCCTAGCGAACACGCATGATTTTTCTCCGCGGTGAACTGAACTTCTTTGCGCTTTTTCTACAAAGCATATAATTTCGAGTTGTGATACTACATCAGGAAACCAAACAGCAATCTAAGAATTAACCTTTTAACCCCTCAGAGTGACTAGCATCTAATTTCTCCTTACAATATCAGCCCTGAATTAGGTCATCAAGTTCATGAGAATAAGGGAAATGATCAGTAACTAAAGAACTCTTGACTGTTTCGCAAATTCTCCCGTTTTCAGATCCTTAAGAAACGTATAGAGAACAGTATGGAGAATATACATACTGATGTTAGGGTGTAAAGGGTTAACTAAAAGCGACCCTTGTCTCATCACTACGCAAAAATAGTTTATCTTTAATTACTTCAGAAACATTGGAAATCAATTGTAAGAATATTTTTCTAAATCAAAGACGAGAACAACAATGTTGCAGTTTAGGTCAGGAGCACTCTGACCATGTACAAACTTTATTTTTTTGCGTTCACATAAAGTGACTGACTACATCTCTAAGTCAGTAAGTTCAAAAAGAGTATAAGAGTATATTGATTAGGCCCAGTCAGGTTAAAAAAAACTAAACAAAAACTCATCAAAAACTCATCACAGAGAAATTTGTCGGTTTTTTTTTTAACTGATTACCTCTATTACATAACTGTGAACAATCCGACTGAAAAAAATTCAAGCAAACGTAATATCATGGTGTAAAGTACAAAAACATGAAACCTAACATCGCAAAAAAGGATGGCTACAATGAGTAACATATCTCATCAACTTTACCAAATCGTTTCAGGCATCTCTAACGTTAACTAGGCTCAACACGCTGGTATATCTCTTAAGCTAGATAAAGGTTTTCTTTCCTTGTTCAAATGGCATCTTTGGGTTACATGGCAGAAGACTGAATACCAGGCCCCTGAGCCGTCTGTGCAGTGTTGTCAGTTTCTTCCTCTCCTCTTTGTGTAACGATCATTTTGTAGAACAATCGAACGCTTTCAAAGAAAGAAAAGCAGACCAGAAAACCAAAAATCTGTCGAAAAAGGAAAAAAACTCTTTACTACAGGTTGGGTTTAGTGAGGAAAAAAGTTTTGGATTACTTAAATCATTAAGTTTTACTCCTCAAAGAAAAACCTACTGTCCCCTTATGAGGCGGCTGTTTATGTTTTGTATTTAGATAATTTGGCTTCAAACATTGAAAACGGATTCTACTCGGCGAACTACCTACGAATCTGAGTTCTCTTCATACGCCTATTTTCTCTGTAATGATGAAAGGTCCCATAGCATATTCGTAAAATTTTTCCTCTCTGGCACATATTAAGGCTTAAGGGATAGACTGCCGTTGTAGATTACCAGTGCCAAGTAGAGTTCATCAAGGTTCATCCTTATAGCCAAGGGCAGTAAGTCGTAAGCCTTGGACATCTCATGCGCATGAAACACGAGGGTCAGTGTACAAGCCACCAGTAAGATGGTCAGGATAATATGCACAATGAAGCACTGTGGAGAAAAAGAGAAAAGCTGAATCTAATAGGTTCAGAAGTAACTATATCGCCGGACAAATGATAAAACTTTATTTTAACTTTTTATTTTATCATTTTCATTATCGTCATCATCGTCTTGGTAATGGTCATCGTCATCATTATCATCATCGTCATCGTCATAGTCATCGTCTTTATCACTATCATTGTCATTATCATGATCATTGTCATTACTATTATCATCCTCTAATTACAGTCATATTTTAGAAGATTTTTAGGGGGGGAGAGAAAGAGAGGGGAGGAGAGGGGAGGGGAGGAAAGGCCTTTGCACCTTTTTTTTTCAAACCGTTGAATAATAGCTGGTCAGGGTAGGCAAAAGCCGAAAATAAACTAAAGAAACAAATTTTTTGAGAGTGGAGAACATTAAAATGAATTGCAAATGATAATTATTGACGAACACACAAAGATTTGAGATAAATCTTTTAAGATGCACATAAATTGTGATGTGGCTGTGATATGGCTTCTTTGGTTCATGCCCACGTGCAAAGAGGCCTGAAGTAGTAAATGACGAACGAGGATTTGCTTCGTTTTTTTAGTGAAAATAAATTTGACTTGAGTCCCAGGAAAGTATGCACAAAAATGCAATTGGAGAAAGATTTTGACAAAAATTAGGCTGTGAAATTTGATTTGGACAAAACTTGGACTGGAAAATGGCATTTCTACTTCACCCTGCATTCCTATTCCTGGCTCTGCATATAAATACTTGAGGAAAATCTGATGAACCACTAGTAGGGTTTCATTTGAGGAGTATCAATACTCCCGAGCTGTCGATTATCGCGACACTATTTCTCAGCCATGGGAGTCTATTAACTAGTCTCAAATGTAAAATGTATTTTCACCAACGATAAACTTACGACAATTGTCAAGTGTGACGGTCGTGACAAGAAACGCTTGATGTAGTTGAAGCCAAAAACAAACCCAACTTGAAATACAATGGACACGATCCAGCAGAACACTGTAATCCCCTTAAAAAAATTCACTCTCCCGACTTCATATACAGGAGTATCTCTGGAATATTTGAAATATGCCGAATATCCAAACTTATTCCAAGAATCGCTTCCACTCAGGCTGGAATATCTAACAATCGATATCCAAGCAGCTGACAGGAAAAGCTATAACCAAAAAGTAAACTGTATTAGAAGTGTTATAAGAGTGTATTAAAGCGTGGGTTTTTTTTCAGTGCCAGGTGGCTCACTGGGCTTCTAGTGGTCAATTTAAAGATTGTTCTCAAAACTGTATCGTTATGCTTCAAAGCACCAAGCTTTCATTTTCTTCAAAAATCAGAAAAAGCTGTAGCAGCCTAGCTTAATTAATAAACAATCTTTCTTATAAAAAGGTGGTAGATTATTCTGGCAACAATTTGTGGAAAAAAGAACAACAACTCACAAACTCAACCACTCTTTCTGCAATCAAGGCACTGTTCCAATAATCAGTAGTCTTTGGCAACGTCGGTTCCTGCGCTACTGCTGGCTGAACCAGTTGGCCCTGTTGTATAGCCTGTCCAACTGGTTGTTGAGCATACTGTCCAGGAGGGGCCTGGGCCTGGACATACATGGGCTGAAATTGACCTGGAGAGGCTTGGCCAATAGGTTGCTGATAGGCGAAACGCTGGTTCCCAGAACTTTGATTCATTTTTCCACGAGTTCTCGTTTCTCTGTCTAATAAGGGAAACAAGTCCTTCAAATCAAATCACCCACTGTGAACTAAGCCTAACGAAAAGGGTTGTGTTTCAGTAAATATGGGTATATAATGGTTCTTTGGGAAGCTTGTTTCGACTTCAAAACGAGATTGACATGTCACTTCTCCTTACAATATAACATTACTTTATATCATTCAGTATCATTATACATAGATAGATTAATATATCATCACGCATAAATAAATTTCTGAGAGTAGATCAGTGTCTTAGCTATTAAAAAATTCTACCACTCCTTATTAGCAGCTTAAAGGGAGAATTTAAATTAGATCTTAGGCTGATTTAGAAAGTTTGAGTGACTACTGTAGAGAAGGCTGTAAATGCACCACTCCTGGTTTTATGCAATGATGTAAGAAGTTCAGTGTCTTGTAGTTACCGCAAAAACCAAACACGAACGAACACATAAATTACCAACAGTGAGAAAATATAAACTAATATTCTCTTGCCAACAAGATAATAAAAGTTTGCTTTCAAGCTGTATTTGGAAGCAACATTTTGCTCCTTTTCTTCCAAACTGAATTGTTTACTCACGCTCCTAAGTTATTTGTTAGAAAACGCTGGCTCACTAAAGCTATGCCATCTACTCGAAAATCATATCTTAGGATCATAAAATGGGTATTTTATGACGGAAAGGATTAAGAAAATGACATTTTCTTAATGTCGTTTTCACCTTTTTCTTGAGGGTTGAATGGCTTTAAAAGCTTCTTTCCTATCAAGAAATTGAACTGGCCTTCTTGGAAAGGCTGAAAGCGACTAAACATCAGCTCACATTCGCAATGTAATCAGGTCTCTCACGATACACCAGAATGCAAAATGTACAAAAAAAAATCAATCTCATTTTCTCTCATGAAATTCTTTCGACACAACAGATCATGGCTGTAGCAGTATGTAGGATTCGTGACACATTCGTACATAGCCTATGATTTAATTCAGTGTTTCGCCATAATTTAGGTGTTATGGTTTAACAGCCCTTCAGTTCAGGCGCCTCTAATTTGCAGAGCGTACTTGCTGATAAATGCAGTTGGGAAAGACCTGAGAAAGGAGCAAAACTAGATGCATCAAAAAGTACCATAAAACGATCCGCAATAAGAAGCCAATTTTTCAGTGATGGATGGCAAGCATTTGTCACGAACACGCGACTAGGAAATATCTTAATCGGCACCGTGATAAAGATGCGAACCTCACACTTTTCGACCGATTTTGTTTTCTAATAACCGACCAACTAAACTACAGACAATTTGATTTCCTCAACTGATGTAAATTTTATCAACTTATGTAAATTGGTCACCGTAAAGAGTATCTAAAGCTGACGTTTCGAGCGTGACCGACAACTCACGTACTGGCAGCTAATAAACTTACTTGTGAGTGAAGCCTGAAGGTTTATTGACTTTCCGAAAATCAAGTGAATATAAACTCCGAAAACTTATCAGCTATGGAAACATTTAGTAATAAATGAAAGTTTACACTACTTATATATCTGATCGTTGGAAATTATAACGAAGTGGTATGGCTAATTTAGAGATGCGGCCTTTCAATGAAACGGCGTCAGCTTAAAAACACTCTACATTCACTCTGACGATGAGCTAACGCTCGAAAAGTTAGCTTTAGAAACTCTTAACGGTGGCCATTTTATATTATCATCTCAGTTGACTAAACCAAATTGTCTATAGCCCAGTTTGTCAATGGTCCGAGAGCGAAATCGGTTGGATGGTTTGAGGTTCGAATCCTCATCGCGGCGAAATCAAATATCTTCTGGTCGTATGTTCGTGACAAATGCTCGCCATGTAGCCGGCTAAAAATTTGGCCTCTTAGTGATCGATTTATTGGACTTTTTGATGCGACTAGTTTTGCTTTTTTCCCCACGTATTTTTCAACTGCGCTTAACAGCAATTATACGCTTTGCAAATGAAAGGCGCCTGGAGCCATAAACCTAAATTATGGAGAAACAACTAACTTACTTGTTTGTTGTCTATTGACTTTCTGAAAACGTATGAACCATGATAAAATTTCGCAAAGCATTCATGAAATTGTACATTACCAATATCACGGATCAATGGAATTTACTAGGAAATGGTATGACTCATTTAGAGATGTGGCCAATAATTACAGCAACCGCAAAAATAACAGAGTGCAGTGAAATCGTCTACTTTTATAAACCTCTACGAAGGTAAAGGGGAACATATTTTTCTTTATTTAAGATATTTCTTGACGGCTGAATGGCTATTAGAGTTTCGCTCCTATCAAGAAACTGGATTAGCTTTCTTGGAAAGCCTGAATCGAGGAATCATCGATCAACTTAAGTTCGCAACATAAACCATATAGGTCAGTCGCAATTCACCAGGATAGAAAACGTACAATCCTCCTCATTTTATCTACATGAGAGACTAGCTTTTCGATGCAAAAGATCCTTGCAGCATATGCAGAATATGTGTTACGTTTATAATAAGTATATGACTTAGCTGCCAATATGTAGGTTGTTTGTCGCTTTGACGAAGGGTTTACACTCGTAAAGTTAGCTTTAGTAACTGTGTTTATATTCGTCCTGACGAAGAGCTAACGCTCGAAACGTTAGCTTTAGAAAATCTTAACAGCGGCCAATTCACATTATCATCTTAGTTGACTAAACCAAATTGTCTGTAGCCCAGTTTGTCGATGATCCGACGGTGAAATCGGTTGGATGGTTTGAGGTTTGAATCCTCATCGCGGCAAAATGAAATATTCCTGGTCGCATGTTCGTAACAGATCTTTGCGGTGGCCGTTTACATTTTAATCTCAGTTGATGAACCCAAACTGTCTATAGCTTAGTTGGTCCATGATCCGACAGCGAAATCGAGGTTCGAATCCTCATCATGGGGAATTAAAATATTTCCTTCTCGCATGTTCGTGACAAATGCTTGCCATCCATCACTGAAAATTCGGTTTCTTAATGATCGATTTAAAGGACTTTTGATACAACAAGTTTTGCTTTTTCCCCAGGTATTATCCGACATTCTTTTTCAGTTATCGTTACAAAATGCTAATAAAAGGCGCCTGAAAAGGATGTGGAACCATGAGACCTAGTTATGGAAAAAACAATGAACTTATTAAGTGTGTAGCCTAAAGGTCGATCGACTTTCCGAAAACGTTTCAATAATGTTGACATTCACCAGTACATGAAAATTGTACTATTCTTATATCACTGGTCGATGGAAATTTCTAGGAAATGGGATGGGCACATCTACAAATACGACCTATCACTAACAGCAACCGAAAAATGGCAGTACCTTTGAGTGCAATGAATTCGTCCGCGTCTATAAATCTCTATGAAAGCAACGGGAACGTTTTTTTTTTCTTTAAAATATTTCTTGACGGCTGAATGGCCATCAGAGTTTCGCTCCTATTAAGGAATTGGATTAGCTTTCTCGGAAAGCCTGAATGTGAGGAAACATCGATCAACTCAAATTCCCAACACAAATAGGTCTCTTGCGATACACCAGAACACAAATTGTACGATCCTCCTCATTTTATCCACATGAGACAATAGCTTTCGATGTAAAAGATGTATACAGCAAATGTAGGATATGTGTTACGTTTGTACTTAGCATATGACTTAGCTGCCAATACGTAGGTTGTTTGTCTCAGCTAAAAAACCAAATTATCTGTCGCTCAATTGGTCCATGATCGAAAAGTCTGAAAATTTGGCGCCTGAAAAGGCTTTTAAGGCCAATACGTAGGTTGTTTGTCACTTTGACGAAGGGTCTACGCTCTTAAAGTTAGCTTCAGAAACTGTGTTTACATTCGCCCTGAAGAAGAGCTAACGCTCGAAACGTTAGCTTTAGAAAATCTTTGCGGTGACCAATTCACATTTAATCTCAGCTAAAAAACCAAATTATCTGTCGCTCAGTTGGTCCATGATCGAAAAGCCTTAGTATTTGGCGCCTGAAAAGGCTGTTAAACCACGAAACCTAAATTATGGTGGAAACGATTAGTATTTATAAGTGTGCAGCCCAAAGGTCGATCGACTTTCCGAAAAGGTTTCAAAAATTATGACACTTGGCAATACATGAAAATGTACAATTCTTATATCACTGGTCCGATGGAAATTACTAAGAAATGGTATGGCTCATTCAGAGATGTGGCCAAAATAATTACAGCAACCGAAAAATGACATTACCTTTGAGTAAAGTGAAATCGTCCACGTCTGTAAACCTCTATCGAAGTAAGAGGAACTTAGATATTCTTTCTTGAGGAAATGAATTATAAATTTTCCTTCTTACCGCTCTCTTTCCTCACGCTGATAGCACAGACTGTCAGTTCTAGGACAAAGATGCAGCTACTTATGTCGTGACAGCTTTCGCGGAAAAGGTGTTACACGTTACCTTGTAAGTATAAGATTTCATCTCTGATGGAAATAAACATAGAAAATATAGGTACGCAATACGTACATGTGCAAATGTGCGACCGTTCACGGTATTAGAACTGTTACGTTTGACACCACTTGCTTTTACTCTATTGTGCATTCGATGATTCATGAGAACAATCAGTGAATTTAAAGCTACCAGGTGACAAGAGACCCTGCGAACCCTTTTTTAAGCCGTGAAGGGTGGTTCTAAGGTCTTCAACGCACAAGGCGAAGATTATTACACCAGTAAATTAAGCTGATAACTTTTATTTAACGAATTGAATTTTGGAGGACGTCTAGAAGATTTTGATGAAAACTTGTCTGATTTCTCTGCCGTTCTGTCAAAAATTCCGATTATATGATAATTTCATGCTTATATGTATAGTATTTGACCGGTGACTTGCATTCTAACTGTTCAATGGTTTTCCCAATTTCAACATCTGTCTAATGGAAGCAGGGGACGTAAATGCACACTGAAATTTCAAACGTGGCATACAGATGTAACAAATAAAATATGTAAATGTATCTAAAATGGGGGCTGAAAATTCACTTTTAAGGGTTGATAGATAAAGTGTTGATTTTCATAAAAAATTTTTAATATCCATACCTATTCAGAGACTTAAAAAAAAAACACAACAACAAACATTCGTTAAAAGGAAAGCTTTCCCCAAAAGCAGTGAGAAGGATTTCTGAGAACTGTTTTCGTCTGAGCCTAACTGGAAAGCTACGTGAGTTGTGGAGCTTTGCGTTCTTCTTTTGCAAGGCTGCTAAACTCATATCAAACTCTTTCGCCAGCGCGACGAACATTTGTTTTTCTCGGTTCCAGGTGTACGCGTCCACTAGTGCGGGTATCAGCGGCCATCCCGAGGGGTCGGCCCCCGGGCACCCAGGGGCATTTGTCACAGCTGCCGTGACAAATACATGCTAAAGCCCCTCGGGTAGGGCAAAAAATTGGGACAAATACCCCCACCCCTGGAGCAACCTGGGCAACATATAGTCGGTGTTGCCTGTTCCTCGATGCAAAAGTACGAGTGATCATGGTTTACTGAAGCCACATCAGCACTAAAATCCACACAAGTCTCTATGGAGTCCTCAAACTCGAGCTTTCTGGGGCAAACTTTCTTGGCTTGCGGTTGTTCATCACACTGTCTCTTCCTATCGGCAAGACGCTTCGAATGCGAACTAACCGTATGAAATTGAAATCTCGATGTCGCTTTCCTTAAAATGCAATGAACAGATTCTTGGATCGCTGAGTGTCTTAATTTTTTTATCCGCTCGCTTACAGAAAACCTCCCACTTCTAATACGCTCATTGGGCCTTGTAGGAAAGCAAAAATAACTGAGATCAGGTCGTTTCTTACTCCCATTACGGCACAGAGCAACAGCACAATACTTAACCATGGTACACAGGAAAATATTACCTCGAGGGCTAGAAGAACATCGAGCGAGCGGGCTTGCCTGTCCTGTGGCGAAAACCGCTGAACGTTGAGACAGCAGATTACGTGCAAATCCCGTGGGTATGGCCCCGGGGTATTTTGCCAAAAACGCAAAAGCGCTCTAATGCCCCGCATGCGGGGCATGCCTTTGCTACAAATCCCCTGCTAAGCCCGTGGGTTGCCCTTGGGTTGCCCGGGGATCGACCCCTCGGGATGGCCGCTGATACCCGCATAACCCTACTTAATGCGCATGCTCTCCGTTGCGAATTTTCAAAATGGCGGGTAAACTTTGAGAAAGTGTTCAAACCATGATTTGATATTTCTTTGCAGTTCAAGAATACCCTCTTCAGATGTAAAATCTAGCTTCAAATCACCAATTATGTCCATAAATTTAACCCAGATCACTTGTATGGGAGTAGGGACAAGCATAGGTCGGAATGTTTATATTCTGAAAGAGTTTCAACTTTTCTGGTTCAGTAAGATCTCTATATTCCAGCTTTTTGCTCTCTTTCTTGATTCTAAAATTAAAAGTGCTTCCCATACTTTTGATAAATTCTTCATAACATGCCATGTGTTTATATTTATCCCTTGGGAATCCATCAGAGGTTTTTTTTTTCTCAATAGCATCACTTCTTCTCAGCTCTCTTATGAACAAGTTAATCAAAACATCTGAAATCCTCAGAAAAAAATGTAATGTATCTATGATGACATGGTCCTTAGGTATAAAATCAAATAATGGTTGTGCCTTACAGTTTAATTTCTTTCCAGTGGAAAACCTTGCTATTTTGGTGACAGTTCTAGCACCAAATTTGGGGTCATTAATTGACCATGTTTTGCTTGTGTCCCACTGTTTCTCCCTGGGACACTTGCACCACACACAAGCATTATCCTCATTTGCCCTGCCTAAACCACATACCAGTGCTAAAATTTTAAAATCTCCACCTAAAAAGTATTCAATTTTATAGGTGCAATTATTTGCACTTATCTCCTTTAAGTTTGACATTTCCATTCGAAGGTCTGCTAGGCTGTTTCTCAGATTATCATATGTCTCTGTAGTTTTTATAACAGCAAGTATATAATTTCCCTTCACACCCATTGCCACATCCTTTTCATGGAGAATAGTAAAAGTGAAGTTGACAACTGTAAGCCCCTTTCCAATATTTGTACCATCACCACTAAGCTTGATCTTAATAGTTTCTCCATTCTTCTGAAGCCTAACAATGTGCTCTTGCAAGCTTTCTGCAAATTCTAACTGAACACCTTCAGCATCTCCTGGTGTTGGTTTCAAGTTCCATTCACTGTTTAGCTCATTAATTTGCTTCTTGATGGAATATATATTTGGGAGATCATTAGCCTTAATGGCAATTTCATGCCAGGCCTCATTTGAAATAATGAATTTATCTTTGAGGTAGAGCCACATATTTATGTTATCAATGTCATCATTATTAAGGGCCTCTGGGTCAGACTCTGTAAATGGCAGCTCTCCCTCTCCAACAAGATTGAAAGTTTCATATTGATTAGTCTCAGTGTTGAGGACTTCAATTTTGGTTGCAACAAAATTGTACAGCCCAAGAAAGGAGAGTGTAGTTTGGCACTTCTCCTTCAGTTGGTTTTTAATTCTCTTTTGATGGTGCTTAGAATAGTCATTAAACTTCTTCTTAGCTGGGCCTCTACCTTTTTTCCCATTTGTAATCACTTTTTTGGCCAACTGAATAAATTTTTTTATTGTAGAAGGCCCCTTTCTTCTCAGCTTTCTCGAGAGCTTCTCAGGCATTTTTATCCACTCGCAATCGCTTTGCCTTCTCCTGTACCAACGATTCTTCTAATTTTATTTTTTCTCCCCCTCAACTGGCTGTTCTCATCTTTAAGCTGATGTACATCAACCTCGTTGTAATACACCTTAAATCGATACCGAGGGCCCGTTTCCAAATTGCTAAGAAATGCATTTAATTGCCACGATTACTAGCTTTCTTGACAGCTTTCTGAAAACAGAATAGTTTCTTTCTGAAGACTTCTGATATATGGCTATTGATTATTATACCTCGTATACCTGATTGCTCAAACACTTTGTTTACAATTATTGAAAGGACCGACTCATGGTTTTCTCTGAAAACTTCTTTGCTTTGAAATAGTATAGATTAGTAAGCTGAAACGAAAAATTAATTAGGGAAGTTTACGAAAAATCCAGCGAACAAGCTTAAAAAAGGCATTTATTTAGACTTCATACTGCGATGAACTTCACAAATCTTACTTGTTTATCTCGTAAGTAAACAATGGCAGATTAATTCCCGAAGTGCTTTCTGAGTTTCCCGATCCCTCTCCTACTGCTTTCACGCTCACAAAATAGGAAAAAATCAAAAGGAGGAAGATACAGCTGTTTTGAAACGCCATTTGACGAGGGTAAATCTGCTTTTTGTTCGACACATTACATATCAAAACAAAGGAAATTTGTTCCTCTTATTGATTCTGGCGGTATATTTTTAAATTGCGCTTGCATAAAAGGGATATCGCCCGAGACGCTTCGCTCGGTTGTGTTTTGAACAAAAACGCCTTGTTAATTTCAAGCAACCGCTCGGAGAAAAGGTTAAAATGACGAGGGAAAAACTTTACCTTCAAGTTAGAAAATTAGCGAAATAGGAAGCCACAATATTATAGTTTAATATTTCAGAGATACACTGAGTACTTTTTCCGTAGAGAATCCGCACGATGGTAAAATGTTCGAAAATTACACTCGATTTGAGTGGGGCGTTGAAATGGGCGTGGTCACTATATTCATGTTAAGACTATTTGTATCCCGTGAGTTTGATATGACTCTCACAGTAACTCTCTCCCCCCCCCCTCCCAGGAATAAAACCATTAAAGAAGGATAAAAACCATTAAAGAAGGATAAAAGGGAGAAAACTAAAATGAAACGAAATCGATAACATTGTGTGGCGATTGGTTTGTAGCATCGTTATTTACCATGATGAGGTTTTGCTGATCAAAGCTAAGAAAGGTAACCATCGACAGTTCAGTAAGACTTTTTATCAAAATTTATTCTCTAAGTTTTATTTCAACAAGGGTTCAACAAACGATATATAAAAAAGACAGAGTATTTTATGTGACACTACACACGATCGTATGTCTCTTACGATCATCGCTTCTTTAGGGTGATAGGTGCCACAGTTTTACTCAAAAAGCCTGAAATACATGCTTGTTATGCTTAAGTTAAAAAAATCTAGCTAGAAAAAAAAGATTAACCATGATAAATGTGAAATATGAATAAAGGACAAGTCAAAACGAACTAAGTTTCAGCATTGTAGCTCTCTATAACGTTTTTTATGCAGCTAACCAACAAAATCAATCAAAGCTAAGGACGCGCTTTCAAACAAAGCCTTCCTCTACAAATTTTGCAAACTAACTACTTTGTTGCTGATCCAGGCTACCGCAGATGAAGGTCAGTAGAGAGGCTACTGGGTATTATTAGCCGCAGCAATCTCCTCTGCCCGTTGCAATCTGTACATCTTAATCAGTTGTGGGATGTCATCCACGAAACACAGACAAGCCCCAACACCGCCCGCCTGAAAAATGAAGAGAGAAAAAACTTTATGAAAGAGGTTTTTTTGTCAAGTGAGCCAGCTTTGATTTTACCGTTTGCTATGTGTTTGTAAGTTTTATTGTATATTTAATCTTCTATAGCATGGTGGGAGGAGTTTGGAGAGGATCACGTGGGGGGGAGAGAGAGAGGGGAAGAAAGTCATGGTTTTTTTCAGCTGCCAATGAGAGGGGGGAGGGGGTCAGAATACTACTGAGCCTTAGGGGGGGAATCAGGTAAATGTTATTGTGACACAACCAAAATCCTTGCTTCTCCGCCTCGGCGATAGATAACAAACGGTCCCTAATGCTTAACACACTCCTGCCTGGAGAGAGGAACTGTGAGAGTAAAGTGTCTTGCCCAAGAAGGCAACACGATGGCACTGAGCAAAGATCGAACTGAGATCTATCGATTCAGCGTCCGGGGCGCTGATTGTTGGGCTATCCCAGGGGAAAGATCCAGGAATTTTTGGTGGGAAGGGGGCGGAGAACGAGGGGTGAGGGGTACCAAACTCAGAAGACACATGAATTTCAACTTCACACCAGGGTCTAAACAAGCTGAAGAATATTTCAAGACAAGCAGATCTCAAATGCTTTATATTTAGTGTTTTTTGTGTTTGTTTGTTTTTTTTTTACCATCCTGTTGTTACCAGTGTCTGTCATGTAGTGAAAAAATTAACAGGTTTAATAGGGTGGGGCAAGGGGAGTAGTTCAGATCCCGAGACCCACCCCTTGGAGTCACTAGTGCCCCCATTCGTCATTCAGAAAACAGGACACTCTGCATAATTATTCCTTCTGCTCACTGAGGCGGTAGGAACAGAAAATTTAAGGAAAAAGTAAAATAACGTACCAAGGCGAAACCGAGCAACACATCGTTTACGTCAAAAGGTTTGATTTTACCATATAGCTCACGGTAACGTTTGCCAGCTTTATACGATTCGACACCGGGCATGGCCAGGCTTGTAGTACTAGCGATGAGTAGTATGGTCATGAAGACTTGTACAACTAAAATCTGTGGGAAAAGAACAGGTGTTTTTGACTGGTTAGAGCAGAAAAAGATTAGTTTTAAACATTCCATTGCCAGTAACAAAAATAAAAGAGCAACATGTCGTCTGCCGCCTTAACGTCAAAAATTTAATCCTCACAACCTCGTTTCTAAGGGGGAGAAGCCTGAGAAAGAGTCAGACATCTTGAGTACAAGGCAATATATCTGCCGGGTGACTAGCTGTATTTTGTGCAGTTGGGATAATCAAGTGTCCAGCCTTCAGCAGTTCTTTAATTCCTGTTAATAGTCTGTAGTTTAAAATATATTAAAGTTCACATGGCAACCGGCGGACAATCAGACATAGTTTGATGCTACTCTGGTTTGCAGATTTAATGAATGTAACCGAAGAAGTTACAATTATCATAGACCCAACGTTTCGACACTCCTGTCTATTGCCTTCATCAGGGGTGATCTAAACGCTGCAACAAGAGGTCCTTTCATATGATCACTAATTAGCGGCCTTTTTTCTGACGAGGTGTAAATAGGCGTCAGGAAGCAAACCGCCGTCGTCACGACTTAAAGGAGCGTGGGCGGAGTTAATATGCCAAGCCTCCAAACAAAGGCGCTGGTGGTAACACCGATTAGTGGTGATAATTTTAGAATTATCCCACCCAATTGTATGGGAGTAGCATCAAACTATGTCCGTCTGTAGTTTAATATATGAGAGCCTTTTTAGGTAATTACTTCAAATATTCCTTCAAAGTCATAAGCCTCTATGTTTTTATCCTCACTCACTTTGATGGCCATTTCCTAGTGAATTTTTCTAGATAGTGTTAAATGTCAATTTACCCGATCAGTGATCTAAAATACCACTCTGAGTCCCAAGAGTCAAGAGTGCAAAACCTTCTTGTGAAAATGATTTGTACCAGAAGCACAAGAATGAGGCTGCTTTTTGTCTCAGTACCTTTCAAAGGCTCCACACGAACACTGAATCGATTTTAGAGAGTCTTTGGGCATCTTGAATACGGCCTTGTATTCGTATCACATTCATGAATTATCGGAATGAATTAGTTGCAATACTCACTATCAGTGAGGAATATGATGGTGTCCTGAAGTATCGCCGGTCTTTGTGGATGCCAAGCAAAAACGCAATTAGGAGGACTATCACCATTATCCAAGAAAATATGGAGACTCCTGCGAAGAACGACGCTCGACTATTCCAAACGAAAGTACGGTTTGAGTAAGCAACACCACATGGCGAGGCGATTAACAAGACGATCTGAGTAAGAGGACAAGGTACGGTCATGAACAATGAGTATGACCATCTCTCCTTAATTATTGGTACAAAGCTGGAGAAGGGCAAGAGAGCACCACAGCGGTGTTCCAACGAGGCTTCCTGATGATTTCTAACTTAGAATAAAAGTATCCTGATGCACGGCCTTAACCCTTAAGGATCCATGCGATACTCGTTTTGATTACATTTGTAGATCAAATGCATTTTATTGCATACAACATTAAGAAAAAAAAACTATCGTAACATTAATTTTCCAAACATGATTGGAAGTGATAAATTTAAAAGTTTGGAAATAAAAGAAAAATGTGTTGGCTAGGAATATTAAGAAGACATCGAGCAAAGTTTTCACTCAAAACTCCTGCTAATCCGATATCATTCGTTAAAACCTTTTCATATCCTTTAACTACTTACAAACTCAAAAATTCTTGAGCAACCCAGCATAGTTTTTAGATGGGCTTTGTTCATCCGCCCTGCCCTAGGTTGATTCACTGGGGGCTGCACAAGGACACCAGGGCCTGGAACGGATTGGACTGGTTGTCCAGTGTGGGCATGGGCAGGTTGTCCAGTGGGGACATAGCCTTGTTGTCCAGTGGGGACATAGCCTTGTTGTCCAGTGGGGACATAGCCTTGTTGTCCAGTGGGGACATAGCCTTGTTGTCCAGTGGGGATATAGCCTTGTTGTCCAGTGGGGACATAGCCTTGTTGTCCAGTGGAGACATTGCCTTGTTGTCCATCGGGGACATAGCCTTGTTGTCCAGTGGGTGAGTGTGCTCCAGACTCTGCCTGTGGCTGATCATAAGATATCTGCTGCATGACTGTCTAACTGGTCTGTCCTTGGGTTTGACTTTTGACTTCTCGCCTGTGATTGTTGAAATGATGAATTATTGCCTGAGCAAAGCTAACGTTACCTGCAGTCACGTGACTCTGTTTTGTCTATGAACTCTATTAATACTCTAATGAAGATATTTAAATATCAGTGACACTAACTGCTTCAATGGTAGCAAAAAGATGTTTAAACTTTTTAAATCAAATAGCCTTAAAAAGCAATTTATATTTTGTTTTCTTTTCAATCGTTTCCTTAAATTTATCATACAAAGTCAAATTATTGATTTTTTAAGGTACTCAGGTTACCATAGAGACATCTCAGACCCTCGGAAGCACCCTTCGCTACTGAGGTTACGTTTATAAAATCATATTAACTTACTTTCTACGATGGAAAAATTACTCGGTTGGATAGAAACTGAGGATTTATATAATACCATTGAAGATTTAAAAATAATTTTTTTGAGCCACAAATTTGAGGTCTTAATAGGTCTGCTTGATGAGTAACATTTGTGCATGTCAAGAATTTAATTTTCGCTGTGTAATTAAAATTTGCGCAACGACTTCAGATTATGGCTGAATAACATATCTTACAGTTAACTCCCGCCCATTTGAGACTATGCTGTCACATACCTCCCTTAATAAGAGTAAAAATTATGTGAACGTAACCTTCGGGTCAAGTCCAAATGGAACGAAAGAAATGTCTCCAAGTTCCAGGAAATTGGAGATACTTCATGCGGTTGCGAACGTAAAATTTCATTTTTTAACATTTGTTGTTCAAATTAAATTGCTCACTTTGCTGTTGGTGGGCTGATTTACTGCGAAGATCACCTCTTTATGATACAAAAACCTGATCTCCAGCTCTAGACCGACCAACATGCTAACTAATGAAGAAGCGATGTTTTGAAAGGGATCAGTTGTAGTAGATCCGAAATAGTATAATTTGCATTGCACCCGTTTATCCTTTTATCCTGTTAACTGCGGGACCTCGCAGCCATGGACATAAAAATGAATGAGGCTCCATTTTAGACTCCTTACCTAGAGGTTTTTAAAAAAAACGAGTTGACTTTCCTTGATATGGAGGATATATAGCATGTCTCCCAGCGCGTGATCTTTGAAGCATGCGCGCCAGGATCCGAATTGGAGTAGATTTCCTTTTGGCGAAAAAAAACTTGCATTTCTATCTTCTGTACAAGAAATTCTGTTTCATTGATTTGGATAACACTCCGTTCGTGTTCATCTATAGAATGCAAATCATGTGATTCAGTATTGAGGAACACTGTCTCCTTTGTGAGAGTCTAAAATTCGAAATTATAAGGTCGTTTTTACAATTTGAATGCTACTACTACTTCGTTTAAAGACGTACCTTCGTTTTCTGAGCGTTTTTAGGCCCTTAAAATATCCTCTTGCTTCGGACACAAACTACAGATTGGCAATGATTGTTAGTTCATCGACTTTCTGCGAAGAAATTCGATACTTGAATAAGACGCTTGGGCGGTTTCCTAGAAAGACAGAAAGAGGAGCCGTAAGCTTGTTTATGAAGCAACCCAAAAATTTAAAAAATGAGTCACGCTCAGCGAACCACAAAGATGACTCCAGTTACAATCTGCATATAAGCGAAGATTATTTCGCCGATTTCTGCGTAGGAACTCGATACCCGAAGAAGTTTTACAGGCGATAGGTATCCTAGAAAGATAATCTAGACAAGCTTTGAGGCCGTTTACGCAGTTACCCAAACATCAGTAGAAAAATGACATTTGAGCGGTTTTTCCGAGAACGTGACTTCTAATTGTAAACGTATACTTAGAATAGAACAGACATGAGCTTGTTTGGAGGAATTGCTGTCGTTTTTTCCTGATTCGGAGAAATAAAGAAGTCAGTGTTTATCAACCTCCTATTGAGCGGTTAATCGCGCGCCCTTCTTATGAACGCTTTCATAATTTTTAACCTAGTCGTCATAAGACAAAAAACGTATTGACCGAGCTCAAGAGAGGATGAAATGTTTGTTAACCGAGCCTTGTCAGGCTTAGCTTGTTTAGAGGAATTGTTATCGTTTTGTCCTGATTCGGAGAAACAAAGAAAAAGTGTTTATTACAGAACCTTATATTGGAGGCGGTTAATCGCTCGCCCTTATGTAGGTTTGTAATCGTGTTCAATTTTAATTTCAAACACGCTTTCATAATTTTTAAAACCTAGATTGCAATCGACACTCAATTGAAAGCTGTCGCAACCGCGAAATCAAGATTCTAAATAAACTCAGAGCTTCGATCATTTATTGACGGTGATTTCGTGGAATGCAAAGAGATGAACTAACTTAAATTACCGTCGATATTTAATACTCTGTTTAAAAATAGTATTAACATAGTTGTGGTTCAACATACTGTCAAATATTATTATTCCTTAAGACAGCACGCAAACATTGTTAAAATAACCACATCATATTTTAATTGACATTTTTGCTTTTTTATATCACTGACCATAACAGGGAAATGAAATCCCCTGACGAACACACATGATTTTTCTCCGCGGTGAACTGAACTTCTTTGCGCTTTTTCTACAAAGCATATGATTTCGAGTTGTGATACTACATCAGGAAACCAAACAGTAATCTAAGAATTAACCCTTTGACCCTTTAGAGTAACTGGCATCTAATTTCTCCTTACAATATCAGCCCTGAATCAAACATCAAGTTCATGAAAATAAGGGAAATGATCAATAACTAAAGAACTCTGAAATGTTTATCAAATTCTCCTTTTCAGACCCTTAAGAAACGTATAGAGAACAGTATGGAGAATATACATACTGATGTTAGGGTGTAAAGGGTTAACTAAAAGTGAACCTCATCACTACGCAAAAATAGTTTATCTTATGCGAATTACTTCAGAAACATTGGAAATCAATTGTAAGAATATTTTTCTAAATCAAAGACGAGAACAACAGTGTTGCAGTTTGGTTCAGGAGCACTCTGACCATGTACAAACTTTATTTGTTTGCGTTCACATAAAGTGACTGACTACATCTCTAAGTCAGTAAGTTCAAAAAGAGTATAAGCGTATATTGGTTAGGCCCAGTCAGGTTAAAAAAAACTAAACAAAAACTCATCACAGAGAAATTTGTCGGTTTTTTTTTTAACTGATTACTTCTATTACATAACTGTGAACAATCCGACTGAAAAAAAAATAAAAAAACGTGGTCTCATGGTGTAAAGCACAAAAACATGAAACCTAACATCGCAAAAAAGGATAGCTACAATGAGTAACATATCTCATCAATTTTACCAAATCGTTTTAGGCATCTCTAACGTTAACTAGGCACAACACGCTTGTATATCTCTTACGCTAAATAAAGGTTTTCTTTCCTTGTTCAAATGTGACCTTTGGGTTACATGGCAGAAGACTGAATACCAGGCCCCTGAGCCATCTGTGCAGTGTTGTCAGTTTCTTCCTCTCCTCTTTGTGTAACGATCATTTTGTAGAACAATCGAACGCTTTCAAAGAAAGAAAAGCAGACCAGAAAACCAAAAATATGTCGAAAAGGGAAGAAAATCTTTATTACAGGTTGGGGTTTTGTGAGAAAAAAGTTTTGAATTACTTCAATCATTATAAGTTTGCTCCTCAAAGGAAAACCCACCGTCCTCAGTCTTATAAGGCGGCTGTTTATGTTTTGTATGTAGATAATTTGGCTTCAAACATTGAAAACGGATTCTACTCGGCGAACTACCTACGAATCTGAGTTCTCTTCGTACGCCTATTTTCCCTGTAATGATAAAAGGTCCCATGGCATAGTCGTAAACCTTTTTCTCTGTGACACATATTAAGGCTAAAAGCGGGATAGACTGCCGTTCTATATTACCAGTGCTAAGTAGAGATTAAATTTCTGAGAGTACATCAGTGTGTTGGCTATTACAAAATTCTACCACTCAGTATTAGCAGCTTAAAGGGAGAATTTCAATCAGATCTTAGGCTGATTTAGAAGGTTTGATTAACCGCTGCAAAGAAGGCTGTAAATGCCTCACTGCTGATCTTTGGCAACCATGTAAGAAGTTCAGTGTTTTGTGGTTACCGCAAAAACCAAAACGAACACATAAATTACTAGTAGTGAGTTGTTGTCAACAAGATAAAAATAGTTTGCTTTCAAGCTGTATTTGGAAGCAACATTTTGCTCCTTTTCTTCCAAGCTGAATTGTTTACTCACGCTCCTAAGTTATTTTTTAGAAAACGCTGGCTCACTTAAGCTATGCCATCTACTCGAAAATCATACCTTAGGATCATAAAATGGGCATTTTATGACGGAAAGGATTAAAAAAATGACATTTTCTTGGTGTCGTTTTCACCTTTTTCTTGAGGGTTGAGTGGCTTTAAAAGCTTCTTTCCTATCAAGAAATTGAACTGGCCTTCTTTGAAAGCCTGAAAGCGACTAAACATCAGCTCACATTCGCAATGTAATCAGGTCTCTCACGATACACCAGAATGCAAAATGTACGGTCAATTTCATTTTCTCTCATAAAACACTTTCTACATGACAAATCATGGCTGTAGCCGTATTTAGGATTCGTGTCACATTTGTACATAGCCTATGACTTAATTAGCTGCCAGTACGTGGTTGTCGGTCACGCTCGAAACGTCAGCTTTAGATACCCTTTACGGTGACCAATTTAAATAAGTTGATAAAATTTACATCAGTTGATAAAATCAAATTGCCTGTAGCTTAGTTGGTCGGTTATTAGACAACAAAATCGGTCGAAAAGTGTGAGGTTCGCATCCTTATCGCTCACCATCTATCACGGAAAATTTGGCTTCTTATTGATCGCTTTATGGGACTTTTTGATGCATCTAGTTTTTCTTTTTTCCAACTGCAATTATCAGCAATTACACTCTGCAAATTAGAGGCGCCTGAACTGAAGGGCTGTTAAACCATAACTCCTAAATTATGGAGAAACACTGAATTAACTTACTTGTGTGAAACCTGAAGGTTTATTGACTTTCCGAAAATCAAGTGAATATAAACTCCGAAAACCTATCAGCTATGAAAACGTTTGGTAATAAATGAAAGTTTTACACTACTTATATCACTAATCGATGGAAATTATAAGGAAGTGGTATAGCTCATCTGGAGATGCTGCCTTTCATTGAAACGGTGTCAGCTTAAAGACACTCTTTACATTCGCTTTGACTAAGAGCTAACGCTCTAAACGTTAACTTTAGAAAATCTGAACGGTGGCCAATTTTTATTATCATTTTAGTTGACTAAACCAAATTGTCTATAGCCCAGTTTATCAATGATCGGACAGCGAAATTAGTTAGATAGTTTGAGGTTCGAATCCTCATCGCGACGAAATGAAATATCTTCTGGTTGCATGTTCGTGACAAATGCTCGCCATGTAGCCGGCTAAAAATTTAGCCTCTAAGGGTCGATTTATTGGACTTTTTGATGCAGTTAGTTTAGTTTTGTTTTTTTACCAGGTATTTTTCAACTGCGTTTATCAGCAATCATACACTTTGCAAGTAAAAGACGCTTTAAAAGGCTGTTAAGCCATAAACCTTAATTATGGAGAAACAACTAACTTACTTGTGTGTAGCCTAAAGGTTCATTGACTTTCCGAAAACGTATGAACCATGATAACATTAGGTAAAGCCTTCATGAAAATTGTACATTACCAATATTACGGATCAGTGGAAATTACTAGGAAATGATATGACTCATTTAGAGATGTGGCCAATAATTACAGCAACCGAAAAATAACAGAACCTTTGAAGAGAGCAGTGAAATCGTCCACTTGTATAGACCTCTACGAAGGCAAGGGGAACTTATATTTTTCTTTATTTAAGATATTTCTTGACGGCTGAATGGCTATTAGAGTTTCGCTCCTATCAAGAAACTGGATTAGCTTTCTTGGAAAGCCTGAAGGCGAGGAAACATCGTTCAACTCAAGTTTGCAATCTAAACCATATAGGTCTGTCGCAATTCACGAGGATGGAAATTGTAGAATCCTCCTCATTCTATCCACATGAGACAATAGCTTTCGATGCTGTAGTTCCTAGCAGTATATGTAGGATATGTGTTACTTCAGTACTTAGCATATGAATTAGTTGCAAATACGTAGGTTGTTCGTCGCTTTGACAAAGGGTTTATGCTCGTAAAGTTAGCTTCAAGAACTGTCTCCACATTCGCTCTGACGAAGAGCTAATGCTCTAAACGTTAGCTTTAAAAACTCTTAACTGCGGCCAATTCACATTATCATCTTAGTTGACTTAACCAAACTGTCTATAGCACAGTTTGTCGATGATCAGACAGCGAAATCGGTTGGATGGTTTGAGGTTCAAATCCTCATCGCGGCGAAATGAAATATTTTCTGGTCGCATGTTCGTGACAGATGCTCGTCATATATCGCTAAAATTTTGGCCTCTTGATGATCAATTTTTTTCCTATTTGATGCTTCAACTTTTGCTTTTTCCTCAGATATTTCCCGACTGCATTTATCAGCAATTACACTTTGCAAATAAAAGGCGCCTGAAAAGGTTCTTAAACCATTGACCTGAATTATGGAGAAACAACTAACTTACTTGTGTGTATATAACCTAAAGGTTTATTGACTTTCCGTAAACGTACTGAATATGATAACATTGAGAAAAGTATCCATGAAAATTGCACATTACTCTTATCACAGATCAAAAGAAATTACTAGGAAATGGTATAACTCATTTAGAGATATGGCCTATATCATCAGTTACAGCAACCGAAAAATAACAGTACCTTTGCGGAGTGCAGTGAAATCGTCCACCGTTTATAAACCTCTACGAAAGCAAGGGGAAACATAGATTAACTCAAATTCGCAATATAAACAGGTCTCTCCCGAATGCAAAATGTACAATCCTCATTTTATCCACATAAGACGAAAGCTTTCGATGCAACAGATCCTAGCAGAATATGTAGGATGTTTGCATATGACTTAGCTGCCAATACGTAGGTTGTCTGTCGGTTTGACGAAGGGTTTACGTTCGTAAGGTTAGCTGAAGTAACTGTCTCTACATTCGCCCTGAAGAAGAGCTAACGCTCGAAACTTTAGCTTTAGAAACTCTTTGCGGTGGCCAATTTGCATTTTAATCTCAGTTGATAAAACCAAATTGTCTGAAGCTTAGTTTGCTGATGATCCGACAGCGAAATCGTTCCAAAAGTCTGAGGTTCGAATCCTCATCATGTAGAATTAAAATATTTTCTAATCGCATGTTCGTGACAAATGCTTGTCATCTTCGAGATATTTTTTCTTGACGGCTGAATGGCTATCAGAGTTTCGCTCCTGTTAAGAAATGGGATAAGCTTTCTCGGAAAGCCTGAATGCGAGGAAACATCGATCAACTCAAATTCCTAATACAAACAGGTCACTCGCGATACACCAGAACACAAAATGTACTATCTTCCAAATTTTATTCACATGAGACACTAGTTTTCGGTGCAACAAATCCTAGCAGTAAATGTAGGACATGCGTCACGTTTGTACTTAGCATAGGACTTAGCTGCCAATACTTATGTTGTCTGTCGCTTTAACGAAGGGTTTACGCTCGTAAAGATAGCTTTAGAAACTGTGTTTACATTCGCCGAGAAGAGACATACCTTTGAGTGCAGTGAAATCGTCCACGTCTATAAACCTCTATAGAGGCAAGGGGAACTTATATTTTCTTTCTTGAGGATATAAATCATAAATTTTGCCTCTTACCGCTCTTTTCCCTCGCGCTGATTGCACAGACTGTCAGTGTTAGGACAAAGGTGCAGCTACTTATGTCGTGACAGCTTTCGTGGAAAAGGTGATATTACCTTGTATCTATAAGATTTCATCTTTGACCAAAATAACATAGAAAATATAGGTACGCAATACGTACATGTGCAAAAATATGCGATCGTTCTCGGGATTGGAACCATTACGTTTAACGCCACTTGCTTTTACTCTAGACTGCATTCGATGATTAAGGAGAACAATCGGTGAATTTAAAGCTACCTGACCATTCCAAAGAGACCATATAAACCTTTTTTAAGCCGTGAAGAGTGGTCTTCAACGCGCAATGCGGAGATTATTACACCAGTAAATTAAGCTGATATATTTTATTCAACGAATTGAATTTTGGAGAATGTTTGGAAGATTTTGATGAAAAACTGTCTGATTTCTCCGCCGTTTTGTAAAAAATTCCGATTGCTTATATGTATAGCATTTGACTGGTGACTTGCATTCCAACTTTGCAATGGTTTTCTGTCTAATATGGAAGCAGGGGACATGAATGCTCAGTCAAATTTCAAACATGGCATACAGATGTAACAAACGAAATATGTAAGTGTCTCTAAAATGGGGGCTGAAAGTTCATTTTGAAGAGTTAATAGATAAAGTATTGATTTTCATATAAATATTTGGAATATCCATACCTATTCAGAGACTTCAAAAAAAATATGTGGTAAAAAGATAGCTTTCCCCAAGAACAGTAAGAAGGATTTCTGAGAATTGTTTTTGTCTGAGCCTAAGTGGAAAGCTACGTAGGTTGTGGAGCTTTGTGTTCTTGTGCAAGGCACTAAACTCTCACAGTACCTCTTTCCACCCTGTAGGAGTAGGGTCAGTGGCGAATTGTCAGTGAAGCTTAATGAAATGCTGCGAGGTAACTTCGCAATGACTAGTATCTCTCATTCTGGGGGAAGTCATGACACTCCTAGTCGCCTCATGCTACGTGGAAACCGGAATAAGCTCCGGCTCGGTGGGCCACTTGGCTCGAATACAGACTGTACCTTGAGCCTTTTTCCTTCCATTGTTAAGCCATCAAAGAATGGTAAAAGTAAAAGAAAACTAAACTAAACGAAATCGCTAAATCGATCACACTCACTGTGTCGCGATTCTTGTCACATCGTTTTACCATAATGAGGTTTTGCTGATCAAAGCTAAGAAAGGTAACCATTGACAGTTCAGTGAGACTTTTTATTCAAATTTATACTCCAAGTTTTGTTTCCACTAGGGGTCAGTAAACGATATATAAAAAAACATAGTATTCTATGTGACGATCGTATGTCTCTTACGGATATCGCTTCTTCGGGGTGATAAATGCCACATACTTAAGTTAAAAAATCTAGCTACGGAAAAAGGTTAACCATGATAAATGTCGAATATGAATAAAGGACAAGTACAAACGAACTAAATCAATACAGGATCGTTTCAATACGGCAGCTCTCTATAACATTTTTTTTTTGCTTTTTTTTGCAGCTAACCCACAAAAATCAATCAAAGCTGAGGACGCGCTTTCAAACAAAGCTGTCTTCTGAAAAGTTTTGTAGACGGGCTGCGTTGTTGCTGATCCAGGCTACCGCGGTTGAAGGTCAGTTAAGAGGCTATTGGGTATTAGCCGCAGCAATTTCCTTTGCTCTTTGTGTTCTGTACATCTTTGTTAGCTGTGGGATGTCTTCCAGGAAAGCCACACAGGTCAACGCACCAGCCACCTGCAAAAAGAAGAGAGAAAAACTTTTTGTCAATTGAGCCAGCTGTAATTTTACCGCTTGCTATGTGTTTGTAAGTTTTTTATGTGTTCAATCTTTCAAAATTATGGGCCAAATAATATTGCGAGAGCATATTCCGGTTTTCATAACATGGTCGTTGGAGTTTGTGGAAGATCACCTGGTTTTAACCCTTTAACTCCCATGATCTCATCAGTAATTTTCCTTACTGTCTGCCATAAAGTTGTTGTGATGTTTGTTTGGAGAATTTGATATTGGATCAACTAATAATCCCCTGATTGATATTTTTCTTTATTCTAATCATTTGTCTGCTTGATATTTTATTGATATTGTAAGGAGAAATTCTGTCTTGGTCACTCATGGGAGTTGAAGGGTAAAGAGGGAGCGAAGGAGGGATTAGTCGTCGCTAAGAGAGTATAATAGAGAAGGGGGGAGGGTTAGAATACTTCTGAGCCTTAGGGGTGGATCAGGTAAATGTTATTGTGACACTACCAAAATCTCCACCCCTCCCCCCCCCTTCCCTCCCGGTGGTTCCCGAGACCCACCCCTTGGATTCGCTAGTGCATCCATTCGTCATTCGTCAGAAAACAGGACACTCTGCCTGATTTATTCTTTCTGCTCACCAAGACGATAGGAAAAGAAAATTTAGGGAAAAAAGTAAAATAACGTACCAAGGCGCAAAAGAGCATTCCAACGTTCACGCCGTCAGTAGACATGCTTCTACCGTATTGATCTAGGTGATCTTTGTGAACTTTATACCATTCGACAGCGGGCATAGCCAGGCTTGTAGTGCTGGCGATGAGAAGTATGGCCATGAGGACTTGTACAGCTAAAACCTGTGGGAAAAGAACAGGTGTTTTTGACTTGTTAGAGCAGAAAAAGATTGATTTTAAACATTCAATTGCCAGTAATAAATAATAGAAGAGCAACAACATGTCGTCTGCCACCTAAACGTCAATATCACAGCCTCACAACCTCGTTTCAAAGAGGGAGAAGCCTGAGAAAGAGTCAGACATCTTGAGTACAAGGCAATATATCTGCCGCGTGACTGGTTGTATATTTTGTGCAACTGAGATAGTCAAGTGTCCAGCCTTCAACAGTTCTTTAATTCGTGTTAATAATCTGTGGTTTAATATACGAGAGTCTTTTTAAGTAATTACTTAGTTGGCCAAATGTTCCTTCAAAGTTTTTAGCTGCTATGTTTTTATCCTCACTCACTTTGATGGCCATTTCCCAGTGAATTTTTCTAGATAGTGCTAAATGTCCCTTTACCCGATCAGTGATATGAAATACCACTCCGAGTTCCAAAAGTCAAGAGTACAAAACCGTTCTTGTGAAATGATTTGTATCGGAAGTACAAGAATGAGGCTGCTTTTCGTCTCAGCACCTTTCAGAGGCTACCCACGAACACTGACCCGTTTTCGCAGAGAGTCTTTGGGCATCTTGGAAACGGCCTTATATGAGTATCACATCCATGAATTATCGGAATGAATTGGTTGCAATACTCACTATCAGTGTGGAATATGATGGTGTCTTGAAGTATCGCTGGTCTTTGTGGATGCCAAGCATAAACCCAATTTGGAGGACTATCACCATTACCCAACAAAATGTGGAGACTCCTGCGAAAAACGTTGCTCGACCATCCATACCGAAAGTACGGTTTGAGTAAACAATACCACATGCCGAGGCGATTAACAAGAGGATCTGTGTAAGAGGACAAGGTAAGCTCGTGAACAATGATTATGACCATCACTATTTGATCGTTGGTACAAAGATGGAGAAGGGCAAGAGCACCACAAGTGGTGTTCCAACAAGGCTTCCTAATGAATTCTTACATAGAAAGAGAGTATCTCGATGCGCGACCTTAACCTATAAGGATCCATGTGATACTCGTCAACATTACATTTGTAGGTCAAATGCATTTCATTGCATACTTCATTAAAGAAACAACTATCTTAACATTAATTTTCCAAAATGTTAGGAAGTGATTGATTTAAAGTTTGGAAATAACATAAAAATGTGTTGGTTGAGAATTCTAAGAAGACATCGAGCAAAGTTTTAAATCAAAACCCCTGCTAATCCGATATCATTCGTTAAAACCCCTTCATATCCTTTAACTACTTACAAACTCAAAAATTCTCAAGCCACCCAGGATAGTTTTCAGGTAGGTTCTGTCCATCCGCCCTGCCATAGGTGGATTCACTGAGGGCTGCACATGGACACCAGGGCCTGGAACGGAATGGACAGGTTGTCCAGTGGGGACATAGCCTTGTTGTCCAGTGGGGACATAGCCTTGTTGTCCAGTGGGGACATAGCCTTGTTGTCCAGTGGGGACATAGCCTTGTTGTCCAGTGGGGACATAGCCTTGTTGTCCAGTGGGGACATAGCCTTGTTGTTCAGTGGGGACATAGCCTTGTTGTCCAGTGGGGACATAGCCTTGTTGTCCAGTGGGGACGTTACCTTGTTGTCCAGTGGGGACATAGCCTTGTTGCCCCATGGGTGACTGTGCTTCAGACACTGCCTGTGGCTGATCAGAAGATATCTGCTGCATGACTGTCTAACTGGTCTGTCCTTGGGTTAGACGTTTGACCTCCCACCTGTGATTGTTGAAATGACGAATTATTGCCTGAGCTAAGCTAATATTTCCTGTGGTCACGTGACTTTGCTTTGTTTATTAACTCTTTTAATACTCTCAAAAGATATTTCGATATAAGTTACATTAGTTGGTTGAATGGCAGCAAAAAGATGTTTAAACTTTTTAAATTAAATAGCCTCAAAAGCAATTTATATTTTATTATCTTTTCAATTGTTTCCTTAAAGATTTTATCAAACAAAGTCAAATTAACGATTATTTAAGGTAAACAGGTCACCACAGAGACACCTCAGTCTCTCAAAAGCACCCTTAGCTGCTGAGGTTTCGTTTATAAAATCATATTAACTTGCGTTCTATGGTGGAAAAATGATTAGGTTGGATAGAAACTGCGGATTCATATGATAACATTAAACATTTAAAAGTACATGTTTTTTTGAGCCACAAAACTCGAAGTCCTAATATGTCTGCTTGATGATGAAGTAGCATTTGTGCATGTCTAGAATTTAATATTCGCGGTGTTATTAAAATTTGCGGAACGATTTCAGATTGTTGCTGAATAACGTATATTACAGTTAACTCTTGCCCATTCGAGACCATTCGTGTCAAATTCAAATGGAAGTGTCTCCAAGTTCCAGGAAATTGGAGATACTTCATGCAGTCGAAAACGTAAAATTTCATTGTTTTACATTTGTTGTTCAAATTAAATTGCTCACTTTGCTATTGGTGGGTTGATTTACTGCGAAGATCACCTCTTTATGACACAAAAACCTGATCTCCAGCTCTAGACCGACCAACATGCCAACTAACGAAGAAACGATGTTCTGAATGGGATCAGTTGTAGTAGATCCAAAATAGTATAATTTGCATTGCACCCGTTTATCCTTTTATGCTGTTAACTGCGGGATCTCGCAGCCATGGACATAAAAATGGATGAGGCTCCATTTTAGACTCCTTACCTTGAGGTTTTTAAAAAAAACGAGTTGACTTTCCTTGATATGGAGAATATATAGCATGCCTCCCAGCGCGTGATCTTTTGAAGCATGCAAGGATCCGAATTGGAGTAGATTCCTTTTGGCGAAGACAAATTAGCATTTCTATCTTCTGTACGAGAAATTCTGCTTCATTGATTTGAATAACACTCCGTTCGTGTTCATCCATAGAATGCAAATCATGTGATTCAGTATTGAGAAACACTGCCTCCTTAGTGAGAGTCTAAAATTCGAAATTATAAGGTCGTTTTCACAATTTTAATGCTACTACTACTTAGTTTAAAGACGTACCTTCGTTTTCTGAGCGTTTTGAGGCCCTTAAAATATCCTCTTGCTTCTTACACAAACTGTTGATTGGCAATGATCGTTATCTCATCGACACTCGCTACTTGAATAAGACACTTAGGCGGTTTCTTAGAAAGATAGAAACTTGTTTAAACTTGTTGTTTATTTAAAAAAATGAGTGACAGCCAGCTCTCCACAAAGATGACTCCAGTTATCATTTGCATATATGCGAAGATTATTTCGCTGTTTTTCTGCGAAGGAACTCGATACTTAACTGAAGAAGTTACATGGGCGATAGGTTTCCTAGAAAGATACTGAAGACAAGCTTTGAGGCTGTTTACGCAGTTACCTAAACATTCGAAGAAAAATGACGCTCGAGCGGTTCGGTTGCTTTTTCTGAGAACGTGAATTTTAATTGTGGAGTATTGAAGCGGTTAATCGCGCGCCCTTATTATGTATGTGATCGTGTTCAATTTCAAATTCAAACACGCTTTCATAAGAAAAAAAAACTTATTGACCGAACCTAAAAGAGGATTAAATGCTTATTAACTGAGCTTCAGTCAGGCTGGACGGGAAAATATTTGGCTTTCCGTCATGACGCACAGACCTCACTGAAATCGGTCATCATGACCTCGAGCCAAATATTTTGCTATCCGGCCCTACCACTCAGTCAATAATTAAATACATTAAACCATCTCAGAGGGACGTGTTTTACTAAGTTAAGATTGGTTGGAGAGAGTTTCCCTGAGAGTGGGACGATCATCACGACCATCAATTTTTGAACGATGTTTTACCCGGCGTACCTAACATACCTGTTTTAAGTACACGTCGGTTGTCGGTTAGAATTTCATTACGGGGAGGACCTTGATGAGGATAATTATCAGCTAATATCTATTAAAAAGAAATATATCACTTACTGTCAATGTCCATCGGAGGAGAGGCCACAAAGCTTATCAAAGCTCAACACAAATGTCAGAGTCAAAAGAACAGCCATCACCCAGGAAAAGATGGTGACTCCCTTAAAAAAATCGGCCTTTGGATCCTCAGTCGTAGTCCAGAAAATATCCATGTCAAAGTGTATAAGAATGCACACCCATGCCGCAAACAGGAACATCTGAAAATATGTGTAAAATGTTGATGAAGGTCGATGTTACTAAGATTATGTAAAACAAAAGGATTTTCAACGGACCATTTCGCTATGGAAATATTTGCATGTTTTTTTAAAAACAATTCCAAAGTGGCATAACTGTAGTTCAAATTTTGTTGCTGCAGTGACTATCTTACAATGTAATACCCTCAACAAGGTTGCTGTTAAGGTTTTTATTGGCTATATCCCACGATAATTAGATTTATAAGATTCCAAAGTTCTAACTCGTCAAAAAGAAACTATCCGTTCTCGTGGAAAACAATTTCTCTCGAAGGCATAAACTCAATTCTGGTATATGAACGCTATGCGTGTGTCAATAAACACGCCCTTTGATAAGATAAGCAGTATTTGGTTTCAAGCTAGGTTCTAATTAAAAAAATAACATAAATGTTCGCAGTGTTGAGTTCTTAAGGTTCGCAAGGTTCAATTCTTAAGGTTTGCAAGGTTCAGTTCTTAAGGTTTGCAAGGTTCAGTTCTTAAAGTTTGCAAGATTCAGTTCTGAGATTCGTGTTCCGTTTCTTTACAGTTGCGATGAAAGGTATGGATTAAACGTGGACACTGAAAATCTACATTTATAACATCACCGATCAATGCTGTTAGCTGTTCACAGCATTTAGGGGGATACTAGGCATCGATATAAACAATAAACCAACCGCAAGACAAGTGCACTCCATCGCGTCCAACCCAAACCAAAAACTTCGAAGTAACATCTCAATCGGCGGGGTAAAATATGTTAACTCTGATCGCAATAGTGTGAGTTTAATATAAAATTTTACAGGGTTACATCGTACCCTCTGGCCTTTCGGTTAGGACTTTGATTAACATCAAACTTAAAAAAACAAAATACAGTGATTGAGCAAAGTAAATTGAACTTCACCGGGTGATGATAAGATCTCTGATTTTTTAGTTATTGGTCCCTTGTGAAATCATTATCGTAGACGATAATAAAAACTTACAATTTCCACTAATTTCACTTTGAACGTCGTAGACTTTAAGAAGTCGTTATTGATATCCCAAACTCGTCTTTGGGGAGGTCCCTGAGAATGTTCAGTGGGTGTCCCTTGAGCTCGTTGCGTCTGAAACAGCTTGTAGTGCAACACCATATCCACGCCAAATGCCCCACACGATAAGAATCCAAACCCCTACCAGAGAGTAGATTTAGAAATATGGTATACTTTCTGGCCATCAAGGATTGAGAAACGTCCCACCAACCTAAATACCCACCGCAAAGGGTTAGTAATTCCAGCTTTAACTAAAGTTTCCCAAAGAGTCTGCCGGTAACTAACCCCCCTGAGTAGAAAGAGGCAATGTGAGAGTAAAATGTCGCGCCAAAGAATAGAGCACAGTCAGGACTCAAACCCAGACCCCTTAATGTGTAGTCCAGTAGGCTAGCCCAGAGGCCATCTTGTCTCCCATTGCACCCACATAAGAGTGTTGTGTACGTGAAGTATCCATACTTTAATCGAGGTAGAAATTTACAAATGTACATTTCTGTCAACGCTACCGGGTTAAAAATTCACCTCTGATTCGCGTCTACGAACCAATTCACACTTTTTCGAAACTTAAATTCCGATAAACAGAGTTCTGTGTACAAGTTCGTGCGTAAGGTATATCATTTGTGACTTGCCGTCGTAAAAAATGAGCGTGCCCCGAAATTTCCACATAATTCATTGCAATCAACGTCATTCTTCTACACCCTACGGCGTGTGCGTTCCTTCTTGATTACTTCAACCGACTGAGAGTTTGTTCTATCTCACCAAAATTGGAATTAAAGCAATCCAGCATATCGCGATAAACAATTGTCAATGTCACGAACAACCGCCACACTTAGAGTTCTGAATTCCGCGCCGAAGCGAAAGAAAAAAAAAGATTACATACCAGTCCTACAAACAGAGCTAGTACATTGGACTTGTAATCTGTAATCACATTTTTGTAAACCTTTCCAAATCTGACAACCTCAGGAGTCAGATTCCCACAGCAAGCAATTATCAACGAAAACAAGACAAATCCAATGATCAAAGCCTACGGAGAAAAGATAAAAAAAATTAAACCGAGATTGAAAAAAGTTCACCCCTTCATCCCAGGCTCAATCCCCATATCAGAACATTTAAGACAAGGTTTCCTCATAGGAGTTGACGAAACCCAAGGAGCATAAAACTTATGCCATGTAAAAGTGCTGATCTATGCAAAACAAATTTGGCTGTAAAGGTTACACCTGGACAAAAAAAATATGGTAAACTTAATAAGAAGGTTTTAATCATGTCACTGTTTGGGGACGAGGATCTTGAGAAAATTGACATTTTTCAAGTCTCACTGTTATTTACTTTTTAGTTTCGTCTTTCAAAGGCATACTCGTCCCTGATATGATCGCCTCTTTCTACCCATAGAGAACTCAAGTGCGGCCTTTTTAACCCTTTAACTCCCAAGATCTGATTGTTAATTCTCCCCTCTAGCTGCTACACATTTCCTTGTAAATTGGTTACGAAAATTTGGCGTTCAATCAAGGTAATATCTTGTACCTGATGAGTTTAAGTATTCTCATAACCTGTTTGCTGATGTATGGATGTTATAGGGAGAAGTTACATGTTAATCACTTCTGGGAGTTGACGGGTTAAGACGAACGGGGTCATTTTTCTATCAAAGAGGGGGCCATGGGAAGAAAAAGGGGATCGTTACTTGCCCTCATTGTCCAGCGTGAAGGCCGAGCACAAAGCTTGTCGAAACTCATCGCAAATGTCAACGTTGGTGTCTCCTGAGCTCGCTGTGTCTGAAACAATTTGTACTGTAATACCATATCCAATGCAAACGCTATACATGACAAAAATCCAAAGACCTTCCAGGATTTAGAAAAGAAAAATTATATCTATATGGTTATTTCGACCGAGTGTCGGGGACCGAGCCGTACAAACCGATCAAATCAGTAATGGTGTCCTGAAGTATCGCCGGTCTTTGTGGATGCCAAGCAAAAACGCAATTAGGAGGACTATCACCATTATCCAAGAAAATACGGAGACTCCTGCGAAGAACGACGCTCGACTATTCCAAACGAATGTACGGTTTGAGTAAGCAACACCACATGGCGAGGCGATTAACAAAACGATCTGTGTAAGAGGACAAGGTACGGTCATAAACAATGAGTATGACCATCTCTCCTTAATTATTGGTACAAACTGGAGAAGGGCAAGAGAGCACCACAGGCGGTGTTCCAACGAGGCTTCCTAATGATTTCTAACTTAGAATAAAAGTATCCCGATGCACGGCCTTAACCCTTAAGGATCCATGCGATACTCGTTTTGATTACGTTTGTAGATCAAATGCATTTTATTGCATACAACATTAAGAAAAAAAACTATCGTAACATTAATTTTCCAAACATGATTGGAAGTGATAAATTTAAAAGTTTGGAAATAAAAGAAAAATGTGTTGGCTAGGAATATTAAGAAGACATCGAGCAAAGTTTTCACTCAAAACTCCTGCTAATCCGATATCATTCGTTAAAACCTTTTCATATCCTTTAACTACTTACAAACTCAAAAATTCTTGAGCAACCCGGCATAGTTTTTAGATGGGCTTTGTTTATCCGCCCTGCCCTAGGTTGATTCACTGGGGGCTGCACAAGGACACCAGGGCCTGGAACGGATTGAACAGGTTGTCCAGTGGGGGCATGGGCAGGTTGTCCAGTGGGGACATAGCCTTGTTGTCCAGTGGGAACATAGCATTGTTGTCCAGTGGGGACATAGCCTTGTTGTCCAGTGGGGACGTAGCCTTGTTGTCCAGTGGGGACGTAGCCTTGTTATCCAGTGGGGACATAGCCTTGTGGTCCAGTGGGGACATTGCCTTTTTGTCCAGCGGGGACATAGCCTTGCTGTCCAGTGGGTGAGTGTGCTCCAGACTCTGCCTGTGGCTGATCATAAGATATCTGCTGCATGACTGTCTAACTGGTCTGTCCTTGGGTTTGACTTTTGACTTCTCGCCTGTAATTGTTGAAATGATGAATTATTGCCTGAGCAAAGCTAACGTTACCTGCAGTCACGTGACTCTGTTTTGTCTATGAACTCTATTAATACTCTAATGAAGATATTTAAATATCAGTGACACTAACTGCTTCAATGGTAGCAAAAAGATGTTTAAACTTTTTAAATCAAATAGCCTTAAAAAGCAATTTATATTTTATTTTCTTTTCAATCGTTTCCTTAAATTTATCATACAAAGTCAAATTATTGATTTTTTAAGGTACTCAGGTAACCATAGAGACATCTCAGACCCTCGGAAGCACCCTTCGCTACTGAGGTTACGTTTATAAAATCATATTAACTTACGTTCTACGATGGAAAAATTACTCGGTTGGATAGAAACTGAGGATTTATATAATACCATTGAAGATTTAAAAATAACTTTTTTTGAGCCACAAATTTGAGGTCTTAATAGGTCTGCTTGATGATGAAGTAGCATTTGTGCATGTCAAGAATTTAATTTTCGCGTTGTAATTAAAATTTGCGCAAAGACTTCAGATTATTGCTGAATAACGTATCTTACAGTTAACTCTCGCCCATTTGAGACTATGCTGTCACGTACCTCCCTTAATAAGAGTAAAAATTATGTGAACGTAACCTTCGGGTCAAGTCCAAATGGAACGAAAGAAATGTCTCCAAGTTCCAGGAAATTGGAGATACTTCATGCGGTTGCGAACGTAAAATTTCATTTTTTAACATTTGTTGTTCAAATTAAATTGCTCACTTTGCTGTTGGTGGGCTGATTTACTGCGAAGATCACCTCTTTATGATACAAAAACCTGATCTCCAGCTCTAAACCGACCAACATGCTAACTAATGAAGAAGCGATGTTTTGAAAGGGATCAGTTGTAGTAGATCCGAAATAGTATAATTTGCATTGCACCCGTTTATCCTTTTATCCTGTTAACTGCGGGACCTCGCAGCCATGGACATAAAAATGAATGACGCTCCATTTTAGACTCCTTACCTAGAGGTTTTTAAAAAAAACGAGTTGCGAAGAAATTCGATACTTGAATGAGACACTTGGGCGGTTTCCTAGAAAGACAGAAAGAGGAGCCGTAAGCTTGTTTATGAAGCAACCCAAAAATTTAAAAAATGAGTCACGCTCAACGCACCACAAAGATGACTCCAGTTACAATCTGCATATAAGCGAAGATTATTTCGCCGATTTTCTGCGTAGGAACTCGATACCCGAAGAAGTTTTGCAGGCGATAGGTATCCTAGAAAGATAATCTAGACAAGCTTTGAGGCCGTTTACGCAGTTACCCAAACATCAGTAGAAAAATGACATTTGAGCGGTTTTTCCGAGAACGTGAATTCTAATTGTAGACGTATACTTAGAATAAAACAGACATGAGCTTGTTTAGAGGAATTTCTGTCGTTTTTTCCTGATTCGGAGAAATAAAGAAGTCAGTGTTTATTACAGAACCTCCTATTGAAGCGGGTAATCGCGCGTCCTTCTTATGAACGCTTTCATAATTTTTAACCTAGAAGTCATAAGGCAAAAAACGTAGGACCGAGCTCAAGAGAGGATGAAATGTTTGTTAACCGAGCCTTGTCAGGCTTAGCTTGTTTAGAGTAATTGTTATCGTTGTGTCGTGATTCGGAGAAAACCTTATATTGAAGCCGGTTAATCGCGCGCCCTTATGTAGGTTTGTAATCGTGTTCAATTTTAATTTCAGACACGCTTTCATAATTTTTAAAACCTAGATTGCAATCGACACTCAATTGAAAGCTGTCGCAACCGCGAAATCAAGATTCTAATATAAACTCAGAGCTTCGATCATTTATTGACGGTGATTTCGTGGAATGCAAAGAGATGGAACTAACTTAAATTATCGTCGATATTTAATACTCTGTTTCAACATAGTATTAACATAGTTGTGGTTCAACATACTGCCAAATATTATTATTCCTTAAGACAGCACGCAGACATTGTTAAAATAACCACATCCTATTTTAATTGACATTTTTGCTTTTTTATATCACTGACCATAACAGGGAAATGAAATCCCCTGGCGAACACACATGATTTTTCTCCGCGGTGAACTGAACTTCTTTGCGTTTTTTCTACAAAGCATATGATTTCGAGTTGTGATACTACATCAGGAAACCAAACAGTAATCTAAGAAAAATAACAGTACCTTTACGGTGTGCAGTGAAATCGTCCACCGTTTATAAACCTCTGCGAAAGCAAGGGGAAACATAGATTAACTCAAATTCGCAATATAAACAGGTCTCTCCCGAATGAAAAATGTACAATCCTCATTTTATCCACATAATACAATAGCTTTCGATGCAACAGATCCTAGCAGAATATGTAAGATGTTTGCATATGACTTAGCTGCCAATACGTAGGTTGTCTGTCGGTTTGACGAAGGTTTACGTTCGTAAGATAAGCTGAAGTAGCTGTCTCTACATTCGCCCTGAAGAAGAGCTAACGCTCGAAACTTTAGCTTTAGAAACTCTTTGCGGTGGCCAATTTACATTTTAATCTCAGTTGATAAAACCAAATTGTCTGAAGCTTGGTTTGTTGATGATCCGACAGCGAAATCGTTCCAAAAGTCTGAGGTTCGAATCCTCATCATGTAGAATTAAAATATTTTCTAATCGCATGTTCGCGACAAATGCTTGTCATCTTCAAGATATTTTTTCTTGACGGCTGAATGGCTATCAGAGTTTCGCTCCTACTAAGAAATTGGATAAGCCTTCTCGGAAAGCCTGAATGCGAGGAAACATCCATCAACTCAAATTCCTAATACAAACAGGTCACTCGCGATACACCAGAACACAAAATGTACTATCTTCCAAATTTTATTCACATGAGACACTAGTTTTCGATGCAACAGATCCTAGCAGTAAATGTAGGACATGGGTCACGTTTGTACTTAGCATAGGACTTAGCTGCCAATACTTAGGTTGTCTGTCGCTTTAACGAAGGGTTCACGCTCGTAAAGATAGCTTTAGAAACTGTGTTTACATTCGCCCTGACGAAGCGCTAACGCTTGAAACGTTAGCTTTAGAAAATCTTTGCGATGGCCAATTTACTTTTAATCTCAGTTAAAAAACCAAATTGTCTGTCGCTTAGTTAGTCCATCATCGAAAAGTCTGAGGTTGGAATCCTCATCGTGGTAGTCGCATGTTTGTGACAAATGCGTGACATCTATCGCTGAAAATTTGGCGCCTGAAAAGGCTGTTAAACCGCGAGACCTAAATTATGGTATACACGATTAGTATTTATAAGTGGGCAGCCCAAAGGTCTATCGACTTTCCGAAAACGTTTCAATAACGATGACACTTAGCAATACATGAAAACTGTACAATTCTTATATCACTGGTCGATGGAAATTACTAGGAAATGGTATGGCTCATTCAGAGATGAAGCCAAAATAATTAAAGCAACCGAAAAGTGACATACCTTTGAGTGCAGTGAAATCGTCCACGTCTATAAACCTCTTAAAGACAAGGGGAACTTATATTTTCTTTCTTGAGGATATAAATCATAAATTTTGCTTCTTACCGCTCTTTTCCCTCGCGCTGATAGCACAGACTGTCAGTGTTAGGACAAAGGTGCAGCTACTTATGTCGTGACAGCCTTCGTGGAAAAGGTGATACTCATTACCTTGTATCTATAAGATTTCATCTTTGACCAAAATAACATAGAAAATATAGGTACGCAATACGTACATGGGAAAATATGCGACCATTCACGGGATTGGAACCATTACGTTTAACGCCACTTGCTTTTACTCTAGACTGCATTCGATAATTCAGGAGAACAATCGGTGAATTTAAAGCTACCTGACCATTCCAAAGAGACCATATAAACCTTTTTTAAGCCGTGAAGAGTGGTCTTCAACGCGCAATGCGGAGATTATTACACCAGTAAATTAAGCTGATATATTTTATTCAACGAATTGAATTTTGGAGAATGTTTGGAAGATTTTGATGAAAAACTGTCTGATTTCTCCGCCGTTTTGTAAAAAATTCCGATTGCTTATATGTATAGCATTTGACTGGTGACTTGCATTCCAACTTTGCAATGGTTTTCTGTCTAATATGGAAGCAGGGGACGTGAATGCTCAGTCAAATTTCAAACATGGCATACAGATGTAACAAACGAAATATGTAAGTGTCTCTAAAATGGGGGCTGAAAGTTCATTTTGAAGAGTTAATAGATAAAGTATTGATTTTCATATAAATATTTGGAATATCCATACCTATTCAGAGACTTCAAAAAATAATATGTGGTAAAAAGATAGTTTTCCCTAAGAACAGTAAGAAGGATTTCTGAGAATTGTTTTTGTTTGAGCCTAAGTGGAAAGCTACGTAGGTTGTGGAGCTTTGTGTTCTTGTGCAAGGCACTAAACTCTCACAGTACCTCTTTCCACCATCTGTCAGTGAAGATTAGTGAAATGCTGCGAGGTAACTTCGCAATGACTAGGATCTCTTATTCTGGGGGAAGTCATGACACTCCTAGTCGCCTCATGCTACGTGGAATAAGCTCCGGCTCGGTGGGCCACTTGGCTCGAATACAGACTGTACCTTGAGCCTTTTTCCTTCCATTGTTAAGCCATCAAAGAATGGTAAAAGTAAAAAAAACCAAAATAAACGAAATCGCTAAATCGATCACACTCACTGTGTCGCGATTCTTGTCACATCGTTTTACCATAATGAGGTTTTGCTGATCAAAGCTAAGAAAGGTAACCATTGACAGTTCAGTGAGACTTTTTATTCAAATTTATAGTCCAAGTTTTATTTCAACTAGGGGTCAGTAAACGATATATAAAAAAACATAGTATTCTATGTGACGATCGTATGTCTCTTACGGTTATCGCTTCTTTGGGGTGATAAATGCCACATACTTAAGTTAAAAAATCTAGCTACGGAAAAAGGTTAACCATGATAAATGTCGAATATGAATAAAGGACAATTCCAAACGAACTAAGTCAATATAGGATCGTTTCAATACGGCAACTCTCTATAACATTTTTTTTTTTTTGCTGCTAACCAACAAAAATCAATCAAAGCTGAGGACGCGCTTTCAAACAAAGCCGTCTTCTAAAAAGTTTTGTAAACGGGCTGCGTTGTTGCTGATCCAGGCTACCGTGGTTGAAGGTCAGTAAAGAGGTTATTGGGTATTAGCCGCAGCAATTTCCTTTGCTCTTTGCGATCTGTAAATCTTTGTCAGTTGTGGGATGTCTTCCAGGAAAGTCATACAGGTCAACGCACCACCCACCTGCAAAATTTTATTTCAACTAGGGGTCAGTAAACGATATATAAAAAAACATAGTATTCTATGTGACGATCGTATGTCTCTTACGGATATCGCTTCTTTGGGGTGATAAATGCCACATACTTAAGTTAAAAAATCTAGCTACGGAAAAAGGTTAACCATGATAAATGTCGAATATAAATAAAGGACAAGTACAAACGAACTAAGTCAATACAGGATCGTTTCAATACGGCAGCTCTCTATAACATTTTTTTTTTTTTTGCTGCTAACCAACAAAAATCAATCAAAGCTGAGGACGCGCTTTCAAACAAAGCTGTCTTCTAAAAAGTTTTGTAAACGGGCTGCGTTGTTGCTGATCCAGGCTACCGCGGTTGAAGGTCAGTAAAGAGGCTATTGGGTATTAGCCGCAGCAATTTCCTTTGCCCTTTGCGATCTGTAAATCTTTGTCAGTTGTGGGATGTCTTCCAGGAAAGTCATACAGGTCAACGCACCACCCACCTGCAAAAAGAAGAGACAAAAACTGAGCCAGCTGTGATTTTACCGCTTGCTATGTGTTTGTAAGTTTTTTATATGTTCAATCTTTCAAAATTATAGGCCAAATAATATTGCGAGGGCATATTCCGGTTTTCATGACATGGTCGTTGGAGTTTGTGGAAGATCACCTAGTTTTAACCCTTTAACTCCCATGATCTCATCAGTAATTTTCCTTACTGTCTGCCATAAAGTTGTTGTGATGTTTGTTTGGAGAATTTGATATTGGATCAACTAATAATCCCCTGATTGATATTTTTCTTTATTCTAATCATTTGTCTGCTTGATATTTTATTGATATTGTAAGGCGAAATTCTGTCTTGGTCACTCATGGGAGTTGAAGGGTAAAGAGGGAGCGAAGGAGGGATTAGTCGTCGCTAAGAGAGTATAATAGAGAAGGGGGGGAGGGTTAGAATACTTCTGAGCCTTAGGGGTGGATCAGGTAAATGTTATTGTGACACTACCAAAATCTTCACCCCTCCCTCCTTCCCTCCCGGTGGTTCCCGAGACCCACCCCTTGGATTCGCTAGTGCATCCATTCGTCATTCGACAGAAAACAGGACACTCTGCTTGATTTGTTCTTTCTGCTCACCAAGACGATAGGAAAAGAAAATTTAGGGAAAAAAGTAAAATAACGTACCAAGGCGCAAAAGAGCATTGCAACGTTCACGCCGTCTGTAGACCTGCTTTTACCGTATCGATCTAGGTGATCTTTGTTAGCTTTATACCATTCGACAGCGGGCATAGCCAGTCTTGTAGTGCTGGCGATGAGAAGTATGGCCATGAGGACTTGTACAGCTAATACCTGTGGGAAAAGAACAGGTGTTTTTGACTTGTTGGAGCAGAAAAAGATTGATTTTAAACATTCAATTGCCAGTAATAAATAATAGAAGAGCAACAACATGTCGTCTGCCACCTAAACGTCAATATCACAGCCTCACAACCTCGTTTCTAAGAAGGAGAAGCCTGAGAAAGAGTCAGACATCTTGAGTACAAGGCAATATATCTGCCGAGTGACTGGTTGTATATTTTGTGCAACTGAGATAGTCAAGTGTCCAGCCTTCAACAGTTCTTTAATTCGTGTTAATAATCTGTGGTTTAATATACGAGAGTCTTTTTAGGTAACTACTTAGTTGGCCAAATGTTCCTTCAAAGTTTTTAGCTGCTATGTTTTTATCCTCACTCGCTTTGATGGCCATTTCCCAGTGAATTTTTCTAGATAGTGCTAAATGTCCCTTTACCCGATCAGTGATATGAAATACCACTCCGAGTTCCAAAAGTCAAGAGTACAAAACCTTTCTTGTGAAATGATTTGTATCGGAAGTACAAGAATGAGGCTGCTTTTCGTCTCAGCACCTTTCAGAGGCTACCCACGAACACTGACCCGTTTTTGCAGAGAGTCTTTGGGCGTCTTGGAAACGGTCTTATATGAGTATCACATCGATGAATTATCGGAAATGAATTGGTTGCAATACTCACTATCAGTGTGGAATATGATGGTGTCTTGAAGTATCGCTGGTCTTTGTGGATGCCAAGCATAAACCCAATTTGGAGGACTATCACCATTACCCAACAAAATGTGGAGACTCCTGCGAAAAACGTTGCTCGACCATCCATACCGAAAGTACGGTTTGAGTAAACAATACCACATGCCGAGGCGATTAACAAGAGGATCTATGTAAGAGGACAAGGTAAGCTCGTGAACAATGATTATGACCATCACTATTTGATCGTTGGTACAAAGCTGGAGAAGGGCAAGAGCACCACAAGTGGTGTTCCAACAAGGCTTCCTAATGAATTCTTACATAGAAAGAGAGTATCTCGATGCGCTACCTTAACCTATAAGGATCCATGTGATACTCGTCAACATTACATTTGTAGGTCAAATGCATTTCATTGCATACATCATAAAAGAAAAAACTATCTTAACATTAATTTTCCAAAATGCTGGGAAGTGATTGATTTAAAAGTTTGGAAATAACAAATTTTTGTTGGCTGAGAATACTAGGAAGACATCGAGCAAAGTTTTAAATCAAAACCCCTGCTAATCCGATATCATTCGTTCAAACCCCTTCATATCCTTTAACTACTTACAAACTCAAAAATTCTCGAGCCACCCAGCATTGTTTTCAGGTAGGTTCTGTCCATCCGCCCTGCCTGGCCTGGAACGGATTGGACAGGTTGTCCAGTGGGGACATAGCCTTGTTGTCCAGTGGGGACATAGCCTTGTTGTCCAGTGGGGAAATAGCCTTGTTGTCCAGTGGGGACATAGCCTTGTTGTCCAGTGGGGACATAGCCTTGTTGTCCAGTGGGGACATAGCCTTGTTGTCCAGTGGGGACATAGCCTTGTTGTTCAGTGGGGACATAGCCTTGTTGTCCAGTGGGGACATAGCCTTGTTGTCCAGTGGGGACATTGCCTTGTTGTCCAGTGGGGACATAACCTTGTTGTCCAGTGGGGACATAGCCTTGTTGTCCAGTGGGGACGTTACCTTGTTGTCCAGTGGGGACATAGCCTTGTTGCCCCATGGGTGACTGTGCTTCAGATACTGCCTGTGGCTGATCAGAAGATATCTGCTGCATGACTGTCTAACTGGTCTGTCCTTGGGTCAGACGTTTGACCTCCCACCTGTGATTGTTGAAATGACGAATTATTGCCTGAGCTAAGCTAATGTTTCCTGTGGTCACGTGACTCTGCTTTGTCTATTAACTCTTTTAATACTCTCAAAAGATATTTCGATATAAGTTACATTAGTTGGTTGAATGGTAGCAAAAAGATATTTAAACTTTTTAAACTAAATAGCCTCAAAAGCAATTTATATTTTATAATCTTTTCAATTATTTCCTTAAAGATTTTATCAAACAAAGTCAAATTAATGATTATTTCAGGTAAACAGGTTACCACAGAGACACCCCAGTCTCTCAAAAGCACCCTTAGCTGCTGAGGTTTCATTTATAAAATCATATTAACTTGCGTTCTATGGTGGAAAAATGATTAGGTTGGATAGAAACTGCGGATTCATATGATACCATTAAACATTTAAAAGTACATGTTTTTTTGAGCCACAAAACTCGAAGTCCTAATATGTCTGCTTGATGATGAAGTAGCATTTGTGCATGTCTAGAATTTAACATCCGCGGTGTTATTAAAATTTGCGGAACGATTTCAGATTGTTGCCGAATAACGTATATTACAGTTAACTCTCGCCCATTTGAGACCATGCTGTCACGTACCTCCTTATAAGAGTAAAAATTATGTGAACTTAACCTTCGTGTCAAATCCAAATGGAACGAAGGAGATGTCTACAAGTTCCAGGAAATTGGAGATACTTCATGCAGTCGAAAACGTAAAATTTCATTGTTTTACATTTGTTGTTCAAATTAAATTGTTCACTTTGCTGTTGGTGGGTTGATTTGCTGCGAAGATCACCTCTTTATGAGACAAAAACCTGATCTCCAGCTCTAGACCGACCAACATACCAACTAACGAAGAAACGATGTTCTGAAAGGGATCAGTTGTAGTAGATCCGAAATAGTATAATTGCATTGCACCCGTTTATCCTTTTATCCTGTTAACTGCGGGATCTCGCAGCCATGGACATAAAAATGAATGAGGCTCCATTTTAGACTCCTTACCTAGAGGTTTTTTAAAAAAAACGAGTTGACTTTCCTTGATATGGAGGATATATAGCATGTCTGCCAGCGAGTGATCTTCGAAGCATGCCATGATCCGAATTGGAGTAGATTTCCTTTTGGCGAAAAAAATTTGCATTTCTTTCTTTTGTACGAGAAATTCTGCTTCATTGATTTGAATAACACTTCGTTCGTGTTCACCCATGGAATACAAATCATTAGATTCAGTATTGAGGAGCATTGCCTCCTTTGTGAGAGTCTAAAATTTGAAATTATAAGGTCGTTTTTACAATTTCAATGCTACTAGTACTTAGTTTAAAGACGTACCTTCGTTTTCTGAGTGTTTTGAGGCCCTTAAAATATCCTCTTACTTCGGACACAAACTGTAGATTCGCAATGATCGTTATTTCATCGACTTTCTGCGAAGAAACTCGATACTTGAATAAGACACTTGAGCGGTTTCTTAGAAAGATTGAAAGAGGAGCTGTAAGCTTGTTTACTTGACAACCCAAACATTTAAAAAATGAGTGACACCCAGCTCTCCACAAATATGACTCCAGTTACCATCTGCACATATGCGGAGATTATTCCGCTGATTTTCTGCGAAGGAACTCGATACTTAACTGAAGAAGTTACATGGGCGATAGGTTTCCTAGGAAGATAATGAAGACAAGTTTTGAGGCTGTTTACGCAGTTACCCAAACATTCGAAGAAAAATGACGTTCGAGCGGTTCGGTTGCTTTTTCCGAGAACATGAATTCTAATTGTGGTCGTATACCTAGAATAAAACAGACATGAGCTTGTTTAGAGGAACTGTTATTGCTTTGTCCTGATTCGGAGAAATAAAGAAGTGTTTTATCACAGTACCTTCTATTGAAGCGGTTAATCGCGCGCCCTTATTATGTATGTAATCGTGTTCAATTTCAAATTCAAAGACGCTTACCTAGTAGTCATAAGAAAAAAAACCTTATTGACCGAGCCTAAGAGAGGATTAAATGCTTATTAACTGAGCTTGGTCAGGCTGGACGGGAAAATATTTGGCTTTCCGTCATGACGCACAGACCTCACTGAAATCGGTCATCATGACCTCGAGCCAAATATTTTACTATCCGGCCCTACCACTCAGTCAATAATTAAATACATTAAACCATCTCAGAGGGACGTGTTTTACTAAGTTAAGATTGGTTGGAGAGAGTTTCACTGAGAGTGGGCCGATCATCATGACCAATCAAAGAGTGAAGGAGAGCAAACCCAAGTTAATCGCGGATTGCAATCGACATTCAACTGAAAACTGCCGCGAGCGCGAAATCGAGATTCTCAGTTAATAAACTCAGAGCTTCGATCATTTATCGACGGTGATTTCGTGGAATGCAAAGAGATGGAACTAACTAAAATTACCGTCGATATTTAATACTCTGTTTAAAAGCATAATACATGTTTATAAATCCTACCTAGCTTAGTTGTGGCTCAATATACTGCCAAATATTAGTAATCTTTAAGACAGCACACAGACATTGTTAAATAACCACATAATATTTTCCTAGACATTTTTGCTTTTCTTTATCACTGACCACAATAGGGAAATGAGATTCCCCGGCAAACACAAATAATTTTTCTCCACGGTGACCTTACTTATTTGCGCTTTTTCTACAAAGCATATCATCTCGAGTTGTGATACTATATCAGCAAACCAAACGGCAATCGAAGACTTAACTAAAAGCGACCCTTGTCTCGTCACTACGCCAAAATCAGTTACCTTAGTTCTAAATTTTGCAAAATTGCTCTGCGCATAGTAAGGAAGACTTCGCTTTACAAAGCACGTTGCTACATTTCATTTTTCATTTTCTCCATTCTGTGCTTGCAAACCGTAGGCAGGAACTCCTGCCATCACAGGGTGTTGTCCCGGATACTGGACGGGCTGATGTCCTGGATACTGGACGGGCTGTTGTCCCGGATACTGAACGGGCTGTTGTCCCGGATACTGGACGGGCTGTTGTCCCTGATATTGGACGGGTTGTTGTCCCGGATATTGGACGGGCTGTTGTCCTGGATATGCAGCTGGTTGATAAGGAACTTGTTTAGCGCCTTGTGGGACAATCACGACGGCAGGATGTTGGACGACACCCGACTGTGCCGAGGAGCCAGCCTCCTGCGCTCTTTGCTGCTGGTACAACTTGTACATAAGGATGATATCTACAATCACAATTATCCACGAGATATACCCCAGCGGCTGTCAAGTCAAAATCGGTGTACTCTCATTATTCAGTGTTTCTCGTTCATCAGCTCAAAATTGTTGATGAATACGATCGAATCATATACAAATGAATCAAAAGAATTTTACTTTCGACTGTTGATGAAACCACATTAAAGGTCGTTGGTCACAGGTCGTTCTGCTAGGGCGGAGGAGGGAATTTAAACTTTATTGAATCAGTGTGCAAACACACAAACATTACTTACCGCTGCTATAATCAGAGCTAATATATTAGCCCTGTTATTCGTGCTCACATATTTGAAAGTCTTTGCCCGGTCGATGACAGGCTTAGTTAGGGTTCCGCAGCAAACGATCAACAAAATGGCGACAAGGAGGTAAACACATAAAGTCTGAAAATATCAAAGATATAAACAAACATTTCAACAATCGATCTCTCATTTCCTTAGTCGAGTTAATAAATCACCTACAGACTAAATACATAAAAATAGATTAAACAGGGCAACACAACCAATGCGAAGCACACGGTTTGTAGTTAAACTAATACACAGGAGAGACCAACCTGAGAGAGAGCAACACTTTTCTCCACCCTCGATACGAACATTAGTCCTAAGGTTAATTCTCCACAGTCAAGTGTTTGGAGACTATCGTGATATTGCGTTACGTTCTCATGGCACGTGGCCTTGCGCGTGCACTTAATCCATCAGCCAATCCTGTGCAATTTTGTATGATTACATAACAATAGTCCGAGCAGTTGAATTGTGGAATATTTTCGTGAGCATTCGAGATGAAGAAACCATGCAGTAAATCATCTGGGAAATTTACTGAGTTCAAAGTCTTCTAAGTAACGTGACAGAGATCCAAGAAGTATCTTGTAATAAAAAATTGTACCGCAAATTTTGCTCAGGCGCCTACCCGTGCGGCGGTCTTCGCTGAAACATTCAGCCAACGCGTGGGGAACAAGCGACAATTCTGCGTAATCACGAAATAGTGTGGATTCTGAGAAGGGAGCCTCGACAATTTTTGAACGATGTTTTACCCGGCGTGCCTAACATACCTGTTTTATGTACACGTCGGTTGTCGGTTAGAATTTCATTACGGGGAGGACAGATTCATTTGTCTAAAAAATAACTTAGGCAAGACTGCCTTTGGAATAAGGTATATAGGTTACTCAATCTCCCAGCTTGATAACCTCGATAAGGATAATTATCAGCTAATATCTATTAAAAAGAAATATATCACTTACTGTCAATGTCCATCGGGAGGAGAGGCCACATAGCTTATCAAAGCTCAACACAAATGTCAGAGTCAAAAGAACAGCCATCACCCAGGAAAAGATGGTGACTCCCTTAAAAAAATCGACCTCTGAATCCTCAGTCGTAATCCAGTAAATATCCATGTCAAAGTATATGACAATGCACACCCATGCCGCGAACAGGAACATCTGAAAATACGTGTAAAAATGTTGATGAAGGTCGATGTTACTAAGATTATGTAAAACAAAAGGATTTTCAACTGACCATTTCGCTATGGAAATATTTGCATGTTTTTTTAAAAGCGATTCCAAAGTGGCATAACTGTAGTTCAAATTTTGTTGCTGCAGTGACTATCTTACAATGTAATACCCTTTACAGAGTGTTGCCTCAACAAGGTTGCTGTTAAGGTTTTTATTTGCTATATCCTACGATAATTAGATTTATAAGATTCCAAAGTTCTAACTCGTCAAAAAGAAACTATCCGTTCTCGTGGAAAACAACTTCTCTCGAAGGCTTAAACTCAATTCTGGTATATGAACGCTATGCGTGTGTCAATAAACACGCCCTTTGATAAGATAAGCAGTATTTGGTTTCAAGCTAGGTTCTAATTAAAAAAATAACATAAATGTTCGCAGTGTTGAGTTCTGAAGGTTCGCAAGGTTAAATTCTTAAGGTTTGCAAGGTTCAGTTCTGAGATTCGTGTTCCGTTTCTTCACAGTTACGTTGAAAGGTATGGATTAAACGTGGAAACTGAAAATCTACATATACAACATCACAGATCAATGCTGTTAGCTGTTCACAGCATTTAGGGGGATACTAGGCATCGATATGCACAATAACCCAACCGCAAGGCAAGTGCACTCCATCGCGTCCAACCCAAACCAAAAACTTCGAAGTAACATCTGAATCGGCGGGGTGAAATATGTTAACTTTGATTGCAATAGTGTAAGTTTAATATAAAATTTTACAGGGTTACATCGTACCCTCTGGCCTTTCGGTTTGGACTTTGATTAATATCAAACTTAACAAAACAAAATACAGTGATTGAGCAAAGTACGTTGAACTTCACCGGGTGATGTTAAGATCTCTGATTTTTTAGTTATTGGTCCCTTGTGAAATCATTATCGTAGACGATAATAAAAACTTACAATTTCCACTAATTTTACTTTGAACGTCGTAGAATTTAAGAAGTCGTTATTGAAATCCCAAGCTCGTCTTTGGGGAGGTCCCTGCGATTGTTCAGTGGGTGTCTCTTGAGCTCGTTGCGTCTGAAACAGCTTGTAGTGCAACACCATATCCACGCCAAATGCCCCACACGATAAGAATCCAAACCCCTACCAGAGAGCAGATTTAGAAATATGGTATACTTTCTGGCTATCAAGGATTGAGAAACGTCCCACCAACCTAAATACCCACTGCAAAGGGTTAGTAATTCCAGCCTTAACTAAAGTTTCCCTAAGAGTCTGCCGGTAACTAACCTCCCAGCCCCCAGGGTAGAAAGAGGCAATGTGATGTGTAGTCCAGTAGGCTAGCCCAGAGGCCATCTTGTTGTGTACGTGAAGTATCCATACTTTAATCGAGGTAGAAATTTACAAACGTACATTTCTGTCAACGCTACCGGGTTAAAAATTCACCTCTGATTCGCGTCTACGAACCAATTCACACCTTTTTCGAAACTTACATTCCGATAAACAGAGTTCTGTGTACAAGTTCGTGCGTAAGGTATATCATTTGTGATTTGCCGTCGTAAAAAAGTTCGTGCGTAAGGTATATCATTTGTGATTTGCCGTCGTAAAAAATGAGCGTGCCCCGAAATTTCCACATAATTCATAGTAATCAACGTCATTCTTCTACACCCTTTGGCGTATGCGTTCCTTCTTGATTACTTCAACCGACTGAGAGTTTGTTCTATCTCACCAAAATTGGAAATAAAGCAATCCAGTATATCGCGATAAACAATTGCCAATGTCACGAACAACCGCCTAACTTAGAGTTCTGAATTCCGCGCCGAAGCGAAACAAAAAAAAAAAAAAAAAAAAAGATTACATACCAGTCCTATAAACAGAGCTAGTACATTGGACTTGTAATCTGTAATCACATTTTTGTAATTCTTTCCAAATCTGACAACCTCAGGAGTCAGATTCCCACAGCAAGCAATTATCAACGAAAACAAGACAAATCCAATGATCAAAGCCTACGGAGAAAACACAAAAAAATTAAACCGAGATTGAATAAAGTTCGCCCCTTCATCCCAGGCTCAATCCCCATATCAGAACATTTAAGACAAGGTTTCCTCATAAGAGTGGACGAAACCCAAGGAGCATAAAATTTATGCCATGTAAAAGTGCTGATCTATGCAAAACAAATTTGGCTGTAAAGGTTACACGTGGACAAAAAAAAATATGGTAAACTTAATAAGAAGGTTTTAATCATGTCACTGTTTGTGGACGAGGATCTTGAGAAAATTGACATTTTTCAAGTCTCACTGTTATTTACTTTTTAGTTTCGTCTTTCAAAGGCATACTTGTCTCTAATATGATCGCCTCTTTCTACCCATAGAGAACTCAAGTGCGGCCTTTTTAACCCTTTAACTCCCAAGATCTGATTGTTAATTCTCCCCTCTAGCTGCCACACATTTCCTTGTAAATTGCTTACGAAAATTTGGTGTTCAATCAAGGTAATATCTTGTACCTGATGAGTTTAAGTATTCTCATAACCTGTTTGCTGAATAATGTATGGATGTTATAGGGAGAAGTTACATGTTCATCACTTCTGAGAGTTAACGGGTTAAGACGAACGGGGTCATTTTTCTATCAAAGAGGTGGCCATGGGAAGAAAAAGGGGATCGTTACTTGCCGTCAATGTCCAGCGTGAAGGCCGAGCACAAAGCTTGTCGAAACTCATCACAAATGTCAACGTCACAAGAACAGTCATCACCCAGGAAAAGATTGTGATTCCTCTAAAGAATTCTGCTGCCGGTTCTTCGTGAGTCTTATTCGTATATTTGAAAGTATTCGTGTCAAAGTATTTCAGGACGCATACCCATGCCACAAAGAGCAGGAACTGAAAATGGATGAAAAATAGGGTAAGCTTTGGAGGAATTACTGATATTGATGTAAAGTAAGTGAGAATGATCTGAAATAGAGGAGAGGATTGGCCCACTTAACGTGAACTGTTGTTATAGAACCCTACACTCCACCGCTTGGAGGTCATCCTTCCAAAGTTATCTCCACCCGCTCAAGCACTCCTTGCCCGTTGAGTGAAGGTAGCACCACCTTACGTCCCAACCAATTTCCGTTATTCATTTTAATCGTTCTGTTTTAAAGTTACTAATCTGTCAAGTAAAAAAGGCATCAAAGGCATGCATAACTGATTTTTTATCGTCGTGCTTATCAAATGGAAGACAGTTAATCGTCTTTCGGACTACAGTGGTACCCAGGAGTAGGACTTAAAGGAAAAAAAACTATTCATTACAGAAAAAAAAACCTGTTGCCCCGTGATTCTTGACCGTCTATCCTAAGTGAGCCGCTGGTGTCTAGGTGTGCCTACATAATTATCAGCTCACGGGCCTTCTGTATTTTCCAAGTTTAGAGCTCGAGTTCCCGCGAGAACGCAATAAAAGGCGCTGGACATTTGACTAATACAAACACAAGAGCTTAAAGGGGGAGGGGGAGGGGGTGGGGTAGAAAATTAAAAGACAAACCCTGCGCTCATCCTCACGTGCTCTTTCTGCGCTTCTTCGCTGATATTTAAAGAAGTAAAATAGCTTTACACAGATTTCTTCCACAAACACTCATAATTTACCAATTCCGCTAGTTTGACGAAAAAGTATTGTGACTGTAAATACTCCTTGTTGATATCCCAGGCCTGTCTTTGGGGAGATTCCTGCGCTTGTTCGGTTGGTGTCTCCTGAGCTCGCTGTGTCTGAAACAATTTGTACTGTAATACCATATCCAATGCAAACGCTATACATGACAAAAATCCAAAGACCTGCCAGGATTTAGAAAAGAGAAATTATATCTATATGGTTATTTCGACCGAGTGTCGGAGACCGAGCCGTACAAACCGATCAAAACAGAAGAAAACTTTAAAAGAAGCTGATAAGAATTAAAGAAGGTAAAGAGTAAAGGAAACCGCCAGCAGGTAGCGGTTTTCTTTAAGATATAAATATGATTGGTTTATAGCGTTGACTAATCAGAGAGTGCAAAAGTCAAATAAGAAAAAAATAAATTCATCAAACCCACGCTGCCTCGTCTATACAGGGGCATTTTCTCAGATTTCCCTGAAATACTTCGGTTAAGCAACCAAGGACTGAAACAACCCACAATACCTTTCGGGGTTGTCGCGTGCACTGTTAGGCTTTTATCCGACAACCTTTCTCGAAACAGCTGCATACTTAAAGTAAAAGTCTTTCCAGAATAAGCTAAAGTGGGATTCGCCGCGTGAATATTCACCACGTATTGAAACTGATTTCAATTCAATTTGTTTCCCGTCCCTTTTTGTGTGTGTGTATGTGTCACCGAAGTGTCCTCTTGTACAAGAGAGTCTCAATTGATGTTTAATCCTGGTTCAGTACAATACGCCCATGGGTAATCGGAAATCATATTCATCTTCGGATATTTTACATTTTATTGTAGAACTTACCAGGGCAACACTAAGGGATACCACAAATGGTCTGTATGTGCTTGAGATAATTTTCTGGCGTTTTCCAAAGTAAACGGCCCTTGGGACCAAGTTTCCAGTACAGGCGAGCAGCAGCGCAAACATGATGAAATAAAAGACGAGAGACTGCAAAAGATAGAAAACATAATATATCCAAGAATAAGAAAAAGATAACCATACAGGTTTAAATTAATAGAAAAATAAATGAACACATGAATGAGTGGATGAATGAATAATGAAAGACCAATTAAGAAAGAATATATAAATTGATAACTAAATGATTGAAAGATCAATAGGCTAGTATCGAATTGTTTGTGCGAGAAAGTCTGGTAACTAGTTTTGAGCACCAGTCGGGGCTGAGGGGAATAGGAGTCGTCTCGACATGGCAGATTATGATGCTCTTTTCCCAAATATGAAAGTTCCTGAGCTAGCTACAGAAGTTTTCAAAGGAAAGGGATATTCAAATTTCTGTAAACGGTAAGAGGGCGGAAAGGGGCAGAACTGTTAGAGCTTGGTAAGAATGCGGACGAAGTGAAGGTTCCAAAACTTGACAAGGAAACAGTGCAACGCGACGAGTTGATTAATTCCAAGATAACACTACCAGGAGGAAAGTTACTTCCCCATCTACTTTCGCGTAAGTTTTGGACTCATGAATTCACCGGTATTCAATCAATCAAAATCCGATGATACCGAAACAAAAGTTATTTAAATGAATCATAACTTACCACCAATGTAAGCCTAGACTCTCGACCACAACTACAAAGTTTGGTAAAGCGGAAAATATGAATGATCATGTAAAATATCACCATCAGCCAGCAAAAAATGGTAATACCCTTGAAGAAGTTGGCTTTTTCGTCTGCATCTGGAACGCCAAGATCACCAGAGTACTTCACGATACTTGCCCAGGCCCCTAGGAGAACAACCTGCAAAACAGATATTTTATAATGCTCGGAGGAAATAGGTCATGACAAATGCATCAATTTTTTTTTGCAATGCGGCTTCATCTTCTCCATCCTTAACCATATCTTTTAGTCTTTTCTTGTCCCTTATTGTTTTTCTACCCTGACAAATGTTTTGTAAATAAAGGAGAAGTGTGGTCCGGGAACCCATTAATTTTCATTTCCGCCATGAAAAAAATGAAAACTCACTGCGGTTTATTCTCTGCAACTAACAAGCTAACCAATCGCAAACCGTTTCCAAATGTGCAAATGTTCGACTACGGAAGGCCGCCATTATGTAAATGCTCGGTAACCTGGCCGCAAAGGCAAGATGACAACACATGGTTCATGAACTGTTCCTACCCTGTTTATCGCAGAAAAGCCACCATTTGAGTCAAGAATGCCTTTATGTATAGCTCCGAATTAGTCCAGCAGATTTATAAGACTCATTACTGACTTGTGAGCGAGCAGGTTGCCAGGTAAGAATCAAAATGGAGGCGTTCTTGGCTTAAGTCTTAGCACATTGAAAGAAAAATTCGAACGGCTATTTTAATTTTTAAAATATCAAACTGCAGTCTGTGTCATAATCTCATAAATGAATTCTAATGGCAGAGGTAAAAATTGTATGGTTTCTGAAGACAAACTTTTCTTTTAAGGTTCTCGCTGGTTAACGACAACTTCCATAACTGAGAAACAAAACAGTGCGACATAGTAATAAGACCTAACACTTAAGATTTGTGAACAATTAAGAAACCATACCATTGTTCTCTTATGGTTGCATAAGCCGCGTAAACCTCAAATTTACACAAAATCGTACGCATCAAAACCTTTTGTCTTTACATTAGAAAACCAGCAAAGTCAGTACTTACAAATTCCACTATCTTAATGTAGCAGAGAGGGGACTTGAGGAAATTGGTATCGATCGTAAGGTCCAGACCCTGTCCAGCCTGTGGTTGAGAATATACAGGTTGACCAGGTTGGCTTGGGACATTAACCAGTTGAACCGGTTGCATTAATTGACCTGGCTGAACTGGTTGTTGACCATAGTAATACTGAATAGGCTGCCCATCTGGTGTTGTTGCTGGGTGACCAGCAGGCATTTGCACAAAAACCGGTTGTTGTCCGGGTGGCATCTGGTACATGATTGGCTGTCCAGGGGTGGGTGCCATGATTGGCTGGCCGGGAGCCATCTGTTGATGAGATGTTACAGGCTGACCAGGGGGACCCTTCACCTGGGTTTCGTGCTTGACTGGAAGTTCGGCTGGACTTTCACCCTCCATCTACGATAACACAAGACGAGTGTCTAAATGTTAAAGAGGATTTCTGCACTTGAAAAATATTTCTGAACTAGCGATTTAATGTTAGAGACAAGCTCGGAAAACTCCTCCCCTATACTGAACTATGCTTTGGAAAAATCAAAATAGATTTTGAATCGCTTGACATTTCTAAACAAACATCAGATAGCGTTAAAATTTTGAAAGAACCTTTTAGTGGAAATTCTCTGAAAATTTCTCCCTTCGGGGTATTTCAAAGTCAATTAAAGACCGTGCCTGGCGCACTGCGTTTCAAGACTAAATACACTTAATTTACAGGGGCGACGGCAGATTGTGAGAGTTAAAGAAATATTATCAAATTTCCATTTCAACTGAAAAATAATTAGCTGCAGCGACCACATACGTTTTCATGCTCTCTCCGCTACCATCACTTTCAGGATCGGATCATGTTAATGAAATTAGATATTTTGCGTGACAAGCCAAAATAAAGTCTGCGTGACATAATTGAGCGTGGGCCTCACTAGAAGTTTTTTCGCCCAGAAAACCTAGCCGACCGGATCACGGTTCGGAAAAAAAAAAGAGAGATTTGAGAAATAAACAATCTAAAGTTCGAGATCATTACGCGATGTCAATTTCACTAATCCCTTGGGCATGGAGTTTCCACTACATATTTCACGGTTGTTCAAACAAAACCTTGTGCTACCCTTTAATCAATACTACCCACATCCATTTCTAATAAGAAATGATGACTGATCTCTCGCCAAAATCGTTTTTCTTGGACCTTAAAACAACTTTTTACCATACATTTCTTTCTAGCGAGTTGTAATTTTTGCCCTGTGGCAATCGCAGAACTATTTTCTGCAAACACAAGGTCCGATTACTAGCATCTCATTCATTAGAGTGGTTAAGTTACGACCAGCCAAGAAACCAGAGAAGTGAGTGTCGTATAGACGAAAGATAATTAGCATATAATTTCGCAGCCGTTGAATTGCAAGCTATCAAGTTATCGTACACAGTAGTGAAAGCTCTTGAATACAGTTTCGAGAGCTCTCAAGCTCATTTTTGAAACAAAAACGGATCGTTCAACATGTAAACCGTTCTGATTGAGAGAAATTAAGTCTAACCGAAGCAGAATGCGCCATCGAATGGCGTATAAATCAACAGACTGTATCGAGCTTGTTTAAAAGTACCGATAACGAAAAGCAATCAAGGATTGCTTTAAAGGGAAATAAGTGTGGTAAAAACGCAAAAATTCAGGCGGAAATTGTTAAAAAAAAACGAGGTGTTGTTGTGATCTCATGGATGCAACAAATTTCGAATGCTGTGCGTTATCCTTACCTCACTTCAGCTATGATCCTTGTACAGTACACAGTAGTGAAAGCTCTTGAATACAGTTTCGAGAGCTCTCAAGCTCATTTTTGGAAACAAAAACGGATCGTTCAACATCTAAACCGTTCTGATTGAGAGAAATTAAGTCTAACCGAAGCAGAATGCTCCATCGAATGGCGTATAAATCAACAGACTGTATCGAGCTTGTTTAAAAATGTTACCTCTTTCCTAGATATTAAAGACAACACACCCTTTGAAAAGGTGATCACTTTACAACGCAAGTACCGATAATGAAAGGCAATCAAGGATTGCTTTAAAGGAAAATAAGTGTGGTAAAAACGCAAAAAATTCAGGCGGAAATTGTTAAAAAAAACGAGGTGTTGTTGTGATCTCATGGATGCAACAAATTTCGAATGCTGTGCGTCATCCTTACCTCACTTCAGCTATGATCCTTGTACTAATTTTTTCTCCTGTCACCGCAAATCAAAAGGCACGATGTTGTGTTCTGTTGAATATTGTAAAACTTCGACACACCAGCTGAATACTCACGCTAACATATAGCCGTGGGTGTTGTCTAGACGTCACGTACGTTTCTCGGAAACTCCGGAACCAAATCAAATCAGCAAGCGATTGACTGAAACGTCATGATCAAGTGCCTAGTAAACCGGAAGTAGTTTTATCAGAGGTATGTTAGCTCACTTCCGCTCAGTCACATTTCAGCTTGAACGAGCGGGGGTCTTAATTTACCAGAAATTAGTGTAACCTTGCCAAATAATCCTTAACCTATCCATACTTTTGCAGCACAGAAGAGAAGAGCTGTTTTGAAAGTCGTCCAGGTCCTTGTCTAATTATTATGTCTTGTGCTTCTATTTCCGTTTTTCTCCGAATCAGTGCGTGACTGAATGAAATGCCTCAAACGGAAATGACACAACTGGCCTATTGAAAGACTCATTTGGGCTCTGAAACGAAGAAAAAAGAGGAAAATTTTTCTGTATCGTCTAGTAACCACTATTGGCTTAAAAGGAAAAAGTAGGGCACATTTCGCAGAGATCTGATGCTGGTTTTTTCCAACGCCCATGAATAAAGACATGTCACGTAGTTTCAAGCAAATCTGATTGATCTTACAATATCTAACAACGCTCGTAATGTACTTCGTAAAACTCGAATCAGTAACGCGTTACCATATCATTTTATGTTAAATCCATAACTTCGTGTTAAGGTCAGCTTTTTTTTTTTACGTTGAATTCTGGACACAAGTTTTGCTTTCGGTAGGCAAGCGTTTGCTTGCTTCTGGTGTGCCTAGACTGCCTGTGACAAAACAAACAAATAACAGAGTTCCTTGCACAACCCAGCGTTGACCCCAAGATGTACAAAAATGGTCGCGCTAGGGAGCCCGACGTTCAAGGGGAAAATCGATACTGAAACCGTCTGGATCCACAAATCATTTCTATATCTCATGATCTCATCAGAAAATTACTCAACGTATACTCAATATGCTACTCGACTCACTCGTTCCCGGACAGTCTGCTGCGTGTACCTTTGCACTTCGAAAAGTGTTTCTCGTTAAATCACTTGAATCAGATCATGCATAAAACTTTCCACTACGCTTTCCAATACGAGAATTACTTCTGAACTATTCCCCCCTGAGTGGTCAGTTATCGGAAACACAAAATCAAATCTTGAAAGAGGTTGTAGTCGCTAAGGAAGTCAAAACCGCGTGTTTTATTACGTGTTAAGCTCCCAATCTTAGTTCCTTTTTCGTAGTGGTCTGATTAAGGAACTACCAAAGTATTTAATTTTCATATAATATTTGACATCGTTTACTAAGGTGGATAAACTCAAAAGAGATAAGAAAAATCACAAGCAGGCAAAACAAAGGAGTAGGAACCTCTCGCTAAGTACATGAACGACTAAATTATTGACATATTTATTTAACCGATTTCTTTTTTCTTCCTCTCCTAAAACCAGTCTTTCAGCATGATTCTCATGCCTTCTGTAGCGTGTTATTTTTTTTAGTCATTCCTTTATTTATCTATTTGTCTTGCCCTCTAATTGTGATTAAGCGCTTGAAGTTTCCCTCCTTTCTTTTCTCTTTTGACACTTATTACCATAGCTAACAACAGTATGCATGTTGTCCATACTATTCTTTATTCCTTTTGAGCTTACTGGAGAAAGTTGCATGTTCAAGAACTTCTTTTGTTGGTGATCATTCCCTTTTAATGTTTGATTTAACCCTTTAACTCCCAGGTCAAACTTGTCATTCTCTTGACTGCCAACCATACAATTCTTATAATGTTAGAAATTAGATGCTAAACACTCGTAGGGCTGAAGCCGGACTTATGACATAATATATAACAACATTTTGGTTCATTCGCACAGAACGTTTGTTCGTGTTCCCTGAAGAGCTGTTATTTGGTCTCCTGTTCCGTGACGAGACAAAACAACAGCTACGAAAAAAGGCACTACCTTTGTTGCGGGCTGATATTTAATAGGTTTTACCTTAAAAGCTGTACCATAATAAAGGACCATAAGTAGGAATAATGAAGATCTGAGACACATCCAGAAACGGCTATCTCTGTACCTTGAAAACCTCCCCAAAATCATTCTTGTTACTTCTTTTACATCTGGATAGGCAGCGTTCACTGATGTGACAGTATCGATAACGAATTAAATAGAGGAAATAAGAGAAAATCAAACGTCTTTAAGGTGGTCCAAGTCTATAAAGCGATTTGCACTTGCGTCTTTCCAGTAATTTTTAGGATGTTCACAACAGCATCTCCAATGAACACAAACATGGCAATAAATCCAAACGCCTTTAACGGAAAAAGTGTGAAATCGGAGTCAAATTCAGCGGAATAATGAATCCTAGTCATCTTTTTCTGTGTTAAAGACACAGATCGTCTCTGAATACTTAACTCCTTTAAACCCTAAAATCAGTATCCATATTCTCCACACTACTCTTTACACATTTCCTACAGGGAGAATTCGTTTAAAAAATCAAAATACTCTTTTATTGGTGATCATTTCCTTTATTCTCTATATACACGACCTTAACGTGTGATTCAGAAGTGATATTGTAAGGAGAAATTTGATGCTTGTCACTCTTAGGGTTTAAAGGGTTAAAAGGCCCTTAAAACACCAGCAGGTGTCATGACTGACCAGCTAGCCGGCCTTCATTATTAACGCTGCAGGACGCGCGTTTCCACGCTCGCAGAAAGATTTGAGACGAGTCGGGGAGAGATATTGTGTGCCAGACACCTTGCAGATCCCTCGATTGCTATCATTGCTCAAGGTCTCATACATATCCCCAGGGAAAAAAACTCTTGTGCCGAAACGCTGTACAAAGAGGGCGTGTGCTCGCAGACAGTTGAACTTTACGTAAGACATACCACAGCAGCGCGTAATGAGTCCAGGTTCCGGTTCCAGTCCAGGCCCTGGTCCTGGTCCTGGTCCAGGTCCGGGATGGAATTTGCAGAAAAGTCACCATAGGACCCTGGCTCAAACTTCCTGACATCATCAGCCAACAACGCCGAACTGATCAGCAAAAGAAAAGCGACAACAGCAGCAAATATCAGGAGCTGGAAAGGAGAGCAGAGGACTTCATATAGATGATGAACTAACTTAAACCTTTAGCCTAATTTACGTAGATAAACTGATTAATTTTTCCTTAATTAAGTAGATTTGTCACAAGACAGCGTAATTGTCCAGTTGGCTGTAATCGGCTATTGACATCAGCCAATTAGACTAAGCACACTTCAATGAATCCTTAATCAGAGGATTGACTCGGTTCAGAGCCACTTTATCAATGAATTAAGGAGGCACCGAACGGTTTGCAAAGTTTTTTTTTTTTTCAAATTTGCAGAGGGTTGTGTCTACTAATTGCAATTCAATGATTTAGTAGTTGCTTTTGAGCTTTAGACTAAAGAGAAAAAATTGGATTTTTTAGGGGGCTGCAGTGTTGCCTTGACAACTTTGCAAACTGTTGAAGTTGCGTTACTTTTTTTATGGAGTTTAGTCAGTTGTTTTAGAGCTTTCATCCGCGTCAAGTTGTTACCCCTTTGTTTGAAATTTGAAGAAGATTCGGAGTTTTTTTTTAGCCAATAGCTGTGGTTCATTTAACAGGTTTAAGACATATTTTTAACGGAGTTTAGACTCTAGCCTCTTTTTTCGTAAATTGATTTTCAACACCTTTTATCGACTGGAGCTTAATGAAAAAAAAACAATCTTTTACCGTAATATTCCAGTTAATGCTGAGGTTGATCTTTGTCTGCAAATTGAAGGTGAACAGCACAAACCAGGCGATTACAAGAAGCCATGAAGTAATGGTAACAAAAAGGAAAAAACTCATGCGTCCCCAGTATGCGAAGCTTATGTCAGCGGCGATAGAAAACGCTAACAATAACAGGATCTGTGGAGAAGATGATAAGAAAAGTTACATTACTCTTTATTAATACATATCGCTTTTCAAATATATTCGGTAACTCAAAACTACAATAACCTAGAGGACAAATGAGATCAATGCAAAATTACTTTAAAAAAAGAGAATTTTGAGTAAAAACGTGTAAACAGTGTTGAACCCATAAAATACAAGTGACTGAGTCACAAAGTTGTTTTTCTTTATCTTTTTGATTGTGCTGGAAGAAATTAAAATTACAGTGTGTTTCCACGGCCAATCGCAAGACGTGATAGAGAAAAACCATGGGCAGTCGATCATAATTGCCCTGCTGCGATTGATTTGACTATAATCAGCTGACAAATTTTTGTCGAAACCTCAAACAATTGAAATTCAGCTGCCTTTATTTTTTCTGTCGGCTGTTTTACAGTCGTCTGACATTACATTCGAGCAAGGGGAAAGAATAGGAAAATTATTTTTTCTTGATTCGAGATGATAGAAGGGGGGAGAGGGGGGTTGATCCTGTGCCTGTTCCAGGCATTTACAAAATGAGACAGCGAATGAGAAAAAACGGCGATTATCAAGAAAAGGTTTTCATGCACCTGCTCTCTTCCACCGACCGAGAGCCTCGCGCAAGCTAGAGGAATACAGATTTTACACCATAATTTAAATGTGCGCAAATCACACCGTTTGCCTTAGACTACTGAGATGAATTTCCCATCGAATGTGAAAAGGGTAAAGGATTGCTGTGATTTTTGCTTTTCATCGGTCTGTGATTGGTTTAGAAAATTCCAGTCATTTCTCAACCAATTAGATGTATACTAATAGGAAGATCAATCGAGACTTGAGTTGCTCGCGTTTTCCCCTCGCTTCAGGCAGTTCAAATTTCCTTTCTTGACGTTGAGTTCTCTCTCTATTTATAGATTAGTTTTTGTGAATACTTTCTTTTGGTTTTAAGACAGTCAATGGAAATGCACTTAAGTGGAACTGTAACGCAAGGAGCGAAGCACCATGCGTCAAATAAAAAAAAAAGTACCAAAAGTATCAGAACATCTTATCCACAAATAGTACGTACAAATTCCACGATCTTCAATACTCCAGGAATTGACACGACGTAAGCTTTGTTAAAAGTTATTGTAATGGACACACCAGCTCCACCTGCATTCCCACCTCCAGCACTGTCCATAATGGCCGCATTAGGTCTGGATACAGCCTCTTTGTCTTCTGGGTTTGACATCTTAAAAATTGACTTCTAATAAATTGTAAAATAATCATTAAAGAAATATATCTAGATAAGTCGAGATCTACCAATTTGCACAAGAAAGAAAGGCTAGTCTAGAGCGCATCTCAGCCAGTAGTCACCACTGATGCATATGAGATGGAATACGACTGAGCATGTCTCCCTACACTTCACGTAACAAGCCTGAATTATTTTGGTAGAATCAACCCCTCCTCGACGTTCGATTGTCACCTGTTCCTATATGCAGAAAAGCTGTCTTAAGTAAATCACCAATGCTGCACTCATTATGGAGTTTGTTGTTTTGGCGATAATTTGCGGACACGTCGGGTCAATTACGATGTTGGTACCCCAAGTGGCATATTTTTATCCATCAGATCTGTGTTTTCACTCGGCTTGAGAGAATTAAGGGTAAAAATCAAAGCCAACATTATTAAGCTTAAATTATTCTTAGTTTAAATAAATTGTCATAATTCTGTAACTGTACACTTTTGGCTACCGCGAAAAATTAGCATAATAGTTCCTTCGCACTCTAGATCTCCATTTGAGGTTAAAATGGCGGGTAACAACAAAAAATAATAATTAAAAGAGAAAGGGAAAAGTTAGTTCAGAAAATTAACAGCATAAAAAAAATTTACGTCCTAAATCTGTAAAGTATTTTTTGGAAACTGTTGTAGTAGCGGCTGAATGTGATCGTCGTTTCGGTAGCGAACACAATCGACGGAGTGTCGCGTTTGTTCTTTCTTCTACATAACCACCATTTGCTTCCTGTTTGGCTTCTATACTTAATAAATCAAAATAGAGAAAGCAATAGAAATTGTTAAGCGACTCACTGATTCGTTGGGCTATCTGAGACCAGACAGTAGCCACGTATAAACCTTTGTGGTAAACGAACATATTCACAAATATAAACTGTAGTGCAAATGTTTTTTGTAGTTTTACAGATACGCCATATTGTCGCTCGGTACACCATAGTACATCTGTCTCAATCATTTTACTTTTTCTGAGAGTTTCTGCTAAATTTCCTCGAAAATGGATGATTTTTAACTTCATTCGGTTACCTTTAAGGTAAACGGTTCACGTTTGATTCGGTTCAGCGGGAATCTATCTAATGTACCATGGTTAAGTAGTCCAATCGGTCTCAGAGCGACGGCCCAAAAGGTTAAAATTGCTCTCAATAACTAAGCAGACCGCGCCAATTTCGAGGAAACAGAAGACACGCTGAATTGCGAAGCAACTCCAATGATTTACAAAATGCACGAATTCAAAATTGAGCGCCCTCCATGAAGCTATCGAAGCTTGCATTTTAAGCAATATTATTCACGCTTTAATACACTACCTTGATCTTACCAGTACAGTTTCAATTTCCTTTCTATCCTGTGGTGGGTAGCTGACCAGAAATAAAACCCCAAGCGAAACACTGCTTCGTGATTGCCAAACAAGAATGACTCGATATTTACTGTAGTAACTATAACAACTTTTAAATACAACGCAGCGGGTCGCACTAACTGAAACTTGACACCTAAACGCTAAATTATATACAGTGAATTAAATAGAGACGATTTTAATTCACATCTCAAAGTGAGCCCGCAGAACTCTAAGATTTTTCAGCTGAAACTTGTCTTTTAAACCTGAAATGCTTACTCCGCGAGAAAGTGTGCCTTCAGTCGATGGGCGCTGAAATAAACAAAACTGGAAATTTCTTATCGTTTTAATAAATTTACTTCCTAACGATTATGTTTGCAAATGTAAGCTCAACTGGGATGTTAATTCATAATCTGCAACCAAAGCGAACTCAGTCAATTGTCAATTATCTTAGTTTGCTATTGTTCAAAGATAATTCAGGACCTGCTAATTTGACTAACAATACTGGTTTGCACCTAAAGAAAAGAATAAAATATTTCATGCAATATGATGAAATTTCTCAAACTTATAAAGCCATTTATTTTTTTGTCATATCTATTTCAACTTAAACAGAGAACGATCTCAATTCTAAAACTTTTCAGTGTGAAGGCTAATAGATCTTCCAGGTCGGGTTGTCGTGGTAATTGGATTACTGTTAGTTTGTTGATGCACCAGGATCGTGATAGCACGAGTTTGAGTGAAATTTGGAGCAAAAGAAGCAGAGGTAAATTTTTTTTCTGGGCTTACAAAACTTCACAAGTCTCTGAGAGCAATGTGCATAAATTTACAAGCACGTGTATTGATAGCTGTCAAACTTTTGATTTGGAAAGTTTCAAGTCAAATCCATTCTATCTTAATAACTCAATCCCTGGTTGCTTTCCAGAATGGCTTGGTTTTCCTCAGTCAAGGTGTTTCCTTAATGCGGTAGTTTGTCCTATTTCTGTTTCAATGGCTGAAACGCACAACGACTTTCAAAGTCGTTAGCTTACATGGCACACTTCCAATCAACAAAACATGGCTGGCCATCTAAGACTACTGGACCAACTGGTTTTCCTAGGTTCAAACCGCTCAGTGTCCAAACAAAACAGAGTTGATGGAACATTTTTCCTTATTGACAAAGCTCAAGAGATTATGTTTATATTCTTTTACCAAGCTGCAATCAAACAGTTTCATTCTTTACAGGTGTTATTTACAGATCTCCTCTACTTCGACAGTTCGCTGCGATTGTGTTGATTAACCCTGTCAGCGGATACACTTGTATCATTCATAACATGTACATATGCACTTTTAGATTTGCACAGCGGTTTTGCCCGATTGGAAAACGGAAATGCCTCGTTATCAGGCAATTTTTCTTAGCGGAGATTACTTTTGGAAGGAAAAAAATCTCAGCTCATGAAAATAGGATATTCATAAACATAGCCTCACCTTTGAAAAAAAAAACTCACCACCATTGATCCTACAACAGGCCCTGAGGGACCTGTCATTATTATTCAGCTGAGGGCGGGGGGCTAGAGTTTTTTTTTTTTTTTTTGTGGGGGGGAGCACATGGTTTTCAGGGAGAACGAAATGGGCATCAGTTGTTGCCAACAGAGTAAAAAGGTTGAGCTATAGAATATTGACAGCCAATGAAAGTGGATTATAAGAACATTACAGAGCCTTATGGGACATACTAAGAAGTCGTGGTTCACACAAGGTTTAATTGAAGACACAATGAGCTCCACTCCTTAGTCATAATTACGAGGAGTCAGAGAGATTTTAGCATAAAACTGCCATTAGTTATACCAGAGAAAATAAAGCATATATTTATGGAACTATTACAGCACATGTCAAGTTCCCTGGAGGTTTTAAGGCCTTATTAACGCGCTTTCCACGTGGGTTTGATTACAACTACTTGCATTAACTTAATTTTGTTAGGTGGGTTGATTGTTTGATTGAGGTGAATTATAGCTTAAAGCACGATATCAATAAATTCTAAACTACTATGCTAATGAATGGTATAAAAATTAGTAGGAAGCTGCCAAAGTCAGTGTTGCCGTTGTTCAATGCCCGTTTCATAATAAGAGCATAATCATATGGAATATACTCGTTCGTGATTGATTAAAAGTAGAATATACGCTCAGATTGTATCGCTCCCTAAGAAATTATTTGAATGACCATAGCTAAATATACTTTTTTCCTGTAGTGCAGGCGTATAATTTGAGGTCTAACATCGCAGCAAAGGCAGCATTTCTTAAGATTTCTCAGTCGTAGCTCTGATGCCGCTGAGGGTGGAAGAGACAGCAGGCTCTCGAAGCCCAAATCAAACATGGCGGCTAAGTGCACAATAGCGAGCTGTTTACGTTATAACCCGTTCTCTCAAACGTTACCCTTTCCCAAGATCTGATTGTAAATTCTTCCCTCTGGCTGCTCCACATTTCCTCGTAAATTCTTTGCGAGAATTTGGCTTAAGATCAAAAACAACTCACACTATCTGATAACTTTGGGTATTCTCATTACCTGTTTACTGGATAATCTATGGATATTATAGGGAGAAGTTACATCCTAATCACTTCTAGGAGTTAAAGGGTTAAATATACGCATTCTCCCTGTCTATTTCTAGATTTGTTTCATTCGTTATAGATTAAATTCAAATTAACGGTTACCGAAATGGCTGTCAAAAAAGTTTAAACAAACTCGCAGGACTACACAGTTCATCAAAATGTGGGCGTTGGTTTACAATATTCCAGTTCTCCTCAGGAAATAAACAACAGCATCTGCGATGAAGACGAACATGGAGATGAATCCAAAAGCCTGCGAAGAAAGACAATGCAAACATGTAAGTTGCCGTGGTATTTTTTTTCGCAAGAAATTGGTCAAAAGATATTCATTTTTCTTTCAATAGTGAGACCTGGTGTGAAATCAGGTCTTTTCTTCAAAATCCCGGTAAACATGATAAAGAAATTATCCTAATAAATTCTAAATGCTTTTGAAATTTTTACCACCCGCGGCCGCTCCCAGATAAGCGCCCTCCTTCTGTAAATCTCACGAAATTTCATTCAGTCGCTTGCTTTTTTCAACACTGAAATGGAATTTGATGATTGATGAAAACTTAAAAGAACACCAAGTGTTTTCATGTGAAGAATAAAATAAGTCACACGGTAGGATCTGGGTACGAGATTAATTGTAGAGTAAACTCAAACTCACCACAGCAGCGTTTAATCTGTCAGATAACAGACCTGCTGCATCAGCAGCTAGCAAGGCAGAACTCAACAGAAGAAGAATTGCTGCTACAACAGCAAATACAAAAACCTAAAATGAAAACATCACGAAGTTATGGCATCTGATTTGTTTTTGTTTGCACTGAACTTTGACTTAAAGTTTCGTTGCTCGATAATTCACCGTTACTATTATTTTATGATATCCTGTACAAATAATGAGATAGGAATACATGCAGTAGCTAAGCAGTAAAACATCGAGCATGCACAAGGGAATCAATGTTTACCAGCCGTGCGCTGTGCGCTCATTTCTCGCGCAAATTTTCAAAGTGGAACAAAGGAAACAACCGCTGTCCTGCAACATATGCGAAACGTTTAAGAAAATCTTCAAAAGAAAACAAAAGTAGGAAAAAGAAAACTTGAGACTTCTCGTATACAAAGTTTATGTGGTTGCACGTTTCCTGCTGAGTTACAATTTTGTTTTGAGCTTTACCAAAAAAGTGATGTAGTTTTCAAACAACGTTACCTAATAGCTAGTGAGCTTTTTTCGAACACAGGGTAAGTTAGTCTTATCAACTGAGTTTAAAATGTAAAACTGTAGAGTTTAAAGGCTGACGTTTCGAGCGTTAACCCTTCTTCATCGCTCTTACGAAGGGCTAACGCTCGAAAATCAGCCTTTAAACTCTTTACGGTAGCCAATCTACGTTTTCAACTCAGTTGATAACACTAGATTACTCCGTTATACTCTCCCACCGACGCAGCACCACGGTTTCGTCAGAAACCCCCTCTATTTATTTGTTCCTAACACAACCGACCTACTTTTGACACCCAGAAACACGCCACCTAACCTCAAAAACGTTTGAACATGCGCAGTCGCTTGACCGCTTTGTTTCTTGCAGCCAGCATCTCAACGATTATCGACTTGACAAACAGTTTGTAGATACCAAAAACCAATTTGAAACACTGACTACAAGTACAAGAGTTCTCCTATATTTTGATATTCTTTAAGAGCAATTTATATTTCATCCAAAATTTTGGCAATGGCTAAGGTTCATTCATACTTTATGCGAACAACGAGGAGTGGAGAAAAACGTTGTCGCTAAAGCTAAGGTCGTTTTTTCTTGACTGCGTTTGACTTTGTTAGTATTCATTAAAACAATTATTCTACAAAACTCCGTTACGCCGCATGTTGGTAGATTCAGTCAAAGATGTAGGTCCAGGATTAGCATTCAAGTGCAAGATCTGATCATCCAGATTTTAAGGTTCTCTCAAAGAGAAATCCGTCGTCGGCTTCTATGACTAAATCAGTTTCGAAAACCGGAGGAGTTAAGTCACTGAATGTGCAGAAAACTTCGTGGGAGCCTAAACGGGAAGGCCAGTTAGGCGCGCTAAAGATAGACTTTTGTTTCAAAAAAATTAATAGATATTTGCGTGCGACATATATAGAAGATATAACACGGAGAAATAGGAAAATACGGACTGCGCTAAGAACCAATCAGATTGCAGGATTCCTTACCGTACCCTCTAGGAAAAAAATTAATGAATTTTGTGTCGAGTGACAAGAACAATACTTCACGAGTGAGCACAACAAACGAGTGAGATATTGACCACTCGTATTAAAAAAGTAAGATAAGCCAGTCGGTTCCTGGATGTAGTGGTCGTATTGATTCTACGATTTTTTTTGTTCCCATTTCTTCAAATTATCTTTTCAATTTTTTTTTTCCCTTATTGATTTTGTTGGAACAAATAGTTACATCTCGTTACTGAGCTATGTATTTGTGGCTTTTCCACTCACCGGGATATTCCAGTCAATACTGAGGTTGATTTTTGATATGATATTGAATGCGAACAAGACAAATACGGCGATCACAAGAAGCCACGACGTCACAGTAACAAAGAGGAAGAAATCCATACGTCCCCAATCTACGACGAAATACTGAGCTAAAGTTGCGTACTCATCAGCAGCTAGGGCAAACGCCAACAACAGCGTGAACTGTAGAGATTTAAGTAAAAATAAAACTTATTGCTTATTGAAATATGCAGGCATGGATTTCATCAAGTTTAAAAGTCTTAGTACCCAACAAACTTAGTAGGTACATATATATAATGGTGTATAGGGAATAATGGTAAATACATGGCCCCAGGTGGATAACGCTATCCAATGGTTAAATCTCTATCTAGCGCAGTCCTTTTTATTAACTCTTATCCAACAGATAGTGATTTATTGCATGGCTGGTCAGCGTTATCCGCTTCTTATATACCAGCATTTTGCAACAGTTGTGCTTAACCCTTTGACTCCTAAAAGTGACTAGTATCTAATTTCTCCTTACAATATCACCCCTGAATCACATATGAAGGTCACGAGAGTGAAGGAAATGATCACCATATAAAGAAGCTCTTGATTGTTCGACAAATTCTCCTTTTCAGCACCCTAGGAAACATATAAAGAACAGTATGGAGAATATGCATACTTACATACGGGTTATAAAGGGTTAAGCCTCAAATTTAGTGTCTTCCTATAAGTCCTCATTAGTCCCCCTCCCACCCTCTTCTGCCTTTCATTCGCTACAAAAATGACTCAACACACTTGACGGAAGTACTTACAAATTCAACGATCTTCAGTATTCCAGGAATCGAGATAATATACGACATAGTTAGCCCGATATCCCCAGACGCCGGGGCCTCGTGCGATCTAGCTGTAGTATCTGGGTTCTCAGGATCTGCCATCGTTTATCTGTTCTTCTGAAAATTTAAAATTGAGAGATAAGAGATGTTTTCTGTTGGACTTTATTTACCATAAACACCCTAATAGCAGCTTCACCCTAACAGCAGCCCCTTCTCTTTCTCAGATTTAACTAGTGATTTGTTATACGTTTGCGTTGAATTGCAAGCCATCAAGTTGTCGTATACAGTTGCGAAAGCTCTTTAATACAGTTTCGAAAGCTCTTAAGCTCAGTTTTGAAACAAAACGGATCTTTTAACATCTAAGGTTACTTCCCACCGTCAGAGGCCGCAAAAAAGCGATTTTTCTCTTATTTTAAAAAACTGAATTCAAACATGAAACCTTATGTTTCCATTAAAAAAATATCTGAAATCTTTAAAAGCACCCGAGTTATTTAGAAAAACGTATTTTTAAATAAATGTTAATAAATCAGGAAGGTGTCATAATCTCGGACATGGGCGAGTCCCCCGGGGGAATTTTCGCGGTAACCGCTCATGTTTGGACTCGATGTTCGTGTTATTTCCATATCTTGTTTACATCGCGCACTTTAAAAAATTCACATAGGGAAGCTCTTTGCTTGTGGAAAGTCTTTGCTTATGGAAAAATCAAAAGCGGAAGAGACTCCTTGGGAAAAAAAAAGAAAAAAAACAGGCTTAAAGAAGGAAGAAAGGGTACCCCTAATGAAGGCCTAAATGTAATAACTGTCCTAAATGTAATTAAGTCCTGAATGTAATAATATTTGGTCCTAAATGAAATAAGCCTCCAATACAATCGTTTAACTGCGCTAGAGCATTGCTGTTAGAGCGGACATTAACATTGAGATGTTAAAGTGACAGCTGTTGCACCAAAGAATCCTCTGATCAATATTCATTCGCTGGTATCAGTCAGTGTCTTTTTATTTGCCAGAGACGTAGGTCAAGAAGCACTGGCCACAAACCCTTATACTGATGTGCTTTTGGCATCAAATTGACAGACGTCAATACAATGAAAACGATGACCGATACCTCTCTTTATATCATAGGCTCAGACTCTTTAGTGCAACAGATTTTGACGATATATTTGTGTGATCAGTGCTGAAGTTAACACTTTATGAACCAAATTACAAGGAAAGGAAGTCCACTGACCTATACGTTAGACAAATTCCGGGTTCGGAAGTGCAATGATTTTTTGTACTGTCTTCCCTTGCCAGATTTGTACGGGTCTGCACGAAATATATTCATATGCGATATTGACCGAGCGTGAGGTCAAGATGGCTAGATATTGGCTGAGTTCTTTTGTTGCGTTTTCATGGACCGAGACAAAGTCGAGGTCCATAAAAACGTAGAAAAAGACCGAGCTTAGCCGTCTTGACCCAATAAACTTGGTCAAGAGAGAACATAAATTCCACGGTCGATCTAGAGTTTTATTTCATTTTTTGTCTTCATCTCTCCTAACGGCCGTGAGGGGAGAAAATGAATAGATTAAAAAAAAACATTAAAAAAGAAAGCTCAATAGTTTCCACTTATAATCATATGGTACATGAACTGATTACCAAGGTGGAGTGAAGCCATAGAGGGCTAGAAATGCAATCCCAGGTTCAAAATTGAATAAATCAAGGTAATCATTCTTACAGATGAACTCAAATACTTCATTAAAATAAAGTGACACTGAATAACATTGATGGGCAAAATTTTAAGCGACCCTTGTGATATTAATACTTTTGTTTTGGATTAACAAGTGACATAGCGAAATCAATGAACCTGTTCTAAAATTGTGCAACACTACGGACGACTTTAACACCAACAATAATATCAACGATAGCGGGCTAGTTTATCATCAATTGTAGTCAATTTTTTTCTCAAAGAATCCTAATGATTACGTGCCAACCTAGTCTATCCACTTGAACTTCCAGCCAATCATTGGCCCACACTGGACTGGAAATTATTTCCTCAACTCAATCGATAAACCGCTGAGAGACAGATCATGCGATTACCGTGCTCGTCATTGAGTTCAGTCGTCGATGACATGCTCCAGACTTTTGTTAAACGTCTGTTTTGTGATTGGCAATCTGAGGCGGCGATTTGTGAAGATGTGCTCGTCAGCAGCTTCTTTGCAATAATGCCTATTCAATGTAAGTCACTCAGTGTATAATTTGATGCAGACCCATGTAATACCTTACTCGTTGGTCGGATTTGTGCATGCATTTCAAGTTCGGATTTATACATGCATATCAAGATCAAGAGAACATAAATGTCCCAATTATGTTCCCTTGGAAGGAAAAATTATTTGTCCATATTGATATAATCACGAAGATATTCAAGATTTTGAGAGTAATAACTCTATTAAGTGCTGTCACGAGGTCCGAATTGGGAGGCAAAATGTGCATCCTAATAATTTGGATAATTTACGTTTTAAACTCATTTGTTAACAATTACCTCTTATACTCTCCCACCGACGCAGCACCACGGTTTCTTTAGAAACTTACCCCTTTTGTAATTTGGTTTATGACTTGTTAGCTCCATCACTGATCACAAAAGTATTACGTTATCACATTTTTCCAAAATCTATTGTGCTTAAGAGTCTGATACAGTGATATATGGAGTGGTATTGGTCACCGTACTCATTGTTTTACCAGCTGTTATTTGATGCCAATTGTTCATCAGAAAAACGGTTGCAGCCAATGCTTCTTGACTTAAATCTTGCACATAAGAAGACGCTGATTGATATCTGCGAGCCCGCAATCTTACATGACTACTGGTCAGAAGATTTTTTGTTGCAACAGCTGTCACTTTAACATCTCAATGTGGATGTCCGCTGTAACATTGCACTGGTAGAGTCATACGATTGCAATGGAGGCTTATTACATTTAGGACTTAATTACATTTAGGACAGTTATTAAATTTCGTCCTTCAACATACCGTTTTGTCAAGTAAAGGAAAAAATTCCTGTATGAAAGCGACTTACACTAGCGAAGCTTCACGCTGGCGTCCAGATTTCGAACAAAGAAGTTGCTGTCAAACCAAAATTTGCCATACATGATGTTAAAAACGAGGTTTCCCTTTCTTTATGCAAGTACCAGCTTTGATACAAAAAGAAAAAACAATCGCTTCGAATCGAAAAATTTTGAAAGCTGTATGTCGATTCGCTGTTTTGTGTGGGGTGTAATTACCGTCAAAAATAAATGTTTAATAATGGTAATTGAACTGAGTGGAGCTAAATTTGGGCTGAAATCACAAGTATGATTTCAGGCCAAAATTGCACGACACAAGGTTCAATTACCACTTTATTACATCCATTTCGAAATCGCCCAAGCACAGGACTTGGTCAGTTCAAATATTTTATTGATGCAGTACTGAGCTAGTTTGAAATTAAATTCATCCATTTTTTAGGGAGAAAAAACAAGAGTTTTGGAAACAAAGGTTGCAAAATTTGCTACATGTTACTCTTTGTCTTTCATTTTCCTGCTATTACATTGGTTACTTTAAACAAGCCTTGAAATCTGATTGGTTGTTTTGTTTTCAGTGTAGCCTCCTCATTGGCTGGAAAAATGAATCGCGTGATAAGCAAAAAATGGTGCGATTCGTGAATAAATCGCACCAATTAGAGCCAATCAGATTACAGGGACCACCAGTGATTTCAAAATGGGTGTAATAAATTATGATATCCACAATTTCAGTCATGACATTGAGATATTTAATTGTGTTATTCCCATATGACGTCTTAATTATGGGGTGCAACTACTGCCCAAATTAGTATTTGGTATTTTTTCACTGCAATATGCTATTTGGTTCTTGTGTTATGACATCATTCTATCCCAGTTGACTATTTTGCTTTTGCAATGTCCTGATTTGTCACTGTTCCTTGGCGTTCGGCTATTATACTTTGCTGTTTTGCCATTGCATTCTAGTATTCTTCAATTTCGACATTGGGAAAAGCAGTTTTGCAGTTGTGATTTGTCATTTTCATAGCGTGCGTTTCGTTATGGTGTTTTGACAAGGTAACGTGCAGTTCGGCATGACACTCAGAAACGAGTTTCAGACAAGATAATTTATTTCCCGCCAGAATTATAATTATGTTAATATACTTCCGCTCTGTCGCACTGTCCTGGTTGGAAACATGGCGGCTCTTCGTAACAGAGCGGTGAATTTATTAGAAGAGGCGATCCGTCTCATCAGGGAGCACACATCCCAGGGTCCCGATAATGATTCTCCAAGGTAAGGTGCAGTAGCCGGTGCAGTGAACGGACGGGAAACCAACGGGTGAGTAGAGGAAAATTTTCGAAATTTATTTCCGCCGTACACGACTCGCGAAAGGTCGACTTGTTTCTCAAGCAGCAGCGGCAGACAGTGTATCGTAAATTTGAATCCTCCTTCAAATTCAGTGTATCCTGAATTTGGAGGAGGAATAACGCTTAATTCAGAAGGGCTCGGACCTCGTCGTAGTGTTTCGAACCCTCTACGAGCAATTAACTTAGGGTAGCTTTCTTCTAGCTTCATCCTGACTTCCATTGCGTTGGCCTTGCTGTTGATGCATGATGAATTTTATTTCCCGAAGGACACCCGCGAAGGTGGGAATTAATCTTAAAACGTTCTGATAGAGAGAAATCTATAAACCTATAAACCGACGCAGAATGCACCATCGAATGGCGTATAAATCGACTCTGCGCGAAACTTCAAGTGGAAATTGTTAAAATACACGAGCTGTTGCTGTGATCTCGTAGATGCAACAGATTTCGAATGCTGTGCGCTATCCTTACCTTACTTCAGCTATGATCCTTGCGCAAATTTTTTCTCCGGTCACCACAAACCGAGAAGCACGATGTTGTGTTCTGTCGAATATTGTAAAACTGCGGCACGGTGCAGTATAATGACGCTAACATATAGCTGTGGGTGTTGCCTATACGTCATGTACGTTTCACGGAAACTCCGGAACCATATCAAATCAGCAAGTGATTAACTGAGACGTCGTGATTAACTGCTTAGTAAACCGGAAGTAGTTTTATCAGAGGTATGTTAGCTCACCTCCGCTCAGTCACATTTCAGCTTGAACGAGCAGGGGTCGTAGAGGTTTGCAAAGGGGGGTTCCAATCACATATCACGCTGAAATTTTCTATTAAATCACGCATCACCCTGCAAATTTTGGGGCCATTACGTGTCACGCAAAAACCCTTTGCCATCCTCGTCTTTGTTAACCGGAAATTAATGTAACTTTGCCAAATAATCCTTAACCTATTCATACTTATGCAGCTCAGAAGAGAAGAGCTCTTTTGAAAGTCATCCAGTTTGTCTGATTATTATATCTTGTACTTCTGTTTCCGTTTTTCTCCGAATCAATGCGTGACTGAATGAAGTGCCTCAAACGGAAATGACGCAACTAGCCTATTGTAACATTCATTTGAGCTCTGAAACGAAGAAAATGAGGAAAAATTTTCTGTAAGGTCTGGTGACCTCTAGTGGCTACCGATTTTCAGAATTATTTGTAGACATTTATTGAGTTAAGTGGAAAAAGCGGGGCGCATTTCGCAGAGGTCTGATGCCGGTTTCTTTCAACGCCCGTGAATAGAGACATGTCACGCAGTTTTAAGCGAATCTGAATGATCATACAAGATCTAACAAGACTCATTATGTAATTTGTATAACTCGGATCAAGAATGCGTTACCATATCATTTTATGTTAAATCCATCACTTCGTTTTTATGTCAGCCATCTTTTTGACGTTGAATTCTGGACACAAGTTTGCTTTCGGAAGGCAAACCTTTGCTTCATAAAAATTTCTACTGTTGCGTCACGAAAATAAAATCTGGTGTGCCTAGACTGCCTGTGACAAAACAAAAAAATAACAGAGTATCTTGCATAACCCGGTGTTATTGCGTGGGGAGTTTACATCAACTCTGATCCTCGCGCTGTAACAGAGTATTTTCACATAATTGTTCGTGTTGAATCAAAACTGGTGATAGATTCTCCGGCTTAGATATAGAGACGGCAACAGCTTTATTTTCTATGAAGCAGTCAAAGTTTTTCCATTCCTTGCTACCGTCTGGTCGTCGAAAACTCTGTGTTTCATTAATAGTTAAGCTCCCAACCTTACTTCGAAGTTGTCTGATGAAGGAACTACCTAAGCGTTAAATCTTCAAAAAAATAATAGTCGACATCGTTTACCAAGGTGGATAAAATCTATGCCAAAGAGATAAGGAAAATCACAATCAGGCAAAGCAAAGGAGTAGGAACCTCTCGATTAATATATGAACGACTAAATTACATATTTATGAGCCGTTTTTTTTTCTTCCCCCCTTTCCTCAGTCTTTCAGCACGATTCTCATGCCTTCTGTGGCGTGTTATTTTATTTAGCAATTCCTTCATTTTTCTATTTGTCTTGCCCTCTAATGGTAATTGTGATTAAGCGCTTGACGTTTTCCCCTTCCTTTTCTTTTTTAGCCCATATTTCACATACTGTTCTCTATTCATTTCCTAAAGTGCAGACTGGGGGAATCTGCATATTTAACAACGTACCAAGAGCTTCTTTTGTTGGTGATGATTCCCTTTACTCTCGTTACCTTAATGTTTGATTTAGGGTTGACACTGTAGGGAGAAATTACATAGATGCTAGATACTCGTTTTCTGAAAGTTTCTTCTAAATTTTCCTAGAAAATGGATGATTGTTAACTTCATTCGGTTACCTTTGAGGTAAACGGTTCACGTTTGATTCGGTTCAGCGGGAATCCGGCTCATGTACCATGGTTAAGTAGTCCAATCAATCTCAGAGCGACGGCCCAAAGGTTTAAATTGCTCTCAATAACTAAGCAAACTACAACAATTTCGAATGCATGTACAGCACGAGTTGGTCAAACCTTTGACTGGTAAGAAACTATGGCTGCGCTGCTTTGAAAAACAGAAGACACGCTGATTCGCGAAGCAACTCCAACGATTCCCAAAATGCACAATGCACCCTCCATGAAGCTACCGAAACTTGCATTTTAAGCAATATCATCCACGCTTTAGCAGACTACCTTGATCTTACCAGTACAGTTTCAATGTCCTTTCTATCCTGTGGTGGGTAGCTGACCAGGAAAAAAAACCCAAGCGAAATACTGCTTCGTGATTGCCAAACAAGAATATTCTTGATATTAACCGTAGTAACTGTAACAATTTTCATATACAATGCAGAGGTCGCATTAACCGAAACTTGACACCTAAACGCTAAAAATTATATGCAACGAGTTCAATAGACACGATTTTTATTCACATCTCAAAGTGAGCCCACAGAACTCTAAGATTTTTCAACTGAAACTTGTCTTTTAAACCTGAAATGCTTACTCCGCGAGAAAATGTGCCTTCAGTCGATGGGCGCTGAAATAAACAAAAATGGAAATTTCTTATCGTTTTAATAAATTTACTTCCTAACGATTATGTTTGCAAATGTAAGCTCCACTGGGATGTTAATTCATAATCTGCAACCGACCACTGCAACCAAAGCGAACTCAGTCAATCGTGAAGTGAATCCACTTTGGTTGCCACAGAATGTATTACTTCTACTACCAGCCACTTTAAATCTTAAGCTAAGCCACATTATCTTAGTTTGTTATTGTTCAAAGATAATTCAGGACCTGCTAACATGACTAACATTACTAGTTTGCTTGTGAGCACTTAGAGGAGAGAATAAAAAATTTAATGCAATACGATGAAATTTCTCAAACTTATAACGACATGTTGTTATTTTCACATATATTTCAACTTAAACAGAGAACGATCTCAATTCTAAAACTTTTCGGTGTTAAGGCTAATAGATCTTCCAAGTCGGGTTGTCATGGTAACTGGATCACTGTTAGTTTGTCGACGCACCAGGATCGTGATAGCACGAGTTTGAGTGAAATTTGGGCAAAAGAAGCAGAGGTAAATTTTTTTCTGGGCTTACATCACTTCACAAGTCTCTGAGAGCAATGTGCATAAATTTACGAGCACACGTATTGATAGCTGTCAAACTTTTGATTTGGAAAGTTTCAAGTCAAATCCATTCTATTACGATGACTCAATCCCTAGTTGCTTTCCAGAATGGCTTGGTTTTTCCTCAGTCAAGGTGTTTCCTTAATGCGGTAGTTTGTCCTATTTCTGTTTCAATGGTTGAAACGCACATCGACCGTCAAAGTCGTTAGCTTACAGGGAACACTTCCAATCAACAAAACACGGCCTTGTAGGCTGGCCATCTAAGATTACTGGACCAACTGATTTTCCTAAGCTCAAACCGCTCAGTGCACAAATAAAGCAGAGTTAATGGAACATTCTCCCTTATTGAAAAAGCTCAAGAGATTATGTTTATATTCTTTTACCAAGCTCCAATCAAATCCTGATAGTTGTGGCTGTGTGATGTCGGGTTGTAGGATGACTAGTGCAGTAATCTGTCGGTATGTGTCGGTTTCCTGTAAACTGTTGTCCGTAGTGAGTTGTCGTCACGGCTTACCAGGCAGTCTAGAAAAGGTAGTTTACCATTTTCTTCGACCTCTCTGGTAAACTGTATGTCAGTGTAATTTTCCGTTAAGGTGGTGCTTTGAATTATCAAAGTTGCACTGCTGTAGGACTCCAAACGACCAAAAGTTTAAACCAAACCAAAAGAGAATGACATGTAAACACAGAAAGATTGTAAAGCTATTGTGTTTACTACCCTGATAATAATGCTAAAATGAAAAGCTTTTTAAAAGACGATGCGAGTTATCTCTCATGTTGGCCTCTTCCGCGTATGTTGACAATTTTATCTGCGTTTGTTATGGTGCAATTTCAAGTCAATTACCGTACAGCTTTTTAGCTACCTCTCTTGCTTTGGAGAAATCCAAGGTTTATGTCAACTTTGCACAAATACGATAAGTTTGCATTCTGAAATGGGTTTTGCAAATCTAGAATCAATTAGCAGTATGGAATGATAAAATTAAAAAAAGATTCAGTTAGCAGCGAAGGGAAATCACTATTAAACTAGTAAGCCGTGGTTCACACAAGGTTTAATCGAGAACGCAATGAGCTCCACTCCTGAGTCATAATTACGAGGCGTCAGAGAGATTTTAGCATTAAACTGCCATTAGTTATACCAGAGATACTAAAGTATATAATTATGGAACTATTGTAGTACATGTCAAGTTCCCTTGAGGTTTTTAGGCCTAATTAACGGGCTAAACGATGAAAAAAATCTATTTTTTTTTCTTTCTTTCCACATGGGTTTGATTACGACTACTTACATTTACTCAATTTTGCCAGGTGGGTTGGTTGTTTGATTGAGGTGAATTTTAGCTTAAAGCACGATATCTATAAATTCTAGACTGCTATGCCAATTGACTGCTATAAAAATTAGTAAAAAGCTGCCAAAGTCAGTGTTGCCGTTGTTCAATGCCCATTTCATAATAAGAGCATAATCATATGGAATATACTCGTTAGTGATTGGTTAAAAATAGAATATACGCTCAGATTGTATCGCTACCTAAGAAATTATTGGAATGACCATAGCTAAATATACTTTTTGCCTGTAGTGCAGGCGTATAATTTTAGATCTAGCATCGCAGCAAAGGCAGCATTTCTTAGGATTCTGATGCCGCTGAGGGTGGAAGAGACAGCAGGCTCTCGAGGCCCAGATCAAACATGGCGGCTCAGTGCATGATAGCGAGTTGCTTACGCTATAACTCGTTCTCTCAAACGTCACCCTTTCCCAAGATCTGATTGCTAATTCTCCCCTCTGGCTGCTACATATTTCCTCGTAAATTATTTGCGAGAATTTGGCTTAAGATAAAAACAACTCACACTACCTGATAAGTTTGGGTATCTTCATTACCTGTCTACTGGATAATCTATGGATATTGTAGGGAGAAGTTACATCCTAATCACTTCTAGGAGTTAAAGGGTTAAATATACGCATTCTCCCTGTCTATTTCTAGATTTTTTTCATTCGTTATAGAGGAAAGGTATACAGATACAACGATTAAATTCAAATTAACGGTGACCGAAATAGCTATTAAAAAAGGTTAAACAAACTCGAAGGACTAGACAGTTCATCAAAATGTGGGCGTTGGTTTACATCCTTCCAGTTCTCTTCAGGAAAAAAACAACAGCATCTGCGATGAAGACGAACATGGAGATGAATCCAAAAGCCTGCGAAGAAAGACAATGCAAACATGTAAGTTGCCGTGGCCCTTTTTTTGGTAAGCAATTGGTCAAAAGATATTCGTTTTTCTTTCAACAGTGAGATCTGGTATGAAATCAGGCCGTTTCTTTAAAATCCCCGTAAACATGATAAAGAAATTATCCTAATAAATTCTAAATGCTTTTGAAATTTTTTCCACCCGCCCCAAATATGCACCCTCCTTCTGGAAATCTTACAAAATTTCATTCAGTCGCTTGCCTTTTTCAACAAGGGAGTGGAATTTGATGATTGATGAAAAATTAAGAGAATATCAAGTATTTTCATATGAAGAATATAATAAGTTGGTCTAGCAAGGAGGTATCGGCTATACTCCGAGTTCTGTATGAAACATGATAATTTTGTATGTGGAAGTTTTACTCTCCATGATAAGTTTTGATTTCCGGATCCTCTCATCAATTTGGAAGAGGGTTCAATTCATGCCAAACGCCATCTTCGTCATCCTATTTATTTATGTTTGACATCTTCGTCATAATGTAGAGCATAATGTAGTCTCTTACCCAGACCTTTTAGAGCCAAATGCTTGTATTTCAGTCACAATCATACAGTAGGATCTGGGTACGAGATTAATTGTGAAGTAAACTTAAACTTACTGCAGCAGCGCGTACTCTGTCAACCAACGAACCACGATAACCTGCTACCACATCAGCTATCAAGGCAGAACTCAACAGAAGAAGAATTGCTGCTACAACAGCAAATACAAAAACCTGGAATGAAAACATCACGAAGTTATGGCATCTGATTTGTTTTTTGTTCGACTTGAAGTTTCGTCGCTCGATAATTCACCGTTACTATTATTTTATGATATCCTGTACACCTAATGGGATTGGAATACATGCAGCAACACAGCGGTCAAACATCAAGCATGCACAAGGGAATCAATGTTTACCAGCCGTGCGCAGCGCGCCCATTTCCCGCGCAAAATTTCAAAGGAGAACAAAAGAAACAACAGCTGTCCTGCAACATATGCGAAACGTTTAAGAAAATCTTCAAAAGGAAACAAAAGTTGGAAAAAGAAAACTTGAGACTTCTCATATACAAAGTCTGTATGATTGCACGTTTCCTTCTGAGTTACCATTTTGCTTTGAGCGGTACTGAAAAAGTGATACGGTTTTTAAACACTGTTACCTACTAGCTAGTTCGCTTGGTCCTAACACAGGGTAATTTAGTGTGATCAACTGCGTTGAAAACGTAAATTAGCCACCGTAAAGAGTTTAAAAGCTGACGTTTCGGGCGTTCGTCCTTCGTCATCATCCTGACGAAGGGCTAACGTTCAGTCAGCCTTTACTGAAACTCCCTTACGGCGGCTAATTTACGTTTTCAACTCAGTTGATAACACTAAATTACCCTGTTATACTCTCCCACCGACGCAGCACCACAGTTTCTTTAGAAACTTACCCTCTCTATTCATTTGTTTCTAACGCAACCGACCTAGTTTTGACACCCAGAAACACGCCACTTAGCCTCAAAAATGTTTGCATATGCACAGACTCTTGACCGCTGTCTTACTTGCAGCCAGCATCTCAACGATTATTAACATAAACAGTTTGTAGATACCAAAAACCAATTTGAAACACTGACTACATGAGTTCTCTATTCATGTTGATATTCTTTTAGAGCACTCTATATTCCATCCAAAATTTTGGCAAACGTTAAGATTTATTCATACTTTGTGTGAACAACGACGGAGAAAACGTTGGCGCCCAAGCGAAGGTCGTTTTTTCTTGACCGCGTTTGACTTTGTTAATATTCATTGGATCAATTATTCAACTCCGTTTCGCCGTATATTGACTGATTCAGTCAAAGATGTAGTTCCAGGATTAGCATTTAAGTGTAAGATCTGATGATCCCGATTTTAAGGTTCTTCTAAAAAGAAATCCGTTGTCGGCTTCTATGACTAAATCAGTCTCGAAAACCTGAGCAGTTAAGTCACTGAATGTGCAGAAAACTGCTTGAGAGCCTGAAGGGGAAAAGACAGACTTCTGTTTCAAAAAAATTAATAGATATTTGTACGCGACATATATAGAAGATATCACACGGTGGAGAAATAGGAAAATACGGACCGCGCTAAGGACCTATCAGCTTGCAGGATTCGTTACCGTGACCTCTGAGAAAAAAACAAATGCATGTTAGGTATCGAGTGGCGAGAACAGTACTTCATGAAAACGAGTGAGATATTGACCACTCGTATTAAATAAGAAAGATAAGTCACTAGGTTCCTGGATGTAGTGGTCGTATTGATTCTACAAGTGTGTTTGTTCCTACGTCTTCAAATTATTCATCGAATTTTTTTTTCGCTTATTTATTTTCTTGGAACAAATAGTTATACCTTGTCACTGAGCTTTGTATTTGTGACTTTTCAACTCACCGGGATATTCCAGTCAATACTGAGGTTGATTTTTGCTATGATATTGAATGCAAACAAGAGAAATACGGCGATCACAAGAAGCCATGACGTCACAGTAACAAAGAGGAAGAAATCCATCCTTCCCGAGCGTCCGTAATACACATCAGCAGCTATGGCGAATGCCAACAACAGCGTGAACTATACAGATTTAAGTAAAAGTAAAACTTAGCTTATTGAAATATGTAGGCATAGATTTCATCAAGCTTAAGAGTCGTAACACCCAACAAACTAAGGAGGAATATAATGGTGTATAGGGAATACCCCAGTTGTTTTAAGGGTGGATAACGCTATCCACTGGTTAGATCTCTATCCAGCGCAGTCCTTTTTATCAACACTTATCCATCAGATGGTGATTTATTGGCTGAATAGGGTCATCCTCCCTTTGAACAGCAATGGCTGATCTGATCAAAAGATTTCCCAGTGTCCCTAGCTCAAAGTGATTAGGGCATTGCTACTGATATACCAGAATTTCGCAACGGTTGCGCTAAACCCTTTGACCCCCAACAGTGACTGGTATCTAATTTCTCCTTACATTCTCGCCCCTGAATCACACATTAAGGTCACGAGAATAAAGGAAATGGTCACCAACTAAAAAGGCAACAAATTCTCCACATTCATTCTCTAAACACACTTGACAGAAACACTTACAAATTCAACGATCTTCAGTATTCCGGGAATCGACATGATATACGACATAGTTAGCCCGATATCCCCAGATCCAGCTCCTCCGCTGCCGGATCTCTCCGCGGGGGCCTCGTCAGATTTAGCTGTGGTATCTGGGTTCTCAGGATCTGCCATCGTTTATCTATGCTTCTGAAAATGTAAAATTGAAAGATAAGAGGTGTTTTCTGTTGGACTTTCTTTTCCATAAACACCCTAATAGCAGCCCCACCCTAATAGCAGCTCCTCTTCTTTCTGGCAGATTTAACTAATGACTTGTCATGCGTTGTATAAATGTGCCCTTGGCTCAAATGAAGAACAACCTCATCCCACCTCATGACACTAATAAAATGATTGATTGATCGATCGATTGACTGATTGATTGAAATATTTATTGATTGCTCCCATTTGGAAGCACTGGAAATTAACGAGCACTTGGTCAGCTTATCGTTCACCTTAAATATCACTCAAAGCATTCTTATTTGCCCCATCGCTGTTGGTTTAAAGCTGACAAAGGGACTGACAGTTAACATCGCCAGATCTTTAGACACTTAGAAACGTCTTCCGCAATAGTATTATGGTCAACGGCAGGTAGACACTCAACACAAGAAGCGAGATTTAAATAAATACCAATTTCGGTATTTTACAATAATTTTCTGCTCTGCCCAGCGGGGATCGCATTTAGTTAATAAACTTGAATGTTGTAATAACCCCTGATCCCCTTGCCCCCTTATAACAGAAAGCCGTCAGCTTTTAATAAACAAAAAAAAATTAATTATTAATCATTAATTTTTTTCCATCCATTCAAAACTTGACAGCATCTTTGTTTCTGGTTTCTCAAACTTTTTCTGGTTGTTCATTTATTGTTATATTTGATGACCAATGATCTCGTTTACAAGCAAGTTCGCTATCGAAATCGTTTCGAGTAAATGTTCGCGAAGTGACTTAATGAGCATTCACTCGTTGAATGAAGAAGGTTTGTAGCTAAGATCATAGATAGGCCTTGCCTGTAATTAAACTGATTTTTTTTGAGCCAATTATTAAGTGACAATATCTCGCGTGATGTGTGAGTTAAAATAGAACGTCAAGTGGTGTTAAAGAGCAATATTAATACCATGCAAGAGATTTAAAACTGATAATCTCCTGTGCCATTTTATCCTGCTTGATGGACATACATTGATATCTAAATAATTTGGTTTTATCAACTGAGTTGTAACACTCCCCTACCGGGCAGCACCACAGTTTCTTTAGAAACTAACCCCTTTATTCATTGAATTCCTAGTAAGTGAATTAGGCTTTCTATATAGATGTAATTTTGATACATAGTCCAACAGAAATAAAGTCACTTTAACGAATCCAAAAATAAAATTTTTCTAAATGGCAGGCCAGGTTTGCCTGCCTCTTAAAAGAGTTCTATTTTATTTCAGCTAAGAAACCCTTTGACACTTCTCAGCCATGAATTCTCATCGAGTAACGAAATTACCAATTCAAATGAATCTGCGAGAAACCTGCATTTGTTTTTTATCTTTCGCAGTAATTTGTATTGTACTATTAATTTAAGGCCTGTAATCTTTATTGCTTTTAAAATCCTTTGCTCCACCTTTAAAACAGAAGCATTATCATTTCATACGGTAGAGCAATATGAGGCAACCATTAATTTCAAATCAAGTATAATTAATTTTTACTGTTTCATCGAAACTTTTATGCTTTATTTCATCCAAGTCACGCACTCTATCTTAATTTCGTATAGATTTCTTTTGCTCAGTTTCTGCCGTTTGCCTCGAATAAGTTTTTCAGTAGAAGTTGAATCTTGTTTAAGAAGAGAAAATGTGATGATTGAAATTTGACTGACTAAAATTTCGAACTAGAGATGCTGTGCTTATGGAAATCACTTTGTCAAAAAGAAACGTGACCGAGATTTTCCTAAATATTTTGTATTAGTCCTGCTCTGTTAAACGTTCTTCAAAGCTCTATCGATATATAATGTAGTACGAAAGCCTTAGTTTCGATTAAAGTCTTCTAAAATTCGTTCCCTGCGAACAATTGATTTCCGCTTTGGGAGTTCTTTTGTTTGACTGACTCTTGGTGGACTATATTAATATCAATCATAGCAGTCCCACAATCGACACAACTGTGGATGTACTTTTGAAAGATAACAAATCACATCTATTTTTTGCGCGTTTCACGACAACAAAATGAGCAAATGTTGTTTGGGTCTCAGAACAGTAATGATTAGTATGCGCGAACAATTTGCTACTATTTTGCATATGCAGAATTGAAAAAACGGTTTAAATTTTTCGCTCAACATGTGTTTCAGTTGCTGTGTTCCATAGAATCAATAAACAATCCCGCTTTAAGGAAAGTGCTTTGTTGGAAGAATGTCTTAAAATTTTGGTGTTTTGCGCACCTGTAAAATTTTGACTGACTTCTTGGAGTGCTTTCAATAGCTCAGTTATCCTAGTTATGAGTGACAATGGCCGCAGCAGTTTTTATGTTTGTTTTTGCTTTTTTCTCTTCTTTGGCTTTAACCGCCGACTGCTGGAACACTGCACTGATTTCGCTGAAGGCTAATCAGTTCACAACCTACAGAAATCATTAAAACGGTGGAAACTGTGCCTGAATTTAAAACGTTAACAACCAACGCAAAGTTGGTTGATACATTTAGCGACGTTTAATAACGAGGCGAACGCAGTCAAAAGTTTTGTTATATTACATCTAAACATAAAATAATTCGATGTACAACATTTCAGGTAACTCTTACCCAAAGAAAAGTCCAATTTCTCTTGACCTAGAGCGATTTTCCGGGCGAAGAAGAGGCGAAGATTTTAAGCTTCCAGAGCTGGATGATCATAGGAGCTAGGATACCGTAAGCGTCGCTTAAACAGCGTAAACAAGAGTGAACGCCTTCTTTTAATTTATGCAGTTGATTAGAGATCATTCAAAAACGTGACAATTTTAATGATGCTGACACTGGGGAGTCCAAATAAGTAGGTTAGCAAAGTTTTTGCGAAAGATCCTCGTCAACAATGCACTACTAGTTACCTAAGCAGCCCATATGATCTAAATTTTCCATCGTTACTCATGTTGTGTTCATGTCAGAGCTGTTATTAATAACATTTTCGTTAATGTAATTCCTTAGAATATTCAAAATGGAAAATTCATTTCTTTTATTCAAGCGTGGAAAGAAAGTAAAGAATAAGCAAAGGGAAGGAGAACAAAATATGCAGAGAGTTGATTCTTTTCAATGCGAATAAAAAATTTAAGCGCAACAGGAACAAAAAAAAAATTTACTAATTATTCATATCCAATGACAGCCATTGAGAAAAAATAAGTTGGCATTTATTGTTTCTTGTATTCAACAAAAGCTGTATTTCTTTGTGATCTGAAAGTCAAATGTCAATTAGCAATAAAACTAAAATTGATTGAATCCGTTTAGTGAGATTGTTTGGAAATGAAAATTATTAACTCATCTCAGTGATCTTGCGTGTTAGGCAGCCCGCTCAAGGCCTGAAAAACACATTAACAGTGGTTGATCGGCCAATATCATCGCGTTACACTTTGCGTTACAGGTGTTCATTTATAATGTAAAGGGAAAAGTAGGAGGGGGATTGGGAAGAGCGGCGACCAATCCCCCTCCAGTTTTCTTCGCATTGAAGTTCCTGTCGCACTGTTATCGTTGCCTTGGCTATTTGTGACACGGCTGTTCGTTTTTGAACAGTCTAGACTAATATTTATTGACTTAGAATCTAATTACTAAAAAATAATATCAACAGGTTAAAAAGTTGTTGTGGGGAATAGGTAAGGAACCCACACTGACGCTTTCCTCTTCTAGCATTTGATTTCTCAGATCCTCACGAGCACACAACAAAGTCATATCTCAGAATGACTAAAACAACAATCAATTGTTGTTTTATCTTATGGACACACCTTGATCAAACGTAAACTGACTAGCTCTAGCTAAAGCTCTTTCAAACAAAAAAGATAAACAAACTTATTCATCAGAGCAAACAGAACGTGACGCTCGATTTCTGGGCCGATAGTACACAATCGGTACATCAACATGAGCTTACATCAGTACTAAGTATCCTATTTCTGATACTACAAAGAGTCGAAATTTTCGGAATAGAAGAACACTTAGCCGAGCAAAAATAGAGAAGCGAATTTCCGAAGCTACTCACTCCATCAAAAATTAATTGTTACTCCCAGGAAGATCTCCACTGGAGTATTTTCTTCAACAGGTTTTCATAAAAATTCCTAGAGCATTGTGACTTTGGAAATAATGATTTTCAAAAGAGGGACTCGCCCAAACTGTTAAATTTCTCTTCATTCTTTTTAGAATACTGTACGCCTACTTTCCACCATAGCCTTCCTGAATATCTTAGTGAAGACCTCGAGCGTGTCAGTAAAAAAGCCATGTCAATAATCGCGCCTTATCAATCGAATAAACAATCCCTAGATGGCTATGGACTCTGTACTCTGCGCCAAAGACGCTTTGATCACTGCTCTAAGCTATTCGGTGGCATCACCAATTCGTACGATCACAGTCTCGCCCACCCGCTCCCCCCACGTCATCAAGGCTCATATAGCTTGAGAAGCAAAAGAACTTTCAATCTGCCGCGATTTGACACCAACCGTTTTAAAAACTCATTCATCCCGGCTATGTGCCAACGAGTAAATAGAGTTGTTTAGTAAACTGCAATGCTTGTAGCCAGTAATTTTGTACAGAGCACTTTAGTTATAAAGAAACCCCATTGTAAATATCCCTAGTTTTAATTGTACTATATTTATATTGTGAAAAATTATTCAATCCAGCCTTTGGCTGCGAGTTAGTTATTCCTATTAACGATCAACTTTCAACTAGGAACCATCAACTAGTTAGCGCTACCCGGCAATTGAGTGCGCAAAACTTTTCTGATTTCAATGCAAGCTTGTTAATTTACCAGTTAAAGGTACAGAAATGATTGAGACCAAAAATAAAACAACCATAAATTGAATATTGAATATTAAAGCGGCTGATGGGGAAAAGTTGTTCAATTCGTGTAGCGACATTTGGTAACAGACGATGTCGTGTAAATACCTCGCTGTATTGCGATGTGCAACATCATCTATAACTCTTACCTATAGATTTCTTCGCTTTCTTTGTATCTTTTGGTTTGATTCCCGACTGATGAGAAGAAATGGTTTGAGTTAGACGGGACTTGTTGTTATGGGTTGTGGTGTCAAAAGCGGTCGCTAAAACAGAGCTAACAACGTTTACCTTGAAAGCTTTGCAATTGACAAGGGAGTGTCACGCAATTAAGTTTCCGGCTAGAGGTACGCCCAAGGAGCACTAGTGACGAGTTTCTGAGTCGGGCGATTATCGGAAGTTGTCGGCAATTGCATTATGGCGGACTATTCCATTAACACCATTCGCGATTTTCCACAGTCAAGCGACGTGATTGAGCCGGACATGAACACTATAACATGCTTTACGTATGAATAATACATTATTGACTTTAAATCAAGGAAAGTTCGCTAAATTTTGTGTGGCTGTTTCCTTTACCCTCGTCGATCTTAAGTTTCTTGCTCAGCAGAATTTTAGCCTAACACTGTAAGACCTTCGCTTTCAAAGGTAAACAAAACTTATGAATTGTATCGCCACTATAATGCCCTTGTCACAGTGCTACTGGTTAGAAAGATCTCCAAAATGAAATTTCTATTGTCTTGTACCTCTAGCCGGTAGGATCTCAGATGGCTTAGAAAATACTACCGACTGGAAGTAAAGTTTGCATATTCAGTCAACTTTGCCCAATTGTTACAACGTTTTGCTTCGCATTTTACTTTTTCTGCACCCCAAGTTAGTCTTACACTCCGTTGAATCACTTTTTTCAAGAATACGTATACACTTATTCATTTTTTATTTGGTCTTGTACCTCTAGCTGGTAGGATCTGAAGGGGCTTATGAAATACTACCGGCTAGAGGTACAGCTTACATACTTAGTGGACTTTGCCCAATTTTTATGATGGTTTGCTCCACATTTGACTTTTCTGCACTCCAAAATATAGTTGCACACTTCTTGGAATCACTTTTTACAAGAGTACATTTACATATATTTTTTCTTAATTTGGTCTTGTACCTCTAGCTGGTAAGATTTAAAGAGGCTTAGAAAATACTACCTGCTGGAGGTACAGCTTGCAAATTTAGTCAACTTTGCTTAATTTTTAATACGGTTTGCTTAACATTTTACTTTTCTGCACTCAAAATTAGTCTTACACCCCTTTGAATCAATTTTTTTTCAAGAATAAGTATACATTTATTTATTTTTATTTGGTCTTGTACCTCTAGCTGGTAGGATCTTAGGTGGCTTAGAATATACTACCAGCCAGAGGTTCAGCTTGCATACTTAGTGGACTTTGCCCAATTTTTTTAATGGTTTGCTCCACATTTTACTTTTTTGCACTCCAAGTTGTAGTTTTACATTCTTTGGAATCATATTTTTTAAGAATACATTTGAATTTTTGTTCTTTTATTTGGTCTTGTACCTCTAGCTGGTAGGATCTCAGGAGGCTTGGAAAAGAATACCAGCTAGAGGTACAGCTTGCATATTTAGTCAAATTTGCCCAATTTTTACTGCAGTTTGCTCATTTACTTTAATTTCTGCGCTCCAAATTAGTCTTACACTCCTTGGAATCACTTTTTTCAGGAACACATTTACATTTTGTTCTCTCTTATTTAGTCTATAACCTCTAGCTAGTAGGATCTTAGGAGGCTTCAAAAATACTTGAAGTACAGCTAGCATATTAATTGACTTTACCCAATTTTTATTACAGTTGCTTTGCATTTTACTTCTTTGCATTCCATTTTAGTCCTATACCACATTGGAATCATTTTTTTCAAGAATATCTTCTTGTTCCTTGGTCATGCACCTATCACTGCTTATTTGATGGCACAGCACACAAGATTTGAGCATCAAATGACTCTTAATGGGGAATACACTGAAACTAAAGCAGGCATTATTAGGCAATAAGCAAAGGGTTTCTGGTTGGTGTTCAAATAAGAAAGGTTTGATTTCTTTTTAATAATAGCAATTTTTATTAGAAAATACAATAAATAACACAGGCACAGGTTAATCTCATTTCAGTTATATAATTGTATAAATTCTGTATGTATAGTAGATGACTATTTTCTTTTTCAAGAATAACTTGCCTTAAAGTCTTCATGCACTCATACATGCTGTTAAATATCATTGAAAATACAAAGGAAAAAGGCCAATATGGTGAATGAAAATCATGTTATCCTACGACTACCTAAAGATGACTTAATTTTAGCATTTCAGACAATGGTTGGTCTTGTCAACAGTACTTCAAATCAAACAAAAATATCATGAAAATAGAGACTGTTTCTTTCTACAAAATTCCACTCATACTTAGGCAGATTATTACATGACAAACTTCTGTAAACCTAGTTGACATGTTCAAGTCTAAAATAAATTTCAAGTCAAATTAATCTAAAACTGATTATTTATATTGGAATAAATCCACAACTGAAGAAAATAAAAATCAAGCTAGTTTAAAATTTATTAACTTGAAATTCATTTAAAACTTAACAATGATAAAGATTTCAAGCTTACTTCACATATATAAGCTGCCCCCTCAGGCTGGTAGTGTTTTCTGAGCAATCCAAGCTCCTACTAGCCAGATGAAAATGACTGAAAAGCATGAAAATATACCCATGGAGTGACTCCTCAACAGTTTAAGACTTACATGGAATGTAGAAATTTTTCCAAAAATCAAGAAGTAAATGAAACGAGCTAAATTCACCTTAAATGCATGAAGTACCTCTAGCCTGTAGTATTTCCTGAGCAACCAAATATCCTACCAGCTACAAGGACACGACCAAGAACCAAGAAGATATTCATGAAAAAAGTGATTCTAATGTAGTATAAGACCAAATGGAAGGCCAGAAAGTTAAATTCAAAGCAAACTGTGATAAAAATTAAGTAAAGTCGATTAAATATGCAAGCTCAGGTACCTCTAGCTGGTAGTATTTTATATGTCCCTTCAGATCCTACCCGCAGGTACAAGACCAAATAAAAATGAATAAATGTATACTTATTCTTGAAAAAAGTGATTCAAAGGAGTGAAAGACTAACTTAAAATACAGAAAAGGTGAAAAGAAGTAAACGTCGCTTGACTATTGGTAAATTGCAATTGGTGTTACTGGAATAGTCCGCCACAGTGCCGACGATTTCCGATAATCACCTGACTCGGAAACTCGTTACTAATGCTCCTCGGGCGTACTTCTACCCAATCAGTGCTGCCATGATCGGAACGAAATGGCATCACTCACCACGGCTATCGGAGGAAAGCTATTTTCCAAAAAGTCAGCTTAGAATTAAGCTGTTTAACTGTATAAACATACCCAAATTTTTACAACCCAGGTTTCCTGACGTTAATGTAGAAAAGGAAGAGAAAGGCAGGAGATTCTCAATTGAATCCAGGTTAAAGACCCTCCCGTAGGACCACTTTGCCTCACCCCTTAACTAATGCCTCTAAACTGGCCAAAAAAGATCGAAAACTACTGAAAAAGAATATGAAAAGACAAGATAAGAGCACCACACGCTGAAAACACATTCTGTGGTGGAGGTGGAGAAGGGAGGACAGGCCGTAGTAGCTATTACGAGACTCCCTAGCGACAGGGCGATCGAACAATATAAAGTGGGTCCGCGAGCCTAATCGAAGAAGTTGAGACTGGTCTGAAAACCTTGTTGTTAGTCTCTAAATTGTATTTCTACAACGGGAGTACACTGGATACAGTTTCGAGACATAAACTAATGTCAATGCAGGAGTAAGCTTTGTCATGCTAGCTATCAACAAAGTCGACAGACGTGGCTATCATCAAGTCTGTATTTGGAGTCTAGTAGTCTAGTTCCAGAGGAGTGGGGTGGCTCTGAAAACTGTGATAGACTTTTACTCTCATTTCTCGTCATTATGGCGAAATCTGACTCTCAGTCTCCCGGCCAAAAAGGTCTTTGCAGGGGGCAGAGACTTGGGAGGAGATGAGTGCTTCGTTATGCTGGCCTGAGCTGGAATGTCGAGTATTTTAGCAAGCCTGGTTCTCAGAGATAAAAAAAAATCAATAACGCCTAAATAAAGATATGTGAACTTCATTACAAGCAGAAAAGGTGCTTTTATTCTTGCTACGTTTTCTTTTAAATTTAAGAAAAATTACATTCCAAGTTAGCAGCATTCAATGAAAAGTCTGCTGTGTCACATATTAGGTTTTGAACATACAATTAGCGACGCAATTGTTGACACATTGACGTCCACAGCCCCTGTTACTTAATTTTATCTCTCTTCTCCCACCTGAGATAACCTCAGTTTGCTCCCCTTTCCCCAAAAACAGTATTGTACCGTGATTCTGTGAGCTTTAAGCTACAAATGTGACAAACGGGGGAAGGGGACCTTGTCAAGCGCGGTGCAAATAGTATTATAGTCTACGAGTAGCCCTACCCTCTCCCTCAAGGAGTAATGGAAGTCCGTTTCTATTTAGGGGGGAGGAGGAAGGTACGGCTACACGTAAGGTAGTAGTAGTGTTATTCTACATATATAAAGAACTGTTCAAACACAATGTATCAAGTAACTTTTTTATGTACAAAGATAATTATAAAAGCACAAAAAACCTGATGAAGCACGTTCAAACACAAAGGGCCGACTCCTCGGAGTCAGCTTTTGGGCTGTCACGTAACTCTTTCAAGGCGACGTCCCATGACTTAAACCTAACTACAAAACCCGCGTGACAACGTCATTGGCTACTCAATGAAAGAGATCATCGTGGAGTCATATTCACCGATTAGTCCCTAGCGTTGTCCCATTTGTCTTAAGCGGCGATACTGAAACAAACTGACGATGATATCGATGATGAGTAACAGCACGACAACAAACGCCAGAACCTGAAGATAAAATAAATATGAATATGTGATATCTACTGCGTAAATACTTATGGAACACTGGCATTGATGCTTCGGATCAATGTCAGCATCTAAACATCTGTACAGCTACTGCCCCCCTGACCCAACAGTAACCATACTCAACTTGTCAACTTGTTTGTTATCAGTTGACTGTTTGTTGGGTTAGGGGAGGGGTAGGTGCGCAGTCGTTTAGATACTGAGATTGATCCGATGCTTCATGTTCAAAGGCCCTTTTAGGGCGGGTTTCTTTTTCTAACGGTCTTTCGAGCGTGAAGGGAAAGTGACAATATATTGAAAGTAAAGCGCCGCCTGCCGAGACGATGGGAAAAGACTCATCACTTCCTTCTCTGGTCCCAACTTTATATCGTCCTGATATCTTTTAACCAAAGTTTGCACAGAAAGGCCAAAAGGTCTTGAAGATGTGATCGAACAAAGTGGCAAGGGTCTTAAAAAAAGACTAAGCCATTGAAATCTATATTTGAATTTGTAGCCCTGGTTCTGACGTGATGTCATTGACGGCAGCACTCAAGTAGAGAAAGTCAGTTATAATCGGTCAACCAAGGCGGAAATCCCTATTAGTGCAGCACCTTTAGCATCTGAACAAAAATTAGCGCAACAAAAATAGGCTACAGAGACTTACTGATTCGAAAATTAACTTACCACTGCAGCCACAAGACGATCGTAGAGCCAACCAGAAAAATCATTTCCGTGTCTCTCCCTGAAGTCTGCCTCTTTAGCCAGGAGTCCAGCACTTGCTGTGAGCATCACGGCTAAAAAGCCACAAAAGATTACGTCCTGTAATGTGACGAATAGGAAACAAATCTCAATGAAAAAAACCTTTGAGTTTTTATTATATTCTAATTCTAATAATAACTTCGCGCAAAGAGAGTTACACCAAAAGCGTGGACTTCTGTCTTTCCAGTATCACTCTCCCCGATTTTTACACCCACCTCATACGTCGGTGTCAAGGTGTTGACGGCATGCGCATGCGTTTGTTTGACCGACGCTGAAATAAAGGTAGTAAAGATATTGGTGCGCAGGCCTAATTTGAGGAAATTTGATGGAGCTGGCCTCATCAACCAATTGCTGACCGACATTAATGACAGGCGATTTTCTCTCACTACAGGGGCGGATATAAGAGTTTTTGTTTTTAGGGGGTGGGGTCCGAAATTACTTCTCGACCAACCCACGCCCGCCCTCCTCTTCCCCTATGTGAGCAGTAATGACATAAACTACCAGGGATCGGTTGTTTGAAGGTTGGATAACGTCATCCACTGGATAAAACTCTATCCGGTGGATAACTCTATAGGTTTTGCTATCACTTATCCGCCAGATAGCGATTTATCCGCCGGATAGCGTTATCCGCTCTTTATGCAACTGGGCCCAGAGTGATATGCTTGAGGTACACAGCCCAGCCGGATGCATAGATGACTTTTGCAAAACTGACAGTTTCAATCGGATATTTTGGGTTCAAGTTTTCTTTCCTCTTGATTTTATGTACTCACCATAAGATACCAGTTGAAGGTCTCAAACCGCTTCTCCAATGAGAACAGAAAGAAGGTATACAGCAGAAGGAGAAGTATCATTCCCACAAATACAGCCACGAAGAAGTAGGGTAGGTGAGGGGGACTGTAAAATGATTCATAAAGCTGACCGAATATGAAGGAGGCCAACAGCAAAATCTAGAAAGAGATGCCAAGCACAGTAAGCGCTCTCTGTAAGCCTAGCTAATGGGTGCTTTCATTGTTAAATGCTTCAACCAGTTTTGAAATTAACTTTGAATATATGGAAATTATATGTGTGAACTGCGGATAAAGTAGTGAATATGAAAGCGATCTTGGCAGTAATGAACACTACTTGAGCATGCAGCAGTTAAAATAAGGCCTGAAAAAATTCATTTAAGTAGGGGATTTGAACCCATGACCTCTGCGATACTGGTGCAGTGTTCTTCTAACTGAGCTAACAAGCCAACTGGGAGCTGATCATTATGTTAGTTCTAAATAAACCCGTGAAATGATGTATAAACAATTGTGAATATATGAAAATCATATATGTGAACTGCGGATAAAGACGTGGATATGAAAGTGATCTCGAGTAAACAAATGCGGACACCAACGAATACACTTCCCCTTCTTTAGTTATTATTCGGTGCATTGGAATTAACTTTAAACCCTAGGAGTGACTAGCATCAATTTTCTCCCCACAATACCACCCCTGAATCAAAGACTATAGTCATGAGAATATGGGAAATGATCATTAACTAAAAAAAAAGCTTGACGAACAAATTCTCCTTGTTAGCATCTAAGAAAATGTATAGAGAACAGTATAGAGAATATGCATACTGATATTAGGGTGTAAAAAGGTTAACTTACGCTCTCTAAGATCTTAAGAAATCCTCGTATGGAACAAATGTAGGCGCTATTGATCATAGGTCTGCGGCTATTTGGATAACTACTCATCTTGACAGCTGAAAAAAAAAGGAACATCTCCTTTCATGCAGGTACAGTTTACTACATGACTTAATTGATCAGTAGGCGATGTTTTTACGCTTGGAAGAAAATTGTCCCATTGCCTGTGTATTCTTATTAATTCTTTCAGCTTAATTCTTTCCATAAATCGCTAATTGTTAACGTCATAAAATTTCTGACAAATGGATACAACCACCTTAAATTTTTAAGCCACTTAAGTCCAGGGAAGATTAAGGAGAATTTCGAAAAGTGATTTTTTACAAGCTGATTATTATCCCAACCAAGAGTCACCAAACTTATCTGTTAGCGTATGAAAAGGAAACTAAGAATGTGTTTAATAGGATTTTCCATTGCTATGTAAATTTTTAGGGGCCGGTTATTCAAGCTGTTTACTGCTGCCGGTCGCTGTAGTCCTAAAAGAGAATCCTACAACTTATATTATTTCAGAATGGCCTATTTGATAACACAAGTTATTTCAAGACCCTTCTTCCAATCTTTTTTGGTGGCAGGCCTGTTGAAGATCACGTGGGAAACAAATTTCTTTTTAACATGACTTAACTTTGCTAGAATTTCCAGACCGATCAGTAGTTTGAATCTTGCCAATGTAAAAAGTTAAGTATCACATTATTAGGACTGTAAGTGTCACGAATGGCAAGTTTGATACCTGAAGTCTTCATTCACAACGTTAAAGATAACTTCACTTTAGTAGTTACATGTCTACGTACACGCATGTAATAAATATTCATCACCCAGATAAACTGATGTTTTAATGTTTGTTAAATCCGCATGCTATAAGAATGAATTTTTTTGCCAGCTGACACTCTGACACTAGCCAAAGTATTGGTGCTTTTTCTGTGTAAGCTACTGACGGAAGCTCAGGGGACATCTACTTGAAATTTCGATAGGAGTTGAGGCAAACCTATTGTACGCGCTCAAGTGAAATTATTGACCGACATGTATAAAAGTTGCGTCTTGTTTACAACAGACGCTCGAGAAAGGGTTCTACTCGACATTATAAACACTTCTATGTCTTTATTATATTTGACTAAAGGCTTTTTAATCTTTCAGTAAAATATTTAGTACAACAAAAAGTTGACCCCAGCTCACACCGTCATGATATAAAATTTCAAAATTTTTTTCGAAATTTACGGTTCGCTTCGTTATATTTATCGTACACAAGCGCCTCGATCGCCGCTATTATGATTGCTTCAAACGCTTCAGTCCTTACCTGCCTGTGAACGCTTTAGCTGAACTTCAAAGAAAATTCAATCCTGAGTTTGTTAAGGGCACAATTCAGTACAGAGATTTCACCGAGTCCACTTTCCTTCGCAAAAAACACGCGACAAATCGGCGTGATAAAACCACAGCACAGAAGAGCTGTAATATCTGTAGTTATAAATGCTAATTGTTCAATGTCATGCATGAGGTACTTTAATATTCCAAGTACACTTGATTGATTGGTTAACAACCCTAACCTTAAATGACATAGGGTCTGAAATATGTAGCATAACTTTCTTTTCATTAGCATTCGTTATTGGCTTAGTAAAAGCTCGTACAGTCCACAATAATTTCAACTCAGTGGGTTACTTAAACACAATAGCTTTTAAAGACTCGATATCTCTGCTTGATAGTCCTTACAAGCATATTTAATTTTGCATCAATCCTTAAAGTTTTACTGACCCAGGGTACATTTTTAATGAGATCCTTTGATAAAGGGTTATCATAAAACGCCAGCAGCACAAATACATATGTCATGGTCGTGTCTTTCACAAAGCTTCTTGCGATTAAGTGCTTTCGCATCAGCAAAAATAACTCAAATGATAACAGGCTAACAAAGCAATTCTCAACGGAACAATACGTCAAGGCGTGCGCTTGAATTGAATTTTTTTCAGTTTTTCACCAAGATCAGAGAGATCCGTCCCAAAATGTTCCACTCTGGAATATTCCTATTTTTTTTGGAGAATGCGACCTGCTCTATTTCTAAGTGCTATTTAAAGGTTTTTTTTTTAATTATCTTTGAATTTTCAGTGACCCGTCCTACGTAATGGCGACCAAGTGGTACATACGCTCTCCTCTACCAACACCTGCTCGATCCTCCTTCTTTCGCCTTTATGTATCTTCAATCTTTCAGAGGCAAGTTAGATTCCGTAAAGACCTCAACATGATCACGATGAGATACCGCCAAGATCCAGACGAAATCTTGTTAATTTAAAGGAAGGAAAACGGTGGGGAGGGAGAAGGCTTCTTGTTTTCTTTTTCTTTCCTTTTTATTTTGTCATCTAAACTGTCGCTTAGTTACCGCGACACTGCACCCGGCTTTGTGACTTCAAGCTGGGCACAGTTGTTAATGAAACATCTGTTTTCACTGGCTACAGCCATAGGACTTGCTAAGTGGAGTTTTTTTTTAATAAAGAAGTGACGAAAATGCAGAGAGGGTAAAACGAATTGTTCTCGAAATGAGGTATTAAGTTTTTTATCCGGCAGCTAGAAAAGGTGGCAAAAGTAATATCCTGAAGCATTCATTTGTTTGCTTAGTTAAAAACGCATCGTCTTTTTGTGCAGTTTAGTTGTTAACGCTCGTAATTGTGTGCTTTAGTTCGAGCGAAATCAAAAGAAAGACGCTGCAACTGCTGAGTTATAATTGTTGCAATCACATTTTGAATTTTGTATAAAACTGACGCACTTTGTAAAGACCTATTGTGATCATTAGGCAGAAAAAGACTATGGTCCGTAGGCCAAGCTGAATGGATTCATAATGTCCCTGTTGAATTGAAATACATGAAATAGGGAGCCCCTCTGTAAGATGGTGAGATAAGGAATTCTAAGGCGGGCCAATTTGCAAAAGAAGTTCTTGACCAGCAATCAACACACCATTCTATACCTTTTAGCTTAATATTTATTTGAACGTGCAGGTGATTGAAGTGAAAGTAAATAATGGACTAGTTTTAAGTAAATATCGTTTATCTCTGCCTCCTTATTCATCACAGTCACTTTTCGAAAACTGAAAGGTGAGTTTCAAATGACGAAACAAGATGATGATTTTAATGAGAATTTTCCTGAAATAACCGTGAGAAGCGCTTTTTTTAGAATAAGAACACTTCAAAATGCTATCTTTTTTCTCATTGAAGTTAATTTCGGCCTCGAATTGTTAAATGTATGTACATAGCATGTGTAGCATGAGAAATAAAAAAAACAAGACGGATCTCTTTCTCAGAAATAGCTATTTTCAAAGATTTCAAGGTCGGACAACTCAGTATTTCTCAAGTTATGATAGTTTCGGGTTTATTGTTCTGTTCGTGATTTATGTCACTCCCTCGTTTCACCTCTGAAAAATTAACTCCACTCAGATACAACTCTACTGTGTATGCGTATTCCTTTTTTTTCTTTTACTCAAATTTGATGCCTCACTCGAACTTCTTTACATTGTGAAAAACTTCCTGTAACTGTGAAAAACTCATCTGCAATTTAAGGGCAAAGAAGATGCCGATGTCACAATTTGATGTCATAACCGCTTTACTTGCTTAAAGCTACTTCATGCCTTCGCTTATCCGCCATAAAAGGCAAAGAAAGTCAAACATTCGCGACTCCTATGACGTGAGCATAAGATAAAGTGAACCAATTGACCAAATGCAAATGAGAAATAAAACCGTTTATTTTACATTCCGTGCAATATTGATATGAAACATATATGCCTACGAGATTTTACATGAATCGACCGGATATAAGAACATCAATGTTGTCGATGTTTTCGTCGCTTGGTCGTGCGCTTAAAACCGATTCCAAGAAAGCAACTGCAATCTTAAGTAAAATATGCGTCTGCGATTATATGAAACACATTTAAGACTAATGCATGGCCAAAATTAAAGCCAAAATCAGTCTGTCTAGATCTTCGCTTGAACACAAAACAAAAGTAACTTTACTTAGTACTACTGAGATTACACATGTAAACCACGTCCTCCTAGACTTGTCATTAATAAAAAAGTCTCAATTATTTTCTTTTAGTTTTTCTTATGGTCACTCCGGCTGTTTTATCATAATTACAAACATACTGCGTTCCACGACAGCGGCAGCTTTTAAAATAAGAATCTACAACGAGTTTTTTCAGGCTTAAAGTACACGGACATGCATGAATCAACGCTACAGTTTGCCGCTAAAATTTACTGAAGAGTTCATGAAGACTTGCAAGTGATGATTTTCTTGTATTCGATGCGAAATGACCTGTTAAGGAGTCCGTACAGAACAGGATTGATGGCGGAGGACATGTAAATTGACAAACCGTAAAAGTAATAAACTTGCCTCGGCAACATTGGCGCGCCGTTGGTAAAGTCGATCTGGTCGATGATCATTATTGGAAACCAACAAAGAGAGAAGCCAATAAGGACAGCCGCCAGAGTTTTGGTGACCTTCACCTCCTGCACGTGTGCATTTCTTTGGCTTTCTGAGTCGGCGTTGCCGCTTTGAGGGAAAACTGCGCGACGCACCGACCAATAGATGCGGCAATACAGGCATGACATGATGATAAAGGGACTCATGATAAACCCCATTCCCATGCAGAGGGCGAAGATGAAATTCTGCTCCATGGCGAAGGCGCAGTATGCTTTTCCCGGGTGAAACGTGAAATCGTCGCGAGCGTAAAACATCGGAGACAGGGTCGGAAGGCATGCAAAGCAGAAAACACCCACGGCGAATCCAATAGATTTCTTCACCGTAAAAATCCGGCGATACAAATTGGGTTTGACGACACAAAGGTATCTGTTGATGGCAATGACAACCATGAGTTGTAACGATATAACCGCCAATGTCAGAGGGAACGATCCCTGAAATTGACACACTTCTCTACTGTAGATCCAGCGCCCCGATATCAGCACACCAACGGTTAGAGGCATCGTACACACCGACATCGTGATATCGGTCACAGAAAGAGCGCAGATCAGAACATTCGTGGGTGTGTGGAGACGCGGGTTTCGAGTGACCGCTACACACACCAATATGTTTCCAAGGAAAGCGCTCAGAGCTACGAAAGCCATCACCGCTGATTCCACCACAACCAGAAGCGTTGTTCGAGATACAAGCTCGCGAAAGAGCCGGTCGTTGTGAAAGTTTCTCAACTCTTCCAAAGTTGACATGGTAGAATACTTTGAAATTATATAGGGTGCAAAAAAAAGTCCAACCTGTGGTTAACGCGCTCGGTGCTAAGTGCCTTGTGATTCAAATTACTTCGCTTACCAATCTTATATTCGAACGTCACTTGGCAATCGGCAAGATTTCCGCTGAAGCCAAGATTCTAATCAAAAGTAGCTTGCAGCTGGCATTGCATCCTCCAAGCTCAAAAGCTACTTTCTCCTAAATTGCACCACGCATTTCTCACAATTTATCAATGAGAATTTCTTTTTGAGTCGGGTCGTCGTATGCTTAAATTATAACTTTATTTAATATCAACTTTCTCGCTTAGCCGTAAATCGATGATCGTGGGGAAAATTACTTGACGATCGATCTGGGCAATCCTTAAAGGTGTTAATAAAAATAGTACTGTTTCCATGACTACTTACGCTTACAGGTAAACGCTGGCGAAGGTTAATCAAATATGCCACAAAATATTTATTTTTCAGTCTGCGATCAATCGAAGACCTTTTCATCAATTTTTCCAACCTCAAATCTGTTTGAATCATTGCACTTTATATAACCAATCAATTGCAACTCACGTTTCACGTTCACGTTCAAGGTCGCTCTTAAAGTCGATACTACTCCCAATTCAATAAATTAGTAGCAAATATTTTTTTCCTAAATTATCCGGCAGGCATTTCCTAATTTGAGGAAGTTCTTCTTCGCCAGTTTTTTTGGCGACAAAAATTTATCGATGGTACTTAATACAAGGAATTGAAGGGAGTAACTATAAGGACGGTATGTAATATTGCTTTGTTCACAAACTAACGCACGAAAAGTGATCTGAATTAATCAAGACAGGCACAGGATATAAAGGAAGTGTTATAAAAGTAAACTTCTCAAGCATTGTGCAAAGTGATACCTACTACAGGTGTTTGGTACTTGGTGGCGTAAGTTAATTTACTATTTGTGGCCTATAGAAACCAATCCCCCTCCTAGCACCAGTCCGCGCGGCTAGCCATGTAAGTTTGACATTCGCGAGGATCATGCAAATAAAAAGGGTGTGAGCTCGAGTTGAAATGTAATCGTTGGTACGTTCTTATGCCAGCCGTATTCCAAAATCGTCAGGTAAATTGCCCTTTTGTCGAGTGTCCCATTTTTTTTACGTTACTAATATTGCCTATGTTATACAAATTTCTTCTTATTTTGTATTTCCTATGTTATTTCCAATCTTGTAATTAGTTGTACCGCTCTTGATGTATTATGTTCGTAATACTTTACTTAGCAACCACAAGCAGTGGCTTGTAAATGGAAGAGTTCGGTCGAGTCGTCAGGAAATTAAACTCCTGTTAAATTTATTGCTGGTGCGTTGGTTATGGGCCCATATATGAAATTGGTCATCACAAAAATATTGAAAAATAAAAACCTATTTGAACTGTGTATACAACAAACAAACAGATACCCTCACATGAAATAAAATTCGATAAATCCGATATTTAAGTCCAAAAAAAGGCATTGAAGTATCGACAGAACTCGATCCCGCGCCTTCAAGATACGACAAGTTTGGTTCCTCTTCCATATAAGCTTCATCGTAAAATGCCAAAGCAAAATTTGATAGGCACGGATTTGAATCTTTTCTAAGCCTTATTTATTTTTTCAGGCTTTACTTTCTTAAATTATTTAAACTGAAATTCGCTTTTGGGGTCAGATGGTCCCATTTGCTCATAATTTAATTTCACTGTGGTAACTTTTATTGAATATCTTTTTATTCTTGCGTCTTTTTCAAAATCTTTTTTTTATCATTGTTACAGCAGAACATCTCAACCGGGAGGGACAATAACTTTGTTAAAAAAAATTTAATTCATCAAAATTAATTCCAATTTATTGTTTGTTTAATCTTTGTGAAGGTTTTCCTTTCTGCAAAATGTTGACTTAAACACCTCAAGAGGCTCTTCAGTAGCACCTGCGTTTTTATAAGTCAGATTTCAAGAAATGCGGCAAGGTTTCTTGAACTGCCCTAAAAATAGCGACGTTCATAGTCGAATCTTTGAAGTCAATTGTCCAATGATAAGGTTCCCTTTGGAGTCGCAGCACGCAAAAGTTAGTAAATACTTTTTGGATCTTGTATACACTTTCCACGTTAAGGCTGAGATAGAAGTAGCATGTATTTTAGGACAAACTTTTCTTTTTTATAATCTCCGTTTAGCTTAAGGCAACGTCTACTGACACTAATAATGATTCCATTGATTAATGTAGCCCATTATAAATGCCACGGGCACACTGATATCACGAGACAACAAACTAATTTGGCCGTGAAAATTTGGCGCTATTCTGAGGAATGGGTCGGATCAAGAAAATTATGAAACAGGAAAATGTGAATATGACAACGATATTCGCTGTAATCAACTTTCTTGAGTTATAGTGAAAAAAAGGCAAAGATCTCCATCATATTCATTTAACTTCTTCAACCGCTGTTCACATACATGATTGTCATATAATCACAGTCGCAGGGAAATCTGTTGACCTCTTGATTCATTTGGGATACAAAAAAAAGTTCATTATATAGCAGATTCAGGGTCGTTTTAGAAAAGATCACAAAATATTTTTTTATTGAGAGTCTGATAATAAAGAATAGCTAATTTCCGACTTACCCTTAGCCTCTTTATCAAAGCAAGTCCTGGTGCTGATCTGTTTTTATATAACTATAAGATTCTCATTCAGATGTAAATTAAACTCATTTTTCATACGAATGGTTGAGCACCAGGTCTTGTTTTGAAAAAGAGGCAAAAGTTGATTCGGAAATGGCCCATTAAGGTTAAGGATGTAGAAACAGGATCATGACGCGCAGGAGTATTGTTGAAAAGATTCTTGTTGGAGTTTTTCTGCCAACACCTTTCCCCGGCATTGCATCTCCTCCAATGCACTTTAAAAGGGATGCATGTGAGTATCACATGACATATACGTTCTACTAACTGCTCTGGTTTAATTAAATCTAATCTAAGTAAAATCTAGGGTTAGGGTCAGGCAAGGTTTCATCGTCAGGCCGGCCGTTGATTTTCGTATACAGAATCGCGGAATCCATAAGAAACAGAGCCGCCGAAACAAAGCCACAACACTGGAGAAAAAAAGGAAATAGAGATAATGAATGAAAAAGTAGGAACTGAAGCTATTATAGGATGAATTTCAAACATTGATGAAATGAGATATTTATGTTCTCGTATGTCTAAACAGAGTTGCAATCGGATCAACTTAGAGACTAACTAAACAAGAACAGTCTAATCGCGACTGAGCTGCAGAGCAAGATACTGGGTTCAAACGATTGCCACAGCATCTACGCTGAGATATGGCAAATTAAGTACCTTAAATCAATGAAGTAGAGACAGAAACGGTGGTTAAACTGCCAGCGCGCTAACTTCCTCATGACAAGGTCCACGTTCGATTGTTGGTTATGGTAATTAAGTTGCCCAAGTCAATTTTTTTCAAGGAGGTGGGATCACCCCCGGCGGTCATATTTATGTCGAGAATACCCCCTTCCCCTATCTAGTACTGGCATTTTTTGCATGCACTTACCACAGAAACAGTCAGAACGTGGGTGGAGCTCATGCGATGAGGAATTTTGTGCCAATTGGCACTGTACATGTCCCTCAAAATGTCCGCAATGAGAGAGGAGGAGATTAAAAACAGCATCACAAACACAATGTAGAACACTAGGAGCTGCATGGAGGATAAATCAGAAGAACGGGAAATTATTCAAATTATTTGGAGTTTCAAAGAAACCTGGATTTAAGAAATAGAGATTCTATCTTGCGAGTAGGTTTCATTAGTGCTGTTGCACAAACAGCGAAGCCCGCGAAAAGCCAGCAGGGGGAGCCAAGTGAGCATAAGCGATTTCTGTGAGGGGTATGAAATTTTCTCGCCAGACCCTTCGCTTCGTTGCCTGCTGGCAAGTTATCATGATTCTACTGTAAAAACAATCAAGGGTCATTCCTAGCTGGCTTTTTCTCAGTCAAATTTAGATACTTCTCAAAAAAAATTCCAGTCACTTTCGATCCAAATCAACGGTACTGATATACTCACCAGAATATCCCAGTTCTTTCCAGTTGTTATATTCCCTTCCGATATAAAAATGAATGTCAGAAACACGCACAAGACGACGATCCAGCCTGTAGCAAACACCGCCATGAAGAAGTCAAACCGCGATCGATACTCCTCATACCAAAAGAGAGCATATTTTTGGTCAAATTCAGCCAGGCAAGAAAACGCCACGCAAATGGAACCCTGTTAACATCAGTTAAAATAGAAATATATGTGAGCCAGTATCCTCATTTTTGTAAATAGTGATCAGTCATTACAATCTCCCGCTTTATACTCTGTTAACGACTACTGATCCCCTCTTTCCCCCCTGAAAATCATGTGATCCCTCACCGTCCTCCAAATTAACACCCTGTTCATATCATTTAAAAATAAAATGAAAAATATGAGAGCCAGAAATCCTCATTTTTTTAAATAAGCACTAGTCATAATAATCGCCCTCCCCTCCTCTAAACGTTGTTAACGACTACTTATCCTCCTTTGTTCCCCCGATACCATGTGATCCCCCAAAGCCCCCCAATGCCTTTCCCACTCCCCCCCCTCTCCCCCCGTGACAAATAATGACTTGTCCCTCAGTTTCTTCATTTGGTTCTCATCCATTCTTCTACCTTACTCTGTCCAGTCCCTCTCACTTTTTCTCATTTTCTATCTTCTTCACATTCCACTTGTCTTTTTATGCATGGTTTTTCTAAAAAAAATAAACCTTTCAAACGAATTAAAAGAATTGCATTTGATAAACTTGTATCGTTCATAAATTTTGGTATCTGTAATTATTCACTAAGTGGGATTGTCTTTTTCCTCCTTTTTCTATCTTTCAGCTCACATATCACAAGGCCGTACGGCTTACTCCCCCCCCCTCCCCCACTGCCAGCGCGCACAGCCTTCATACAGGGATTTTTGATAAACGTATTTCGTTGATCGTAAAACTTACAATTTCTAGAACTTTCAGAATTCCTTGAAGGGTCATCAAGGGGCCAGAATTCACAGAGGCCGGCATGCTTCGTCCCTTGTCTAAAATTTAAATACCAGCTTAAGTAAACTTATGCAAATAGCGGAGAATGTGAAACCAAGAGGCTAGCAACGAAAACTCTAAAGCGGTTTACAAATGACCAAATCGAAACAATGTGTAACTATTTTTCCCTGTAGATTCCTAGTAGACTCGCAAGTCATAAAAAAGTTCTTCGATGCCAAGTGCAGACCCTAGTAGTTGAAATTACGATTCCAATCCTCATGAATGATATTGAAAATTATAGAAATTGGATAAATTACATATTAAATATCATAGGTAAATAAAAGCTGAGGTACAATTTGAATACATGCTACGTTAAAACGAAATATTTAACAGATAACAGGAGCGAGGTACCTCATCCTCCCTTGCAATTGATAAAATTTCATCGACAATGGGATGCTCTGCCTCTCACCTTTCATTCTTTTGCCTTTTTTTAAAATAAAAACTTGCAGAGCGCGTTTTCCCTTTTTCACTTTGTTTTCCAAAACAAAAATGTACGTCAATTACATCACAGGGAAATGAAGAGATTAGATTTGCCTCACCTATATTGCTTTGAGGGTCAGTTTAAGTATCTTTTGTGAGGCTAGAAACAATATTATTCAATGGCTTTCACAGTCCTTTATGTGTTATGTATGTATGTATGTTAATCTGGAGAAGATGAAAACAAATTCTCAATAAAGTTCCATTGTTGGTGGCAAAAGAACCATTTTTCCTCATCTCACACCCCTTCAACTCTTTAAGTCCCACTAGTGATCTAGACAGAATTTCTCCTTACACTATCAATATGATATCAAGTAGACTAGTAATGAGAATAAAGGAAAATATCAATCAGGAGATTGTTGGTTGATCTAATTCCAAATTCTCCAAACTAACATCACATAAATTGTTTGGCAGACAGTAAGGAGAATTACTAATGAAATCTTGGGAGTTAAAGGGTTAAGCGCTGAATAGTCTGCAAGTGTTACTATTTTCTGATAGCCAAGCTTGAGTAGAAGGGAAAGCAGGAGAGGAGGATCTATGAAACAAAACAATCAGAGGTTTTTCCAAGAATAAGTTATTTTCAATCTATTAAAATTCCACTGAATAAATACGGTTGTTCAGATTGCCTCAAGATAAATTCTGCTACATCGAAATCGTCAATTTTGACTTCCATGCACTTTCCCTTCCCTAACACTATCGTCAGTTTCTAACGAGGCCTAAAACAACTCAGAACATCGAAACTTGTCTTATATAACTGAAGATTAGCTGCAAGCTCTACTGGAGGCTTTGGCACAGTAGCGAGGTCGCTAGATCGATACGTTCATCACCACGGTTCTCGCGTGTTCGCCACGCTGTAGACTACCAAGCAAAGCCTGCTTGCAGGCTAATTCAGAATTCAAGCTGACGAACAACTCTACCTTTTTCTTGAACTGAGGTCTACAGCCTCCACGCTCGGTGGCGATTTACAGCTGCTACAGTAGTTTTCCAATACTAAACCTTTGCCGCGGATCACAAAGGTGAAAGCTTAACGTTAGACTTTGAGCAGTGCATGCATCAGATGAAACCGATACAGTCAGCATGAGGCATTTTTTTAAAGCCGTTGAAACAGAATAACCGCTTGATATTAGCTGCTAGTGTTAAGCATGGCGCGGTTCTTTAAAAACACGATAAACTAATCTGGAAAGTTAAATTTTTGTTTCAGATTTTCTAAGGTAACGTGGTTTATCTTTTCCATCCGTTTTATCAGGTATTTGGATATAACTCGCAAACCGCTTTTGCACAACCATTTCGTTAACATGTCATCGCGTGACATTCGCGCCCGTCAAGTGGTTTTGATAGTGTACATAATAATTTTTCACGCGAGCAGTAGTTGTACTGTATGGACTTGTCTGTTTTGGATTCAGTTATTTTTGTTATTACATGTATTCGGAAAGCGGTTAAATTTTTCCATTACCTGTATAAACATCCACTACTAGAGCTATTTAAAGAACATGCATTATATTCCTTATTACGCTGTTTTTCTTGTTTTTATATAAATATTTATATGTATATTATCATAATAATAGATCCCTGAAGATCCAGTCGCTGTTTTTAAAATACATACCTCAAACACGTTACGCGGAGTTACAGTATCGCACAAAATGGTTAGGATAGAGCGGGAAATCGGGAGAGTTTTCCCTTTTCCACACGCTTCCAGGTGTTCGTTCGTAGGCCGGTTTTTTTCCTAATAAGACTTGTGTTCTCTCTCGTACCCGATTCTATGATCCAAAGTCCTATAGCGCGAAATCTTCGATCAGGTCGCTTATGTAATTCAAATGGTGGACTGGATTAGTTTAAAATTTAAATTGCACGCCTTTCAGACTATGAAACCATGCGGAAACATTGGACGATAAAGATCAAATAATGCTGCACAGCAAATTAAACACTGAACAATGTCTGTCTACTGACCTTCAAGTTCGCGGTGCACGTGGAAACTCTTTTGCTTTAAGGAAGGGTCAAATCAGATACAAGAACATTCTTAAACAGTTAACTTCTTGAGCATTAATAACCAAAAAATACAACGAAAACAACAGAGGCGTATTTTTTACTGACAATCATGTGTCTTCCATTTTCGGTTTAAAGTCATGTGAAAGCCACAACCAATGTCAATCAAACGCTTGCTTAGTAAAAAGTCTCAATGGCCGGAGTGATGGCTTTTACGGTTAACGGTTCATGTTTTGGCCATTTTACAGCTAACACTGGTTTCACTCCGTTACGATTGAAAGGAAATCTTCACAATAAACTTTTTTTTTACGACTGACGGTTACAATTTGTCCAATTTAGAGCCTAACAGCTGAAGTTTGTTGCCGTATTGCGGCTAACAGTTAACCTGACTGAGACCCTCTTATGAGGGAACGTCGTTATTTATCTCCCGTGGGGGGAGGATTTCAGTTGTGTACCGGTCTCTCACGAAAAAAATTGAACTGATTTCCCCCCCCCCCAGGTCTCGGTAATATTTTTAAATAATCCTCCCCCCTGATTGGCAGTTAATTGTTAGTCAATTTTCTACAGGTCCCCCGTTATATTCTGTTGGCGATGACTGCTCTACCCTCCAGTCCCCCTGAAAACCATGTGATTTCCCCCCAGGCAATCATGAAATGATGATAGACTATTTAATAACAGAGAGCTAGTACGATCTCGCACTCTCGCTAAGTATTTGCACAGAATTGTCCATAGTAGCGAACAGTGAACTTTTAGATCAAACTGTAAGGCAAAGCCTTTTCTCCTATACCTCATGTTACCATTTTGCCATGAGGTAGCGTACTCGTTATCTTGGTACTGGTGTTAGATTCTCTTGGGTCAATGTCAGTATCTGGCTAACTGCACTATCTGCGCACCCTCCCTCCCCTAATCCAACATTAACCCTTTTTTTTTTGTCATCAGTTAAATGCTATTGGGTTAGGGGAGGGGTAGGTACGCAGATTCTCTTCTGGATAAGGGTCAAGGAGACAGTGACATTTAGGAATTTCTTTAACTTAATTCTTGAACGGCAACAGTTGTGCCAACAAGTTGTTTCAACTCAGTTGATAATGTTAAATTACCCAGTTGTACCAACAGATCTCTTTGGACTAATCAAAGTATATTACATAGGTAGCGAGTGTCGTAACTAAATGAGTATTTCGTGCAGATTAGCGTTACACTGGTGTAGAACAATTTCCATCATAAGTTTTGACAACTCGTACTATAGTATATATGCTGTAAGTTAACCCTAGAATCAGTATGCTTATTCTTCATTCTGTTTCCTACAAATCTCCTGAGTTACTGTAGTGGGATCGACGTAATTAATAACCAAGAATTTTAAACACAATTGAAGACGACTTTTTTCGTCCTGGTTCCTTCTCACTCACAAGGCAATCTCCTGCTAAAGGTGTTTCCTACTAAGATACAGGTGAGTGTAGAGGAGGAAATGTTTGAAGTTCATTCTTTTGGCCATGCTAACTGGTAAGCCCCTAACCATTCCAGTAACACAGGCATGTTTCTTTGTTCCTATAAGTTTATTGTTATCAATTTTTCCACCTAACAAAATTTCCAGTCAAACTCAAGTGGAACCAATAAAGAACCATTAGACAACCATTTGACAAATTTGTACGATCTTGATATCATATTTATGCATGCATGCAAAAGGCAGTGCTAGGTTTGTCGATAAGATCCTAACCAAGCAAAGTCACCACCAAGAATGCGTTTTCCCCATTATCGTGATGTCATCAGCACTAGTTTTAAAGTTAAGACAGTGTGGATACATTGTTCACAGAAAGACAACTGCAATTACGGTTTGAAACTTACAACTGATTACATTAAAACAAGCGGGATCCATTTCAGATAGGACGTCAATGTGTCCAATTCTCACACTAGTTTTAGCTCTGTTCCAAACAGCTTTTCAAAGAGTTAGAGACGAAGTAAAATAATTTTCTTCATTTGTTCAAATGTTTCAAGAATGTCTCCCGACTATTTCTTTTTTTTCGTCCTTGGATTTAAACGTGGTTAGAAAATAAAAAGTCAATGTTTTGAGGAAGAGCTGACAGAATTTGAAGATTTATGCCCATTTAAAGCGCTGAATAATAGTAAATAAAATTCGTATCTTTCGACTTAATACACGTGACTTCAAACATATGAAAGAAACTCGCAGAAAAAAATAAAATGTTCTTTCCGAGCGATTGTTCATATCAAAATCAAAAAAGAAAAACAAAACTACACACTTCTCTTAAAAGTGTGTAACTCTGAGATAAAAATAAGTCGCCCACAAGGTAAAATTCTGTGGTCCATTTGAGGCTTTTTCGATTCACTCACTTGATCTCTTTCCTTTAAAATGTTGATTTAATTACCCTATATTGGCCGTAATCTATAGTGGGGACGAAGTAGGGCAGTTGTACTGACAAGCAAAGCAGGTGTCGTTGGCCAAATAACACTCGCCTTGATAAAAATGGAAGTACCACAAGAATGAGAGTAGAAAGCCAGACAAACGTAGATACAAACATAAGTGACGATTAAAAGCTGACGGTGAAAGTTTCAAACTCACATCGCGTCCCTCGAAATTTGCTATGCAGCAAAGTAAATGCGTTCATTACACAATATGCTCCTGTTCCCTTGACAATCTGTCACAACGTGACATAACAAAAGTCCAGTGAATAAGGCATTATCACTTGCGGATTCACGATCAGCTCCGAGTGTTACCATCCCTATCAAAATAGTAGCGGCGAACATACCTAACATTTCGAAGCAATCATTGTCATGGAAACCGTAGTTTTTGTACCCAGGCTTCTGAACGAGAGACCGTCAAATATGCAGCATCCTTGTTAATAAGTTTATGTAAGGTTCATTATGGCTCGATGAACTTTGCATATAGTAAATGTTCCCACTGAGTTGCCGTTAACTATTACCGTTTTTTAAAAAATATAATTTTCACGGTATTGTATCATCTCATCAAAACTATGAAGAAACACGGAATAATAATTAAGATCTGCATTCCTAACCTGGATTCATACGAATTGATACCTATCTATTGCTTCTTTGATCGATTACTGTCTTCTTGTTTCTCCTGTCCTACAAGCTATTTACAGTTACTCTGTTACACTTTTCTACCTCAACACATTGCCCCGAAAATTCTGGCCACTCGGGGTATACTGAATTTTTCCTAAAGTAATACTGAATTTCAAAGACAAGTTTCCGAAGTCAACTTTTGTCCTTAGAATTGCTAAAAATGTTTTCCACGACTGTAAAACTTGGTGGACACGGTTTCTGGTGAATTAAGACACCCCCAGGTTCGTGTTCATCTGAAATTCTCGCAAGAACGCGCAAATTGTTCATGTTATAGACGCCGGGAAGCGATACCAGGGCGTTGAATTTTAACATCGAAGTTCCGTTCGGGTCTAATTGAAATCTTCTCGATGTCTGTCCAACCCAAGTGAATGAGCTAGGAGATGACGTAGATTCTGTATCCTTGTCGAAGGAAACGGTATTGTTTGTGGAATTGCTCGATTCACCTTCTGACACTGATGAGGAGTTTCCGACACTGCGAGGAGAAAAATGAAACAGAATTTTTGTGGAGGGATGATGTAAACAGAGTCAGACGACAAAAAGAACATGCCTATCATATCGAAGCTTATGAACGTTGTAATATCATAAAGCGATAAGGAGTATCAGCAATTTTTCTGCCCACTTGTTAAACGGAAAAATCAGGAAAAACATAAGAGATTCAAATAATTCAATGTAAGTAAACCGAACTGAACAAACCTTGGGACCAGCTCCACAAACACGTCGACGGTTGTTGAACAACAGTTGTGTAACGACAGCTCCACCACAACACGCGCCAACCTGAAAAAATAAATAAAATAAAAAAGTTCCAGAGAATGAATCATTCTGCCCAATGATGCTACGTATCTATGTTTTACTTCTCTGTCTTGATAATTAACTCATTTTTCTCTTTTCTCCACTTTACTGTTGGCATGTTCCTATATGCTCGATGAAGTTAACCAATAACAAAAGTCTATGGAATGTGTTCAACATTTCACTTCCAAGATCTCATTAGTAATTCTCCTTTTCGACTCCCATACATATCTTGTGACGTTAGTTCGGAGAGTTTGATCTTAAATCTCATAATCTATATTTTTCTCTATTCTATATTGTAATTAGAAATTCTGTCTTGGTCACTCATAGGCTACAGAATACGATTCACGATTCTTGGCCGCGGAATCCGAATAAAGTCGGAAAACTATTCAAGGCTGGACAGGCGAGGATCGCATGAAACAGAACGTTTGTCACACGTGAACCTTGAAATGGCCTAACTCACCATAGAGTTCTCAGTAGCTCAGTGATCGAGCATCGGTGCACGGATTCCGATTTTTGTTGTTGTTGTTGTTTTTCTTTTGTTTCTTTAATCCATGACACAAAGGAAAATATAAAGCTCCTAACAAGGAATATTCCCTTACCTGCTAGAGGAAAAATCGACTTGGAGCGATGCAGGATGCCGCAAGGAATACTTGACAAGTAGTTCTGAGTTACTAACGCTATCCGTGTCACCTTGTGACGTCGTTTCAAGAGAAGAGGAATTGAACGGCGGTACCTGAGTGAGCACATGAAAATGTTAAAGACTACCAGGGATATAAAAAATAGAAAATTATGGCTACAACCCTTACATCGTGGATGGAAGATTGGACACGAACGAAGATAAAAAGGTGACTGGTATGAATATTAAAACGAGAAAATCATGGCAGTAATCGTAACTTTGTTGATGAAAGATCAGAGACGCAAAGGAGATAAAAAGGTGAGTAAAAAGGAAGAATAAAAGATAAAGGACAAAACAGAAGAGAATGGGTAGGAATACCAGCTTCCTTACCAGTGGTTTTGTGACAGCTGACACTGTTTCCGCCAATCTGTTGATATTTACGTGACTCTGTCCATTAACCATTTGCTTTTGAAAGTCCTTGTCTATATATGAAGTCTGAGAAATAATAATGAGAAAAAAAGCAAGGGTGAATTATGATCATCAAACGCTTTACTTTCATCCCAATCATCTCTAAAACGGCGCATGTGCCAGCTAAGCCAGATAGCAAGTAAACCTCTTCTCTAGCATCGAGATCGGACACAATACATAAAATAAGACGAACTGAGCCCTTCTTAAGCGATGATGCCGGCGCAATTCAGTTTGGCTGTTCCATATGTCGCGCTCTCTAAGTGTTAATTAGTTTTCAGAACCATTTGTACATCACCCGCGCCTGACTATGTATCGAAGGGCCTCGGTTCGACCCCTAACTGGGTATTTCATGTTGTGTCCTTGGGTGAAAAGTCTCTCCGCGCCTCTCTCGACCCGCGGATATAAAAAGGCATAGGGAAATAGTGAGAAAAAACTAGCAGTTGGGGGGGGGGGGTGTGTGATGTAGAAAGGCTGCTATACAACAGAATTCCTCACCAGTGGAGTAGCATTACGAGTAGCCCATTCATGCTACAAAAATTGCACCAGAAAGTTGATATTAACAAGCCTCACCTGCCAGAACACAATCAAACCAATATCCACTTGTGAAGTGTCGTCAACACTCGCAGAGTCAAGCTTCTTGGCGAATTGTTTCTGCTCTTTCCAGGCCTCTGATCTGAAGAAGAAGTCAACGGCTGGAGAACACGAGGCAGCGATCTGCAAATTGACGAACAATAATCGTTAATCATATAAACTATCGTGTGAAAGAAAAGATGTCAATGTGACCGACTAAATACACGACAAGGAAAGCAAGCTTAGACGAATAAACGACCCACTGATCCATGAGGTTTTCATGAGGATTTCAAACCTTGCCAAGAGGACTAAATGACTCACAACATATTGACCCTTGAACACCCAAGTTCTGATCAATAATTCCCATTTCGGCCGCAATACATTTTCTTTAATAATAGTCAAAGAAATTTTATTTCAAATCAAGAAAACACCCCGAGAAGTTTTCCTCGTCTCCGTTACCGGTTTGTTGGACAGTATATTAAAAGAACTTGCATGGAAGTCACTGCTAGGTGCTAGAAGGCAATAAAATTTACAGGCTAAGATAATAGAGGCAAATGTACATTATAGCTCATATCGCCGTTCTAGGAGGATCAGAAGTGAGCGTAAAGGTCAAGCCTAATGCGTTTTACATGGGTGTTTTGTTTTGCCTTTCATTTATCTTTTTCTTTCCTATGTTTTGTCGTTCGTTTCTGTCCTGTCTTTCAATACTTTGTTCAATCCATCGCTCCTACCTCATTTTCAACGAAGCAAACGTGGCTGAAATGGAGTTCATCTGAAGAATCAGAAGCACCTGAAGTGAACAAAACACAAAGACAAACAGACATTGAAATGTAACCATAACTGAAGCATATTATTTGATTAGTTAAAAAAACCGAGCGCGGAGAATTGTTGCCTGGCGAATGCAGGCTTTAAAAGGAAAGATGTCGCTCGTCTTGTTGAATGTGCGGGTCAAAGAAAGTTAGGCTACCACTATATACTATCTATATGAGCAATTTACTAACACAACGCTTTTGACAATTCCGATCCTCAGTAGCAGTATGCAGGACGTTTGTCACATGTAAACCTTGAAATGGCCTAATTCACCAGAGTTCTCTGTAGCTCAGTGGTCATGCATCGAGGCACGGATTCCGAAAGTCTGAGGACCGATTCTTGTCGGAAACGCAAATTTTTCCTTTGTTCGACGTTCATGACAACACGAAAAGACTTTTTTTTTTTGGTATTTCATGACTGAGCTCAAAATTTACCATCCATCTTAAATATTTACTAAGGCCGGTTCAGGCTGCCTAAAATATAATGAGCTGAAGGAAACTGGAACAAGTCTAAACGAGCGGCGTAAAATCAAACCCCAGGCAATTACAGAATAAAAGGAGCAGAAAACGCGAGGAACTAAGTTGCAATTGATTGTTAGAAAAGCTCTCCATCTGATTGGCCGACAGGATAGCGCGAGTAATATCACAGAATTGTTGTGACTGAGCAAGGGCTATGCATCTCGGTTTACTTTAAACATATACTGGAAATTGCACTAAAGCGAGCTATTTTCAAACAGAGCTTTTGAGGCGTGCAACTTCCGACAATAATTCTTGGTATTTACCGCTGTGCTTTGTTGCTTTGAACTGGACAATTACTGTTTCGGCATATCGTACTTCAATAGCACCATCTGATTAAAAAAAAAAATAACAAGACATTGCTAAGGTTACGTCGTGAAGATAACTTTCAATGACACTTGGGCAATGGCGGTCGACAGGACTGAACAGAGATAATTGAAAAAATCAAAACGAACAGCTTAACTGAAGCTGCATTTTCACAGGACAGTTCCCTTCATAAAAACACTTGTCAGCAACAAAGATGTTCGGTTCATGCAACAGCGAAGAAAAACTTGCGACAACACATTTTTCTTAGTTAGTTTACATAACTCGTCCGTTCTTTTCACAAGCACCTTTGTCAGGAGAAAAATTGCCAAGGAAAACCTGCTCGTAAAGAATTGAGATGCAACTCAAACAACTAAACATGTCAAGAATGGTTTGGTTACCTGCATTGTGGTGGCTGAGAGGCTGCAAAGTCCACTTCCTGCTTGCACAAGATACTTGAACGATGGAGAATACCGCGTGTTTTCTAGCTACTTCACCCTGTAAAGTTTACAAGCAACAAAGTGATAGTTATGTACGGCTACTACAAGGCTTGCTCCGCGGGAGAACCCTGCCTTGTCATTGGCTGCCCCCGTGAGAAATTGTTCGCTTTGCTCCCGTACTCGAAACAAAAACAAAAAAGGAATTACTCAATGCTAACTTCATTTTCATTTAAACCACACGAAAAAATACAGCGAAAATCGACTGCACGCCTGGCCCAAGACGTACTGATAACTTGAAAAGTCGTAGCCCACTGACCTGTACAAGACTTTCCACATCCAAAGCAATAACCAACTGATTCTGATCTTCAGAACTTAAAGAGACAAAAGTAAGCATACCTATTAAGTCTTTAATAAAATGCGTTATTTGTTTACCGCATCTCTGCACTGTAAAATCAGTAGATCTCATTAAAAAATTCACTTCTCAAACAAGCATCGTCAGTAACGTACCTTGGTTGAGAGACGGAGTGTCTGTTCCGCCTGGCCGTGGCGCGCACAGCAACAGAACTATTCGTGGTTACGTCAAAGGCATGTTGAAGCACTCGATAACTGCAAGACAAAGGTTCAAGTAAACGCTCATCACCAGACCCAACCACAAATTCACAGATGGAAGACAAAACCGCAATAACTATCTTTTCCTGAGTAATGTTACAAAATCGTGGAGTGCATTTCGATTGCGTCAGTGTCGCAATACCAAACCAATATCACGTGAATCAAAGCCGTCCAATCAGAACAAAGGAAAATATCATAAAAAACCAAAAGGAACCCTTAAATAAGCAAACTTTCTAAAGCGCGGGAAAAAGACGGTGACCAAGTCACCAATGGTTTTAGTTTGCAACTGAAGGTGGCACGAGGTGAGAAGGTGGAGTGAGTTTTCTAGACCGACCACAAGGTGAAGTAAAGAGAAGCCATTACAATCCCCGATTACTTTTGACACTCAATTGTAAACTGCACTGCTTAGCTACATTGCATTACCTCATTGCAGATTTGATGCCTGCAGACTGGTAGTAAAACAACATTTCTCGTTTGAATCTGCCAGGTTTGCCATGACCTTGAATCCAAACAGGTAGCTTGGTCGTATGACCAGGCGGTAGTCTACCTCCCGGAATGGGAACTTGGGAGACTCTTCTGACATCGCTCGCAGCTGAGCTGCATTTCACATTCACCGCCATATGTCCTGTGACTCCAAAGGTGAAGAACTCGGGGTTGGGTGTGGCAATGTAGAGGTTTTCAAGGTGACACTCACTACAGTTAGTGAACTCTGCCATGGTTTGGACCACTTCGTTACAAAGCAGTTTGTTAGCAAATCCAGAGAACCGAACCTGATGAAAAAAGTGTTATCTCGTAAAATTACTCCGAAAAAGTTTTGAATCGATTCTACTGCAAGTATAGCACGATTGTGAAAATGTCCGGACAGAATTTTGAAACTCGAGTGCCGCACGCTCTTGGTGATCATGATACAACATATACACAGCGGTTTCAGTAAAAGCCAGTTACTGGCGTTCTACTGTCGTCTGTTTAGGTTCCCACACCAATCACAACGCTCAGAAAACAAAAAGCAAATCCAAACCCAAATTAATCCCGATACAAAATTCAAGAATTGCTCTGCATATGGTGTAAGCGCGGATTATGTTTTTTACCTCAAGCAACGGCATAGGCGATACAACATCCAAGGTAAGACGATAGTCTGGACCATAGATGACACTCGTCTTTTCTGCCTTGGTGTTATTAAGTCGAGGACCTCTCTGATCAAAGTCTAACCTCCCCTGCATGCTAATGTCTGACAGAGCTGGGTTCAACCCCGGTGGGACGGAGATTTTCTCTTCAACTGGTCCATTGACGGCGGCACTAGTCAAGCTGTATTTAATTCCTGTGATATGTAGTCGCCCCGTCTGACACGGAATCACAGTAAGACGGGCCTGTAGGAACACAGCGCAATTTTTCAGTTACCATGGGCGGGTTATTTAAACGCCGAGATTTGACTTCAGTCGCCGGTGTAAAATATTAACAGTTCTTTAAATTTCTTCTTAAGTAAGTTAATAAATGTTGGCTTTCTTGACATTGTTCACAAAAAGAACTGTTTGGTTCAACGTTACTCAAAAAATTCACAATACCTCAAGTGATTATATGAGGATAGCTGGATTCATCCTTCTTTATTTTACTTACAGCTTTTGTTTCATTTCCACTGATATCAAAATTCTTGATTATTTCCGTTTTGACCACATCTTCCAATGGTGAAAACTACAACAGAATATTAACGCACGTATAAATTTGTTAGGCAGTTAAACGTTTACGGCAATTTTCCTCTCATCAGCAATTTGGGAAAATTTAAAAAAAAAAAACCTTCTGTTCAAGGTAAATCCAGGTTTTTTCTCTTTGAAGTGCAAACAACTTAAGGCAGACGGGAAGAGGTTAAATTTTTTCCGTTTGCCGATATACGTAAATGTACCACCTGTTCTACTCTAGTATTGAAATAATTGGAAAGTTTCCTCTTTGTGATTTACTATCGCTAACCTCATTTGAGACGCTATCTTCTAGACCTTCAGGGGTGAATTCCCATAATAACAAAAGATTTGTCAGGTTTAATGGAATCTTGAGGGGATTTTTAAGAACAACTTCTACTCCAACAGTCTCTGAAATGGCAAAATAATAACAGCACAGTTGAAAGCTAAATATCTGCACACTGCACCAAATTCAAGACTTAAGTAATTAGAAGGATATGGCTGACATTTCGCCAAAAGATAGAAGAAAAAGTGAAACTCTGTAAAACCTAGGGTATGCGGCCAGGTTGCTAGGTAATATTGAAAATGGCGGCGTACGAAGTGGAATTTTTAGTACATTCGAAAACAGTTTTAAAAGTCAAGTTACTCTCTGGAATCTTAAAACTCCCATGATGTCATCATTATTCATAGTTTGCAATGGTGGAGGTAAAAACATTACGGTTTCAGCAAAAACCTCCCTTACTGTATCAGATCTAGGATGCAAAAACTTTTACATACCGTTAACAACACCAAGAGGCCTCGCTCTGTTATCAGTCTTTGAGCTTAAACACGGCGTTTGGCATCGAAACGAAGGAGGAAAAGTGGTCATATTGATACTCTCATACGCTTCTTGCTGTAGTTTAATCCACCTCTGAGCCAATGTATGATTAAATTTATCATCAAAAGAAGTTTGTCCAACAGAAGTCCAGTTGCTATTTTTGATTAACTCATCATTAGCACTGAATTTTTGATTAAAAAAATTGTCCTTTGTTTCGAATGTACTGTTCACAGGTGTCCTTTCAGGTTGTTTTCCTTGAAGACTGTTGTGTCGATAACATGGTATAACCTTCGTTGAATCGTGGACAATTAAGGGTAAAGGTAAAACAGGAAGCTTATTCACTTGTGCCTTCTCTTTTACTTTGATATCCTTTAGTTGCTGAAAGAAAGGCCAGGAAAAAGAATGACATCAAAAACTTAACATATTGGCATACATTTAAGACAACGAAAACTACTTGTCCCATGTAACCAACGGACGTACATAGAATAAAGGGGGTAAGTTTCTCAGCCCTTGACACCCTAAGGTCAGTATGCATATTCTCCATACTGTTGTCAGTACATTTTGTAGGGTGCTGACAAGGAGAATTTGTCTAACAATCAAGAGATTCCTAAGTTGTGGATCATTTCTTTTATTCTCGTAACCTTTATGAGTGATTCAAGGGTGATATTGTAAGGAGAAATTAGATGATAGTCACTCTATTTAAAGGGTTAAGAAACAGTGGCGCTGCGATAGTGGGAGGGGTGGAAGGGGGAGAAGAGGCATTACAAGATAATTTGATTTTATTAATGGGTTTGATAAAGCAAATTGCCTTCTGCAAAGAGTTTCTAAGCTAGAAACCTATTTAGAAACTCTTTTTGGTGGCCAATTCATTTTCTCAACTTAGTTGATAAAGCCAAATTATCTTGTAATGCATAGAACTCAATGGAAAGGTGTAATCCTTGCAGGCCGCAGCAGGCTCTCATTGAGTTCTTAACACGGGCTCTCAAAATTAGTGGGTGGCCGTGAAGCGGTTGATTTGTTCCATACAAAATGCATGTACCTTAAAAACAAAGAGGAATTCTCTGAGGTAGGACGCCTGTTGTTCTGGTGCTTGAGAGCTTTCGTACTCCAACAGTTGTCTAAAAAATGATTGAGCATCCTCCAACAAACGAAGATTAAATGACTGGCGACCGATAGTGAAGTTGATGTGGTCCTGCAAAAGGAAGTTCGCAACTTTTAGTTCAGTGATCAAATTCACGTAGAGGTAGTAACTTTTTTCACAACGTAAACGAATTATCCCTTGCTTGTCTTCTTGCAATTCCTGACAAATCGTCATAAACTTTTAGAGCACTTTTCGTTAGTGTTTTTAAACCAAAGCAAGGTAGTCAGAATGGCCACCAGATAAAAGGAAATCTTTATCTGCAGCCAATAGCAACTCTAAGTAAAATCCAGCAAACAGCTTCAAGTGCGGGAAAACGCGAGAGACTGGGTCGCGATTGGTGTCTTATTTTAAATCTGATTGGTTGGGAAAGTGGCGCGAGTTTTCAGGACTAATCAGAGAGCAAAGCAAAGGAAAGCAAAACCAATGCAATCCTGGGTTACTTCCAACACTCAATTGAAAACGGCACTGATTTAACCCTTTAACTCCATGACCAAATTTGTAATTCTCCTTACTGTCAACCATACAATTCTTATGAGGTTAGTGCAGAGAATTTAGTATTGGATCAACTAGTTATCCCCAAAATCGATAGTTTTTTTTTATTCTCATCACTTTTCTGCTTGATTTTGTATTGTATTGTATTGATATTGTAAGGAGAAATTCTCTCTTAGTCACTCTAGGGAGTTAAAGGGTTAAAAAATAAAGAAGTTTCTCCTAAAATACATTGTGTATAGGTAATTTATCTTGACTGGACATAGTAATTTCCAACCTCTGCAAGGTGCCATGACTTTTCATTGTATACGTAAAGAGCTTGCCGATAACATCTCAAGGAATGCTTTCTCTGAAAAGGCAAAGGAAACAAAAATATTAAAAAAAACATATATATCAGTCCAGTTATTTAAATCAGCAACTCCGAAATGCTTGAAAAAAATCCAGATCGGTAATGAGAAAAATATCACAAGGTTAAGTCTGTATCGAGTCAGGTGGCCCATTCATCTTGAACTCATTCCGGTTTCCTTAGCACGAAGCGACAGGGAGTATGAATATATTTCTCCACCGAGCCGTACCTGCGCAGATTTGCTGTAACGATGACCAGCCAAGATCATGTTAAAAGCATACTTGCGAATCATGGGTGGATTGCTGTGAAGAAAACAATGCGCTGCTTGCTCCAAAAACAAAGCACACAGAAGATCAGAATCCTGTAAAGGAAACAAAAATAAGGAAAACGTTGCACGGGACACAGAGAGGGATCAGAGTAAAAACCTTTCAATTCCTTGAGAAACCTAAAAGTCGTTTCACCTTTTTATGCAACAAAACCAAAGCTGGTTAACCCTTTAACTTCCAAGGTCTGATTGTCCATTCTCCCCTCTAGCTGCTACACATTTCATTGTAAAACAGTTTTGAGAATTTGGTGTTAGATCAAGATAACAACTTCTACTTGATAAGTTTGAGTATTCTCATCACTTGTCTGCTGGGTAAAATATGTAAGATGTAGAGAGAAGTTACTTATTAATCACGTGTAGGACTAAGAGGGTGAGGAGCATCACATCTGATAAACCAAGGTCATTAACTACATATTCAGTCTCTAGCCGTAACTAATGCTTTTGTCTGACAATTCAATATACCTGCAACAAAGCGTTTCTATAAGAAATTTTTTTTACCTCAGCAGTCATTCGCATGAACTGCATGGCGGCGTCAAGGTAAATATTTCGTGCCTTGAGAGTTTCAGCACTGAGGAGGGTGGCTCTAATAGCAAACTGGTGCTGTCTATAGAATGACAAATTAATTTAATTAAATAATAGGATTAAACAAATTTTTTTTTTGTGATCTGCTACTTCACAGGTGGGGGGAAACAGAATGTGGAAAATGCTTCTTTTATATACACAATACAATTCACATAGACTAAAAAGTTCTTTATTCATCTCTCTTCTGTCAGATCTCACATGAGAACTAATAATGAACTCACATGTTAGAATTAACGCAATATACAATAAGATACGTTTACTCTTTCTCTGAGAAGTAAAATTTGTTCAGTTTCAAACCTTTCAACAGAACTTACAAACAAAGACTTTGCTCCAGTCCCTCAAAGAGTGAATAACATTATTCCCTGACTTAAATAGTTAAATAATAGAGGAGCATTGACAGAGCAATCTTTGTCATTCACTGTGTAGCCATTTGAGCCCTAGATAGAGTTTCCCACTAATCAATCTACAGGAGGTTTTCATTTATCCTATCTGATCAAGGAACTATATCAGTTTAGAAAAGCAAAATATGTACCTGCATGCATTGAGATAGGTGGTGATTGATGTTTCCATGTAGTGTGTTGGAAAAGGACGATTATTTGATGCCATAAAAGCTGAGATGGCTGCCATTTCCTAAACAGAATTATTACAAAATGTCTATAGCATTACATTGTACAGGCCCTGCTGCAAAACTGTACATTTTATTATCAGAGTAAAAAATTCATTATTAGCTGCAGAGAGAGGTCTTCAAGGATTGTCATTTGTTAAGAGAGTATAAAGATACCAGCATGCAAGCCTGTCACAGATGTTCAGTTAATAAAACAACGCAATAGCAGCAGAAAAAGCGGGAGGTTTGCGTGACTTGATCAAGTCACATGGTTGGACCCAAACCTCCACCATTTTTTTAACCCCTCTGTTACTTTCAAACTGTTTAATATTGCACTTGGTTTTATCAACTGAATGCCTGGAAAAGGCTGCTAGCACACAAAGCACTAACCAATGCTCCAGCAAAATAAAACCAAGCATGTTCATTGTTGAAGTCCCTCTTGGCTGTATGGTAACTGTTGTATGCAAGCTCATAGTTTTGGACCAAAAATGCCAAATCACCCAGCTTACGTTGGAATAGCTCGGGGGAATCATTACTGTATCTGAAAGATGAAATGGAAATGCACAGCAGAACTTGTAAGAACACGATGGCAATCAAAATGGACTTCATATGGCTCTGAGGTGAAAATGGATTGAAATGACATACGGGGAAGAAGTGTGTAAATGTCACTGACTGTGAATTCACACACAAAAACAATATAATTCAATGTTCTTTTTTTAGAGCATATAACATCACAGAAATAAATCCAATGACCCTGTGACCCTCCAGCTACCATGTACCACAAATCTCCTAAAAAAATAGCACGAAAAGTTGAAGAACTTAACAGTCATCATCATACACCTACAGCTGTAAGAAGTTTTGGCTGAGGATTTATTGAGTTCTGTTCAAAGCAGATCAGGGTTTCACTGGACAAGAATTGACTGCATGTTACACATGCATACATGTATAAATACAAATGCTTACATGATTCCTGGAACCAAACCAGATGCCATTCCAGCTGGTTTTCCTCCACCAAACCACTTCTTTGTTGCACTGAAGAATGAGCGATGGAGACCTTTACGCGAGACAATCTGATCAGATGAAACAAAAAGTTTAAATTATAAGAAAATTCCCATAGAGATACTGTTCCCTTGAAAATAAGAGAGGGACAAAAAATGAAAAGAGTTGTTTTTCATGTGTTTCCTATCCGTTAAGGTACTATGGGTGTGTAACATAATATATAAATATAAAATGAAAAAATACTAATGACTAAAGTACCCAGTGTTCTCCTTTTCAGGCAGTAACAAGTAACATTTACCACCTGTAGTAACTCTTATTACCATTTAAAATTGCTTGGAATTCTTGAAAATTCAACAGGTAAAAGGATTGCTTTACCACTTTGAAAATTTATTTTACCTGCCATGCATAAAATAAGGGAGAATACTGAGTACCTAGGCTTGATGAGATTAAGAATGGTGCACCAGACAAAAACAAACAAAATTTCCTCATAGCCCCTTAAAAAATCTGATTGAAATTTTGTTTCCTTTGATATCAACAAGAATTTGTTTAATATTAAACAGCTTCTTTACTTGATGGTCATTTCTTGTATTCTCATAGTCTTTGTTCTTGATTCAGTAGTAACTGTGTAAAAAGAGATTAGATGCTAGCTGCTCCTAAGGGTTGAAGGGTAAGAGAGATGCATGGAGACAAGAGCTCAGTGGTAGAGAATTTACACTATAAAAATATTGTCTTTGATTAGCTAATAATAAAATGTTACCTGATCATTAAGATATCTCATAAGTTTCTCAATATACTGGAGGAGTCCTCTATAACCCAACTCATGAATGAATATCTTGATCCTGTCATGATCACTCAGACTCAAGCACAATCCATGATTTCTTTGAGCTGTTGGGCCTCTTGTTCCACCAGAGAACTGCCGACTGGAAAAGTAACGGTAATGACTGGCAAGATGATGATGGTGTTTCTCACTATGTTTGCCAGGAAGATGTTTTGATAGTTTTTCATTCTCCAAGTCATCCTCAATCTCAGCACTGTCATCAAATCTCAAAGGATCAATCAGAATTGGTCCTGAGCTCCTGCGTACCCGTCCTCCATCAGTCTGCTCATGAATTGCTGCCTCGGGATCAAAGTTTTCATCAACAGCACAATTCTCAGGGTCATCTTCTACAGACTGTGCATTGGCATCCACTTCATCATCATCCCAGTCCTAGGGGAAATTACCATTCAGTTAGCATGTAAGATCAATGAATTGTGATGGTATGATGCAACAAATGTGGTATTGGAATTGCATTGTACAAAAGCATAAAATCATAGTGGGTGAATGGAAAATATCTCTAAAAGACTTCACAGCATAAAAAAAACTCCAGTAGAGTCAGAGGCTTGACCTAAACTATTACAGCAACAATGTGCCTATGGCATGTTTCATCATGCTTCATTGCCCAGCATCATGTAATAATTCTATATTCTTGGACATGTGTTTTAGTTTCCTTTAGTATGTCAACCAAGTGGTGCATTTTGAGTCCGGAAAGGAGTAAGATTAGTATTTGACTTTTTTTCCCCTTTTTAGTAATTTATTGTTTTAAATGTTTCTAGTTTGGACTGATAAATGAGAATACTTGTTCAAGCTTCATGGGTCTGTCCTCCTCTGTTTTACACCCAAATTTCCCACCTGCAATAGTATACTGTATAAACAAACATGTCAGCCAGACAGTGTAAGTGAGGAACAGAACATCAAAAGGCTCACCAATGTGTCCTCACTAGTTGGAATTATGAATTGACTCCATGGATCAGGAAGATTTGGAAGAGGATTGGAACCACTATTACTGACAGAGTTGATCTGTAGCATATGGCAGGCATTTGTACCATAGACAGACTTCATACTCTGGTAAATTGATTCTGCCCTGTGAAACATCAAAAGACAATGCAAGATTAGTAATTACCTGAAACTGTCCTCTTTGGAAACAATCAGTAGGTTCCTTAAGGCTCTTGTCTTAAAAATATGGAGTGCTCAGCTTTGAAAAGCTTTCATAAAAGCAAATTTGCACAACATTTGATATGTTTAACCCTTTCAAACCCAGAGGTGAATGCATATGAAGTATAACATTTTTCTTAAAATTTCACCCTTGAGCACCCACAATATATTGTCTTAAAAACAGTTTATAAGAAATACAAGTTTATCAACAACAAGGCTTTATCCTGACAAAACAGCAGAATCTCCTGTCTGATTTACAAGCTGGAAATTCATGGTAGTCAGTGGAGAGAATTACACTGTACTTATTGGATATTGGGAGTTAAATGGTTAAGGCACTTTCAAACACACACAGGTAATGTGAATAAAGAAATCATCAACTATGGGATTTTATTTAGATAATATATCACCGAATGATCAGAACTAGCCAGTAAGTAACTTCTTCCTACAGAATCACAATAAAGTGCTTCTGGATTCAGTGTCATATAACCAAAACTAAAGTAATTATTGCCAATTACATCACAAGCATTGGATGAGACTTCAAAGCATAAGCAGGCAAACTGACTTGGCAAGGGAAAATGGAAGCAAGGAAGTGGTTATTGTTTTCAGTTTTGAATTTAATTTCAGTTGAGGAAATGACAAACGTTTACTTGACCAATCTCATTGTGAAGAAAAGCTAAATCAAGGCAATCCTGGAAACTGAAATTGGCCTTATCCAACAAAATGGTGATTAGCGTAGACCAACTTTTCAGTGGTGTATATTGATACAACAACAAATTCCCTCAACAATTTAGAAAAAAGTGCATTGCTATAGAAAAGAGGATCACAAATAAGATACATGTATCTTAACAAAATAATACAAATTCAAAAACAAAATGAACAACCAGAATAAGAAGTTCTTACTTTGACTCTTCACCAACACTAACATCATGTAACAAAAGATGGTATTTAAACACCGTGTTGGTGAACCACTTGAAATGGCCATGTTGGTCAGATTGTTGTTCTATTTGCTGTGAGCTCATGGTTGCAAAAGCATTCATAGGATCAGGATGATGAGAAGAAACAACTATCAGGCCTTTGGTAGCATAACCAATCAAGGAAATTAATTTCAATTGCAAAAGGATATGATTATGTACAAAAAAACACTACACTACACTACTAAGTGTACACTACAACAGGTTACTAGATTGAAATTCACATAAAAAAAGAATTAATTAATTCCACATATTTATAATATATGTATTTTTTGGGCAGCAATTTCAGCAAAAGAGTTTTAATCTCTATCCTCAATTAAGGTAAAAAAAGAAGTAGACTATTACTATCACAGATATGACTGTTATAAAAGGCTGGGAGTATATAGCAGCTTATACACTGCAGCCATTTATACAGATGTAATGACCAGATATCTCAGAAAAGACCATGCACTGTAATCAGATAATCACAAAAAATACTTGTATACATTGTGCATTTATTAATGACAAAAATCCAACTACATAATCAACACATTAGCCAATACCACAGATATAACAAAAACATTTCCTTGAAAAGATACAAGCCAGAAAGTGTCTGATAAACTCATGATCAGACGGTTTCACCAACTGAAAAAAACAGTCTCGGAAAGCTTCAAACCAAGGTGCAGAACCTAACAGGGAATTATAACAAATACATCACCTACTTCATCAAAAGCTAAAATTTTTGAATATCCAAAGGCCCCAGGAAAGATTTAATCAGTAGTTTAATCAGGAGTGCAGTCTTCATATACTATCAAATGTACATGTACGAATAACGAGAATTGAGCTTGACATCACACTGGGGGATATTGTTTTGGGCCCAGTTGTTTGAAGACTGACTGGTGCCAACCCAGGCTTAAATCAAGTCCACGTTTCTTTATTCCTATGTTCTAAAGCCTTTTTTGGGATAATTTTCTCTACTCTTTTAAGAACATTCAATCATTAAATTGTGAACAAAAAGAGTTATATTGAATTTTCTTTCAAAGCTTTCAGATCTAAAATCAGATTTCACACTAATCCTGGGTTATCTTGACCCAGCTTTGAACAACCCAGCTGTGGGACATGACCAAATTCTTTTGAATATACTGCTAAGTAGTGAATGATTATCCCTTGTTGAAAATTTCAGACCAAAGGAGTGAAATTTGATAAATTATTGCAAAACAATGACACTAAACTCACCTTTTGCCTGAGCATCAGGAGTCAGGGAGCTAGGATCATTGTTTAATGGCTGTGTCCGTGATACAACTTCACTCAACAATTTGTTCACAACATGCTGAGGTGGGTGAGTGGCAGACATTTCAACTAGTCGGATATGCCAGTTTTTCACTGGATGGATCACACCAGAAGGATCTCTCATATGAGCTAAATGTAAAAAACATCAGGTAATACATGATTATCACTAATCTGTGATTAAATTAATTTGTTCACCTTTGGGAATCAACATACCACTAATCCACTATTAAAATATTTAATAATCAATTAATACTAATATCTGGCATACGTGTCCTAGATTAAACGAAAAACATTACATGTGTAATGCCCATATACAAATGCCTGAGAGGACCTGTAAAAAGCTGTAAAGCCTTCCACAAGGTCCCACAAGATGCCAATGCAAGAAGAAAGCAAAACAAAAAAAAAGAGAAAGAGCAGCAGCCATTTGTCAACCGTTTCAAGCCCAAAGGTGATTGACTTGTAACTTCTCCTTACAATTCAAATGTTACATAACATACAGGTAAGGAGAATAGAAAAGCTTATCAGCAAAAGAGTGGTATGTTGTTATGGAGCCAAATTCCCCTGTGTAATTTACAAGGGACTGTCTAGCAGTCAGAAGGGAGAAATACTATTTGGGTCTTGGGACTTAAAGGCTTAAAATACTAATAAACTGAGTGGGGTCAGGCCAGAGGAGAAGATATTTGGCTCTTGCCAATAATGTACTGGAAAATCTCTATTTTGAATGTACATGGCACTCATGACAGCCTGTGCAGCAAAGATGAAAAACATAGAGGACAACATCACTGCATTTAGTTCAAATGTAATCACACTGAGCCAACTCTTTTGGATAACTGCCTCTCTTGCCATGTTTTCATTTGACTAGGGGTCATAAATTTTCCCAAATTTTTATCTTGCACAATTTTTTTCTGAAGGAAATTGTTTTTGCGGTAAAGTTTCCGCACAGCCCCATACTATTGTATAACAAATCTGTTTTCCCAATGGCAATGTATTGTTTTGGTCATTGTTTTCTCTATTCAAGAACTGAATACATAATGTGGTACGGGGCTGTGCGGAAATTTTGCCCAAAAAAAAAAGCCGAGATTCTTATCGGTTTTACTTGTTGTGCAGTTTTGTTTTAATTGACAGATCAAACAGATGTTTAGTTCGTATTTAGTTGTACGTTTAACAAGCGATTTAATTACTCCATCAAATCACTCTCTAACTGTCAAAAAATTGTTGGTTAATCATTAAAATAAGAATATTTTTCTTGTTTCTGATCAATAGAACTTTTACAGTGTAACTCTCCATATTTAAATTGCTTCCGTCTACGCTACGTAAATGTACACCCGCCTACCACAATCCTGTATAATCTAAACTGAAAAATTTGTAATAAAATCAATCTCATACATTTGTAATAGTTAAGTCGAACGGTAATCTGTTAAGGTAGAGCATATAATTATCCTTATTTTATTACCTTCACTTGTAAGATGGCAGAATGGACGGACCATTTCCACAAAACTCAAGTTGTTCTTCTGAGAGACTTTCTCGGCATCTTCACTGCACATAACGGCAACCATAGGGCAAAAAGCGCTTTGTATAAACTCAAAAGCGCTCTGCGTGCACTGTGCCATCGCCAGGAGAAGAATACTGAGCTTAAAAAATAAGTTCTTCTCCTAAAATCTGGAATTTACGGCATTTTGAAGGAGTCTTCGAAAGGTTGAAACCATCAAGATGACCCGTCTTCCGTCCGCCATGTTGATATTCAATACCACCATTGCGCACGTGCAAATTATCAAGCCCATACTGCATTGCAGGGCTGGTGGAGCTGATGATGGAGAACGTCAGGCGGAAATAATTAAAACAGTAATCTAACTTGTACTCAACTGAAATATAGTAGTCTGCAATCAGGCTATTTAGCCAACATGGCCACTCTATTACCCCAAGATTGATGATTTCTTGCCAATGCTGACACCGTATATGACGCATATACTAACGAACGAGGCATCTGTGTTTTGGACTATTTAGCACTTTCCTGTGAATTTTTTGGGCGTTTTAGATGTTTTTTCTCCCGCAACTAATTAGACGCGAGTACAGAAGTAACCATTTTTTTTTCCGGAAAGCTTGATTCATGAGCTATTTTGAATCTTCAGCCGAGGAGACCCTAAAATGATCTTGGAAAACACACTTACTTTCTGATTGAAACCGCGTGTTGTGATCGTACGTTTGCATCATGAAAAAAGTAGATAGAACGTTTCAAAAATTTTCGGCTACAATCACGGTCTTATGGCAGAAAGGTGGGGAAGGGGTGGACAAAGGCGTATAATTTTTCTCCTTCCATGACCTACTCTCCTGTCCCCCGCCTTGCATCAAACAACGCTGCTGTGTGCTGATTAAAGGTAAATAAATTTTTGCATCTTTGAATTTCTCTTCCGCCTACAGCCTTTTCGCAGCCCTGTATTCTCGATTTCCAAGATTTCTGTCCTTATAACCCCTTCCTCAAGATACTGGTATACCTTGCGGTGCGTTGTTTCTCCGTATATGTGTTGCCATACCCGCCTGTCGAACAACTTGGAATGTTTGACTCATGCACTTAAATCAAGGACTAAAGTGTTTGCACAAAAAAATTTTAAAAAAATGCTCCTGGCATTTTAATTTTCTCTTATTTCCGAGCTGAGCATCGAAAGCATAATTATCCGATTATTTGACACTTTGCCAACATTGTGTTGGGTAGGTTATCTGACACATTGTTCATTTGTTTACACTGAAACATCTAATTTCGTATTATGCAAATATTTGCTAGTCACACTTTATCACGATGATTCTTATAAAACTCTGCTGTCAACCTAGATTGTGGGCAATAGTACTAAATTACTTTGTTTGCAGAACGATAAAAAGGCAAAAAATCTTGATAACAGCTGCCTACATTGATATTCTCTGGCTAAAACTTAAATGATGCACTACATATTTCGACGGCCAAAACATTGACCATAGGCGATTGGTAGGTCGTCAAATGTAAATGAAAGGTTCCCATCACAACTTAACAACGAGCCGAGAAAATTATCAATTGATACAAGTAGCTTACAAGTACGGTAGTTTCATCAACAAAGAACACTAAGTCCTCTTTTAAAAAAATTATGCTGAAAATTTTAAAACGGGAAACAATGACACAATTATTTTAGTTGTGCTACATTAATTTTTCAGCACCATTGACAGTAAGATGTGAAATATTTATAACTGTAAATAAATCTGCCAAAGAACTATCACTGTTTTTAGGCAGCAATCATGTCAGACACTGGATGTTCAAGATTTTAATGAAACTAAAATTTCATTTGCTTCGCGGATAGCAGTTTTAGCCTGACCGAGAAATTGGAAGCGTCGGTTGGCATTCGCGGTACGGTATTGCAACTCTACTCTACTTAAAATGTAGCTCTAAATTCATCCTTTGAACAACAACATCAGGTGATCTGCCAAAAAGATTAGCGATGATTTGCATACTGACAGATCTTTTTAGGGCGGAAATAAAAATATGAAGAGTGAAGTAGGCGATCCGCTAAGAAATGTCGATTGTGTATCGCCCATAACCCAATAAGAATTCAAATCAATTTTGTCTAAAAACTGAGGCTCATCGAATTTTCTTCCAAGAACTTCCCAAGAGTGTACACCTTAGTCTTAAGTATGCTACCTTTTATTCTGACTGGGGTGTTTTGTAGTCGCGTATGTGGTTAAATAATTCATGTTATATCTTGGCCAATTTATGCAACAGACAGAAAAGTTTCTTTCTACTTGAGTGACAGTTCTTGAAAACAAAGAATGCACACAAACGTCTTCAGCCTTTGCTCAAAATCTTTTCTGTCGCATCGACAGACGCAATATTGTTACTTATGATTATCTGCTGATTTACATTTGGAACATGTATACCTGTTATTTTGGCTATGCGAACTGGCATCTACAACAGTCTTATTAATTAAACTTGACAAGATCTCTCGGGATTAATAAGGATTTTTCGCTATCATTTATTTGTGTTTCCAAAGATTGGTTCCAAATGACAGATGTGCGCGTTACACAGGTGAAATTTATGCATATTCCTAACACTTTTCGTTGGCAGGAAACCTTTTGTTCGCACGCATAATTTGTTATAAAATACCCAGCTAGGCCGAGATTATTTATTCGAGGCTGTCTTTTACTGCGGAGTGCATCAAAGTCGAAGCAAAGAATATCCGATCAATTTCCTACCCATCTCCTTTCATCAAGAACAGGTTTACACTCTCCTGTCAAAATGGTAAGTCGCCTTAAAGGAAAGAAATTGTATAGATAGATGTCATTTTTTAAATGTACGCTATTTATGCTTCTTATAAATCTACTAACTCCGGATCCAGGCTAAGTTCACCATCGGCGGCCTCGATGATGTTCCACTCACTTACGTTCAAGTTTAAAATATAGTACCGCTGCGTCTTCGCTTGTTTGCGCGCTTCATACAGCAGTCGCTGATTACATGAAACAAAAAGACAAGGATAAGAAAACGAAGATTCGCAGTATGTCATCGTGAAATTGAAAACACTCAATAATATAACTTCATCTGTGGCTATTAGGCATCGCTGATGCTCGCTCGAGTGGGAGTGTCTGTTTCAAATCGTCTAGTTGTGGGAAAACCACCAACAAACATCCAAAAAATATTTCAAGTTCAAAATCGTGATCGCGACTACAGCGCGCTGAATTAAATCGTAGTTATACCTATTAAATGTCTTGGAAACTGGCAAATTTTGCATTAGGGAGCGGTGTAAGATATGTTACTTCTTAAATTTTTAGATCACGCCCACTTCGTTTACCTTGTATGATTTTATCGGTGGATTGAGTCTATACAACGAAAAAACAAACCCGTCTTGACATATGAATGAAAGAGACCGTCCATAATACCTGTATCCTTTTCCATAATTCATTGCTAAAAACAGAAAGCGTTAGAGATGGCGGCCATGTATTTATCGCCAAAATTGTCCGAAAATTGTATTACACAATTGGCTTTACATCTTCAGTTGGTATTGAAGCATGACGAATTAGGCTAGAAACCCATAAAACATAATTTTCAGAGTAAATTAACCCCAGAATAATCTAGCGTTTTAACTTAAAAGAGGCTTAATTTTTTTAATTTCAAATTTTTAAAATACTGGCGGACGCGGAAGTCCATTTCCGGTGATTCGCGCTGTTTTGGGCTCCACAGCATTTTCATCGATCCGAGATGAAAAGGAATTAAAAAAAACATGGAAAACATATTTCGCTATACCCTTGGTTAATAATTAAAGTTGGTGACCATATTGTATTTCCCGCAGGCCCGGTGAAACAAATTAAATCTTCTTCATTATCACTCGTTTTTCAGCGCCTTGCCTTTTTTTAAGTAAATCATTAAAAATATTCAAAACCAATACACAGAAAACGATTTTCAGACTTCAAGTTAAAATATCGTTCTTAGGGCATAAAAAAAGTTTCCAAGATCATAACAAAACACTTTTCACGCGAGAAAACCTGGCGAAACATTTTCTAAAATATATTTTCATCTCTTAATGACAAAGTATTAGAATTCAAATGCGACAAAAAGGCCTAGGTGGTCTTGAAAGGACGCGGGTTGAGTCATCAAACTAAACAAATACATATTTTGATACCTTAATTCAGCTTTATTCAGGCTCACAGCGGAGACGGAACAAAATACAAATGGCTTTCTCGAACGAAACGCGAAGAATTCATTTAACGATGCAATATCAAGGCACTGGTGGAGTCATTTCCATCAAACAGATCAATTACCAGCTGCTGTGTCTAAATTGTTCCAGAATGAAGTAGCTAAAGTTGTTGAAAACCTTTTAATATTGTAGTACCCCCAATAGCAGGTGGTCGGATTCTCTATAATTAATAGCCGCTTTAGTGAGAGAGATTCTCTGAAAAAACATGTGAAAGTGAAAAACTGAAATCTGCTTCTTTTAAATGACAGGCTCAACGATTGACTCAAGCCCAGCGTGAAGGTAAGAGTTGCAGAAATGTAATAATAAGGAAAAGAGAGATTTAGAATCACTCACAATTTAGAATTTAGAGCCCGCGGTTAGTCAGTGGAGAAGCCTGAGAGATGCTCTACCCGGCATTCTTTTGGCTTAAGGGCTTATCTATGGTGACCCTAACGCCTACACCACTATTATATTTATTCCCGAAAAATATTTGTAAACTGTAACAACAAAGGTGCGGTTAAAAGCTTTAAGTAGGCCCAAACCTCAACTCAACCCAGGATTAGTGTTTTTATGTCCTTCCTATTAGTCTACAATACACTCTTTTCCACAACCTATATCTCCTAGCTAATTTCGTGATATTCATTAACCTTTCTTTCTTTAAAGAAATAGAGGCAGCCTTCAAGCTGTTCGACAAAAACAATGACGGGCATATCTCGGTGGAGGAGTTAGGTGAAGCCATGAAGCAAGCTGGACAGGAGATGTCAGTCGAGGAAATTAAAGACATGATCAAAGCAGTGGATCGCAATGGTACAAAAATCATTCTCTTCCTAGTTTTTAAAAGGAAGGAGGAAGAAACGTGTATAAATGTCTAAAACCTGGGATAAAACAAGTGTGCTATTCGAGAATATTACGATCTCAGTTGTAATCTGAAGCCTAAACTTTTTTTAAGGCAAATGTTAAAGTCGGATGGCGAGTTGTTAGGGAAGCCTGATGAAATACTGAGGGTAATCTTGCGATGGACTAGCATCCAGGGAGACCGGGATAAGCTCCGATTGGGTGGGCTACTAAGCTTGAACACAGACTTTGCCTTTGACCGCGGTATGATCTGATTTGTAATGTTCTTATCTTTGTTTTCTATTTCTCCTTTAGGCAATGGTAAAGTAGAATATAGTGAGTTTGAGGACATGATGGCCAGCCAAATTGGAGAACCGATGACTGGTGACGACCTCAAGTATTACTTCAAGAAGTTTGACACAAATGGAGATGGCTTCATAACAAGTGACGAGCTTGGACTGGTGATGAAAACGTTTGGCGGCAAAACCTACTCAAAGAAAGAAATCGATGACATGATCAAGGAGGCTGATACGGATAGCGATGGAAAAGTCAGTTATGCAGGTACTTCTTGAATGAGAGCGGGACTTGGGCCGAACTTTTAGTCAACCTCTTTCCCAGGTCTCTACCTTTTCAATTACTTCCCGCGCTTTTAAAGCAATTTTTTAACATAATCTTGAATTTAAACTAGGATTCCTCGTTCTTGCTGTACCCCACCCCATTATTGGTCCTTGAGACTATCGCCAGCCACCTGAACAATCAGATACAACACTGAAAAACATCGTGACTTCGTCTCATCCTTTTTCTCGCGTTTCAGCCAGTTTCCTCGTTTTTACCTGCGTCTCTCAGGGGATATTTAGGGTATCATTCTTCATTCGATTGGCCGTTTTGATTGCTTCAGTGTTGGAATTACCCAACTCAGTCGAAACACACCCTGGAGGATTCAAGTGATCTTTCCCTTTCATTATCAAATGCTGCTCTAGCATTAGCAGTGTACATCACCGACAGTTATTATCTTTTGTTTCGCGCAAAACTTGTAAACTAAATTTACGACTTAACGTTTCGTCCAAGTGAAATAACCTGATCTATCTATTCTGTCTATGCTGAAAACGATCTTTCTTTTTTTCGACACGCAGAATTTGTTGTCATGGTTACACAGAAAGGGCAATGATGCAAAGTGATGACAATGGAAGTGGTTCGCTTTACTTTAAGTGGTGGGCTTCAAGAGGATTGCCTTTGTCACACTGCTGTTTAACAGATTCACGTTTCTTGAGCTGGCACAAGTAGTGTGGTATACTAAACGGACGACAGGGGATTTGTGTGTTCTGTCGATACAGACTGAACTTTAGAAGCATAAGAATATGTGTAGCTATATTTACTAGGTGATACTGAGGGATTAAACTTTTGTCTTTCTCCAAAACGTTTCTGTTTTTTTAAACTATTTTCGACCCTCAACTTAATATGTACCTATTGACTGAGTGGGAGAGCCGGTTCTGGAAACTTCCGTTTTTTTCGGGGACCGAAAACTCTACGGAAATAGCGGATGTGATTTCATATCCATCTGCCTTAGCGCACAAGGGATTTCCTCCATCCAGGTTAAGGGATCACATTTTATGTGTTTTGCCGAAAGCCTCTTCTCGACACGATCTCAACAGGACCAACTTCCTGTCTCGGCTAACAGACTCCGTTTGTGGATTGTGGAGGGCTAGGCTCCAACAGATCTGACCACGTGCCTTTTGACAAATGATGATAACTTGATAACACATGCCATATTATCCCCTGTTCTAAAATTCTCATCTTTTGTCCTTTTTCTCCCTTGAATCATCTTTCCTTCTATCACCGTCATTGTGTTTTGATAACTTCCGGTGTTTACGTTGATGTTTTTTGCTCTCTTTCCGTTTATGTTTCACCTTGGATTTTTTATGTCTTTTTTTTCTGTCTTCATCACCAGAACCTTTGCTGCTTTTCTCTGAATCACCCTCGCTTGTTGTTGACTCTTCAAGTAAGGCCTTGAGCTGTTGTATTCTGAAAATATTAAGATTACCAACTGAAGCTGCGATATGTTCCTTGACTGATTTGACTGATGAAGTGGCATCACCTGATACAGTGACATATTCTGATGTGATGTTGTAAAGTGACACTGCAAGTCATGAAATGTTGTAAAATTCAATATGCAGAGCACCTCTCTCCACCAGGAAAACTTTCAGGGAAACCAGACAAAATGGTTGTGGGTTATATATATGTACATTTAGCATCACATCAAGCAGAGTGACCACAGTTCTTAACTGCCTCATTCTGTAGTAATATGGATAAACTTCACCAGTGAGTGTAAACAAGGTCAAAAACAATATCCCACCTGCTTTCCTTTTCTGCTCTCTTTTTATCTTGAATGAACTCATGCATTGGGTCTTCATGTGCCTGATTTGTATATCAAATTTTTTTTTACATTAGGGTACACAAAATGTACATGTTTAACAGATATTTAACAGTCATTCAAAACTTAATTCAAAACTTAATAACAAAATAAAAAAAGTGCCTTCATTTCTTTTTGTTTACAACTGTATATTGTGAAGCTATTCCCTAGTTTCACTATCTATCAAAGAATAGAAAGTTAGCCCTTTAACCCCCAGAAGTGATTAGCATAAAACTTCTCTCTACAATATATATATATACATTCTTCAGCAAACAGGTAATGAGAATATTCAAACTTATCAGATAGAAGCTGCTATCTTGATCTAGCACCAAGTTCTCATAACTAATTTCCAAGGAATCATGTGTAGTACCGGTAGCTACAGGGGAGAATTAACAATCAGATCTTGGGAGTTAAAGGGTTTATAGTGTAACCAATCAGATTGCACCACTTATAGTGGACCCTAATAGATACTTTTATTTAATTAATATTAAGTAGTTTATAGTTTGTTACTTTCACTAAAAGTACCTCTTATAATATTTAGTCTGTAGTTAAGTCAACAAGATCTCACCATTCGAAACTTTTCACTGTTTTTGTTGCCACTGATAAACAAGGGACACTCCCTATCACCTGTCCTGTGGCCATAGGCTTTACATCGCCAACCTAAATAAGAGATCATTTAAAGTTTTAAACCCAAGTAAGTGAGTCTGGAGTTTATCCAGGTTTCTGAAGTGACTCAGACTTTGTATTTCTACTCCTGTGGATAGGATGCTAGTTCACTGCAGGTTACCCACCCCATCCCCTCAGCATTTGCCAGGTTCCTTAGACAATTTGTTGGTACCCATTTACTCTCTAGGGTGGAGAGAGGCACTGTGAAAGTCAAGTTTCTTGCTGGAAAATACAACATAATGACCCTACTGCACCTCTAGACCTTGAGCCCAGCTCACTGACTGTTAAGCCACTTCTTCTCCCACAAAAGCCAAATGAAATGAAAAAAAGACTTCCAAATTTTGCCTGATTTACGCACTACATGCTGTACCTGTTTTGGTCACACAGCCATTAGCAACAAAGGAGAGCAGGGTAAGAAAGCAAATGAATGGCTTACACTTCCCTCACACTTCTCCCACAAAGGAAACAGAAAGACCTGCTATGCATGATACTCTATAACACACTTCATGAGAAGAAAACCCTTGTAATGTAATGCACACTCAAGAAGATCCAGTTTCCAATATAACTCACACTTCATAACTTTGACCTCCTTTCCAAGTGGCATCCACAGGCCTTTAGTGGGGGCATGGGAAAGAAAATCTCTTGCACTCTGGTTTTCAGGTAAATCAGGTATACATTCTTCTGGAAGCTCTTCTTTCTCCTAGTTGAAAAGGAGCCATCAAAATCTTCCTGAATTTGCATTCCCAACTTACCATACAGAGACAGCAAAGGTTAACTTTTGTTAGGGTATTACTGGCAACACATACTATAGATACTTAGTCAAGTGAGCTATTCATTGTCATGGTCGTAAAAATCGGTTGGTGCGGTAATGTTGCAACATGGTTGCTGGCAGGTCTGTGCTTTTCTGCCAAGTTACTCTTCTGCAATATGGAAGCCCACGTAGAACATTCTCAAAAACTGTATAGGCCATTTCTAAAATTTCGCAAAAGGGAAACTCTGGAATAAACATAATAGGTGCAGAAATTTTACTTTCAAATCTCTCCAAAATGAGTGTTTAATTACGGAGCAACTTAACTTCCAGCGCAAGACAATTTACAAACAAAATGTTAGATACCAGTCTCTTACCTTTATGATCCCTGGGGGTGGCTGTTCATAGCTAAAAAGGCAAGCACAGTCATGATAACACGCAAATATAAATTCCATTGGAACTGAATGTATTTCAACCTTCGCAGATGCCACAAATTCAAAATTTGCTGGTCTAACAATCTCATGGTCAAAATATTCCTTCCCGACGCTAAAAATAGTTTGAGAGAATTTTTACCCTTACAATGTTTCATAATGTTTAGCCAGTTCTATTTCTTGATTTTCACTACGTTTCCTCTTCTTTCTTTCCTCCTTTCTTTCGCCTTTTCCTCTTTTTCTATCTGTTTTCTTGTCTGACGACCTGTCCGCCATGTTGTTGTTGATTGCAAAGGTAAACCGCGGACTCATACCTAAGTACATTTATACATGCGAACAGCATTGTGGGATACCTAAAGTCAAGATGGCGGCCTCCTTGCGAGTTGTTTCTCGACGACTGTTTGTCAGAAACAACCTCCGTGGCGTCGTGGCCCTCCACTTTTCGGCTCCAAATTCTGCTTCTCCAGATAAAGTGACTCACACTGGACAGGTGGTTAAGGATTTCGCTTAATTACGGCACAGTCAAAATTTTTAATGACTTAAATGACTTTTGTGGGCACATATATCAGACTTGTAACGCTAATTAAGTTCTCTGAAATTTGTAGCAATGGGAACCAAACGATTACAGAATGGCCCGCTTTACAGACAGGCCAAAGGAGGTAAGGCATTTTTATTTACAAGCAAGGTATTACAGGCCAGCTTTGGCGCAATAAAGAGCTGACTGGGTGGTATCATCAGTAAACATTTAAGTCATATTGCATCACATGCAGTTTATCGTGCAACTTTAAGTTCTAATTTTCGCCTACCTGTAGGTAAATGAGAAGTTTGCAATTGACCTGGTCGCAGAAGAACCACCAATTGAGATTCATGGGCGTCATGTATGGTGTGATGGAGGTTAAGTCTTCTTCCTTGCCTTACTGCTTTGTATTGTTTGAACCTAAGAGTGATCGGTATTTGTGTAGTCTGATGGTGTGAGCAAGATTTTAAAAAAGAGTTTTGGGCAAGATTTCCGCACAGCCCCATACTTCATTATTCATACAGTGCTAAGATAAAGAAAACAATGGTGAAAGCAATGATTGCCTGACGAACTGCTGCTTTGTTTTACTATAGAATGGGTTTATATGGAAATCTTTCCAACCTTTGCTTTAACCCCATATAAAAAGGAAGTCTTAGGATTAACAGTAAAGAGTTTTTTTGGTCATTTTTTTTTAATCTACAAACTAGGAAAGTATGGGGTTATAAGGAAATCTTGATATCCGACTGTTTTGAAAACTTGAGTCAGAGTCATTGAGGTCTCTGTCATTCACTTTTGCCCACAACTGTCTGGCAAGATTATCTTTACTAAGATGATCAGTCCTCAAATTCAATTTTAAAGCATCACATTACACTGAGCATGTGTTCTGTGTTAATTCAAATTAACAAATGTTTTAGAGGAAAAACTTAGCCTGTTCTTAAATACTTTGTGAATCATTTCTAGCTGCACATACAAAGTCTGCATGGTTTGTTTTGTTTTTTCCTCTGTCAAATGTACCTGTTTGGCTTCTTTCAAACTTTTAATGTTTTATATATTCGGGAGGCAGAAGAAGAGATTTACTCTCAAAGTCGGAAAACTTTGGACACGTGATGTAATTTGGGACTGTAATGTTTGTTGTGTGATAACCATCACACTGGAGATCATTACATACAAAAAAACCACAAATTGATCCACTTATCACTCTTACTCACAGATTAGTTTTCTCACATCTGATTGGCAGGTATTTTTGCCCACTTATTTCTGAGTTCACAGTGATCCTGGATAAATAAAAGCTGCATATTATTATAAGCTGTGAAGAAAATTTGATTTGCTTGTCTCCTCACTAATTCTTGTTATCTTAGGAGGAGGACCTCTTGGACATCCTAAGGTGTACATCAACTTGGTAGGAATTACTGTATTTTGTGCAAATTTTCTGTCTGGTAAAACAAACCTCTGCATGTTTCATGTACATGTACATGTGTTGTGTCTTGATGCCCCCCTCCCCCTCCCTCCTCCCCCTCCCCTCTTCTCTGCTTGAGGGAATGTCTGTTAATGGGATAAGAGCACTTACAGACAGATTGTAAGGTATAGAATCTGTCTCAGTTTTCAATTTTTAACACAATAACAGGTCACAGTTTTCCACACCTGTTTTCAATAATTCCTTACATTCTTAATCAACTCTGTAACTAACAAACTGATTCATTATTGTGGGGATTATTTCCCTTTAACTAGACTAAACATTTTTGGATCTTAGTATAGCAAGATTAAGGGATAAGGTTTGTTAGCTTATTGTACAATGCCATACTTATCAACTGGGTGGGAAGACCTTCCTAACAGTCAATAAGCATTTTATCACATGATGGCCACTTTTCCTCTTTCTTCTTTTTTTCATGCACTTCTTTTGTCCCACATCCCTTCTCACACTGTCCCATATGGTCCTCTTATCAAGATTTCTAATGATGTTTACGGGCAATTGGAATTCTGTAAGAATGCACTACACAACACAAACAAATTAATGTTTATGTGCTGCAGGACCAGGAAGGACCTCATGCCTGTGGTTATTGTGGATTAAGATATGTCATGGTTGCTGATCATCACTGAAGAAAGAAGATGGACCTGCTGCTTAATGTTACTGTTAAGTAACTAAGAGAACTTTGAATGACAATGTAAATACAAAGAGCTGGGTGACTGTTACTGGAAATCAGTTTATATTATTTTGTCAATTTCTAACTCATGAAGACTTCTATCCTCTTATGAGAGGCAAATTAAATCATTTTTTAAGGAAACAATTTCACAGACTGAAGAAATTTTGGAAGAGGGGTGCCAGAAAAACTAATAAATGACTTGAAATCCATATTCCTATGTACTACTCTTCTTTGTGTTTTGTATTGTGTGCTGTTATTTTATTAAGTAAATAAATTTGTCTTGAAAAGGAAAAAATACATGTACATCCATTCTCAATTATCACAGCATTGTACTTTCTCAAAAGCCTTCATTCCCTCCTTACCAATTAAGTGTGGATCAACATGATACCATCACCAATTGACTGTACTCAACATCTGTTTACTACAGTATGCTGTAATAATCTAGAAATTTTGGACAAGATGCTGAACCTTTGAGATTTCCTCTTATTAGTACTATTCAGATGTTACTCTCAATACCTTTAAGCTTCACTGGTCATTAAACCTTTGACATTAAGAGTTATAAGCATCTAATTTTTCCAAACAGTATCCCCCCTGAAACAAATAAAAATCCTGAGAATGAAGGAAATTATTGCAGACTCAAGAAGTTCTTGATTATTAAAAAATTATCCTTTTTAATACTGTAAGAAAAGTATAGAGAACATGCAAAACTGATGTTAGGGTGTAAAGGGTTAATACTGTCTCCTGGCAGTCACTATGTGGTAAAACATCAAAAACGTATTCGCCTAGTCTTAATAAACAACTGCATTCTTAAAACAAAGATCATCTTTTTAATAATTTTTGATCCAACTGAGCTGGCAGTCAACAATCTTTATAAACTAATGACATTATTTTACACTTGAAATACCTTCAAAATAAAATTTGTACTTTTTTTATATGTTATTATATAAACCCTGAAAAGGTATCTACACATTCAACAAATTCTTAGCCAAGTGTGGAGAGCGAGAATGTTTGTTTATAAAATGTTTTTGTTGTACAGTCTTGAACTGGTGTAGGAGTTCCTTGAAATTTATTCTTTGAACATGTTCACGCAATGGGAAGTCATGTGCACCATGAGTATCACTGAAATGAAAGAATGGAAAAGAAAAAAAAATAGCATTAAGTCAATCATGCACCATAAGTCTTACAATCCTAAAAGAAAATAAAATTTGTACACTGACCAAGTGGCCTATCCAGGAAGAGCTTATTCTGGGGTCTGTAGCATGAAGCAACAAGAAGTGTTTCCATCCCCCCTGTATGGGATGCTGGCCCATTGCAGGTTACTCCCCCCATTCCGATCAGCATTTTGTCAGGTTTTGCTTACAGTTCACCAGTAGCCATTTAGGTTCCTGAGTGGACAGGGCATAGTGAGGGTTGTGTCTTGCCAAAGAGCACAACACAATCACGCACCCTGCCTGTTTCTAATGCAGACCTCTTGACTTGATTGGGCTACCTTTCAGTTACAGCATCTCTCAAATATGCATGCAGGCTCCACCCAAAATAGTGTTTTTTAATATGCAGGTGATGGTAGACATCATTGACAAAGGATGGCCATCAAATTTGGGGTATCAAGTACAAGGGACTTGGAAAAAAGAAAAATCTAAATAGCTGATGTCTCTAAGGGTTTATCATTTCTGCCTAAGGCAAACTCTCATAACAAACTTAAACATGGAACAAATATCATAATTAACTTCAGTGCTTATCAGAAGAGACTTGACTTTATGGTGAACCAAAATCATCAATAGTTACTGTTAAGATCAGTCAAAACCTTTCTTGGAACAGAATTTGTGAATTTTACCTTATGCCAGATGGCAGTGCTCTTCCATTTGGTACACAGTCTAATCTGTTTCTTAAGGTTGTAAAAGCATCACTTTGTGGAAGAAGCATGAGCAAGCCATACAAGGACTTCAATAGAAAATGATTTTTTTGTGTGTCCAAAAGCTGGAGACGTAAATCTGTAAAAAAAAAAAACCCAACTGCATCAAATAGAGTACAAATAACCAGCAACATTGTGTGGTTACCTGGAAAGTTACTTTACTTTATACTGTAATCTGACCTAAGTTTTATACAAGAATTGTTGCAAACTGCCCCTCTGTTTGCTTTGCTTTTGTTTGTAGTTTGATGCCCCCTGCAGGCCTATCAAAATAGGGCACAACTTGTAAAAGTACTCAGCCAATGTGATTATGCCTTACTTGGAGCAATATACTGAGTGTCAAAAGTAATGCAAGACAGCACTTGTTTAAATTAATTTTCCTCTGTGATTGGTGGAAAAAAACACCCTCTCAACCAATCAGATGCATGCTGCCCACATGTAGAACTAGTCAGGACATTATACTGTGTACTCTTACTTTTATTAACAGCCAAAAGAAAATCACTGATAACATTAATGAAAATCAGTTCTACATAGTCAGCTTCCAACTCTCAAGAGAAACTTATTTTAATTTCTTAATTGAAATTGATAGCAAAGGTATGACTCACATGTGAATATTGGAGACTCTATAAGCTGAACCAACTTATCAATCTGAATAAGAAACTCAACATTTACCTCAAGATGTCCACTGGTAAAAATTAAGTCAAGGAAATTTCTAGAGGATGTTGGCTTTGAAGGGTTTTCAGAAAGAAATGATTCGCTGGATGATAGTGTAAAAGAACTGGAAAGACTATCCTAGACGAATAACTAAAAAATAGCCCAGGTCAACAAAATTCTCCAATTTCTAAAGTGCTATGAATAACAGCTATCATGAAGGAAAACTTATCTGATATTCATCCTAACACCCCTCACCCCAATCAAACCCATTGCACTACCAATCTCAATTTCTGCTGTATGAAGTGACTAATCCATCACAGGTAACTCCAAACCCCTTAGCCTTCAGCCCCTCCCTCCCCTCCCAATCACTCCCACCCATTTCATCTGTTTTCTGCATTAGACAAAGTTTGCTTGTCTGTTTCTATTCTTGAGTGGAGGGAGGCAGTGCACTGAAAAATGAATCCAGAGATAGTATCTGGGCATGATAAGGATACAAGATCATAAGCAGTTCACAGGCATGTTGGTAGTTCTGTGTCAGTAAACACAGGGATACTGTTGCCACAGGGTTGTGACACCAAGACTGGTATAGACAACAGAAAAGAGAACAGCTCTCCTAAAAACATAAGAATATCATGATCACAGTTAATCAACCAGTAGTTAATTATCTCCTAATCATTGAGATAAGCCAAAATGAAAAAAAAAAATGTAATGACTCTGCTTACTGCTGTTGCCAGCTCCCTTAGCTGATCTCTGAGGTCAAACAACTCACTGGAAGTGAGTAGAATCATATTCAAATACCGCACCATAAGAGATGCAAATTGGAAGTCACTTTCTTGAAGGAGAATTTCTGACATTGCTCTGTATATGTCCTCTGCATTTAACAAAAGACAAAGCTGTCTGTAAAAAAGAAAAAAAGAAAAAAGACAACAACTAAGCCTAGTACAAAACTCTCAACATTCAAGAAATTGATCCAAAACAATTGCCTTAAAAGAGATAAATAGGTAACTTAAAGTGTAGCTTCAACATTTAAAATGATAACCACCAAACTTTCAACAAACCAGGAGCACATTTCTTGCAAGTCCTGGTAACTTTATGGGCATAAAGCCATAATTTTAAAATCAATATTTTAAGAACAGAGAAGTGGGTTCTGGCATCCTAACTCATCCAAATTTTGTTTCTCTCGCTATAGCTATTGCTTCTCTTAGCTATTTTAAGTTTCTCTATCACATAATTTTCAAAACTTTTGCAACCCCAACCTTAAATGAAAACAGAACTTCAAGAAAAGGGTCCTAGTACAGTGCATTGTCAGCAAAGAGAAAGGGAAGGCTTTTTTTAACATACCCCATCAATGCTGAGCCAAATTTTTTACCAAATCTCACAAACAATAAGGGCAAGCTTATGATAGAAGTAGAATCCTGCAAAAATTGTTACATACAGATACGTACAGGCACTTTGTGATGTCTACATGATTTGTTAATTTTTTTTTTTGCCAATAATGTTAACAATATATCAACTACCAACTTGTGGATGATGCATTACCTCAAAATAAAAGAGCCTCTCTCCTCTAAAAGTTTCCTATCAGTTCTAAAAAGGGACATGACATTGTTCATGAACTTATGAAAGTATTTATTCAGCTGCCTGTGAGGGGCTGCATTCTGCTCTGAGCCTGGCAAGCTACCTTCAGACATGCTTTGAGAGGGACTGTTCCTTGGAGGACCAGCTGGAGAGGCTGAGATCTCTGCAAGTGCTTCTAGGACAAGAAGAACAACCTAAGGAGAAATGTAACCATTATAATCTAAGTTACACATTGACACAACATTAACTATTAGTCCAGAGTCAACTGTGACCCCACTGGGCCTCTCTTACCTCATCTGATGGATCTGACAATGTCTTCAAAAGTTCTGGGAAAAGCTGCTCAATTTGACCAAATATCTGCAACATATTTCAAATGTTTGTGCAAATGTACAGTCACACAAATAAAGAAAAGTTCAGACTATGATTAACTGAGAATAGCACTATATACATCCTACTAGAAAAACCCTGCACAATGTGACTGTGAGACTGAAGCACTCATTTTCAAAAGAAAGGCCAACTTTCTCCCTTTCACCCTATGCCCATCAAGCCTTTCTAATTTGCCTATTTGAAAACTATTCAGAAAGTTCTGACTCTAGAATCCACCTAAATCCTTGGCTTAATTGCTATCATACCAGTTTTCTAAAAATGCTGTTGGTGCAATCAAATGGCTGCAAAGTAAAATATGTGAAACTAAGCCTCTATCAACAGAGTTTCTTCAACATAAATATGATATTAAATAATCTACGACAGTAAGACCCACCTTGTTTGGTGTCTTCATGTGAAGCAATAACACCCATCGTAAAACAGCTATCCTGGTTTGTATAGACTTATGTGATAGCTGCACTGTTAGCACATCTACTACAGGGCCAAGATCCAGCTGAGTTTGAATTTGTGGCTGCACAAAATCATTGTCACAATCCATAGACACAGTGTCACTATCAACATCCTTATCATCATCCTCTGTAATTAGTCGCATTAAGCTTTGATTGACTGTCTTGGCCACCTCTTTGATATGTGAATAACTGTCAAGGACAGAACTTTGATTCATGATGAATTAAGAAGTCTAAAATGCTCAGAGGTACCTGTCAACATTATCTGGCATATAGAGCAAATACATCTGCATGAGAGGCAGCTCTACTAAGAAAGCTGGAGGCTGACTTTGCAGACTCCTACCATGGCACCAGAGGAAAACTGAAGCACAAAGGCAGAGTGCATAGGGGCAGGTGGGTTATATGAAATGGGAAAGTAAAGGGAGGCATGCACAAACATTTGCAATTCACAAGGGGACATGAAAGTCATAGGGGCAACAGTAATGGGAGTAGGGGGGGGAGCAAAACTTTCTCCCCATCCCCCTTTTGTCTCCTTCCCACAAATAGAGTAACTTAGCAAAGGACATGAGAGTTAAAGGGGCAAAAGGTCAGAAAAAACTGAAAAAAAATTATTGTTAATCAAATTAGTATGGAAGAAAGAGGGTCTTTAAACAAAGTCGTGATAACAATCAAAAAAGGATATTCTGTTTATCTTGATCATATGCCATACAAGGTAATATTGCTTTTAAAATTCCTGCATTAAAGGGCAGCATAGTCCGTCCTGATAGTGTGATGAACTCCCTCAGCCAAGTGATAGCAGTAAATTGTATGACCTCATCTGCAAAAATGACAATATTTTCATTGCTATAACCATGTTCTTGTTAACATCATCAAGACTGTCTAATAACTGAAGTTCCAAAGATAGCAACTTGAAGATGACTATCATACTACCTTCTGACTGTGAGTGAATAACCAAAATATTGACCATGTCAGCAAAATTGACATTCTTGGTTTCTTTCTTGATTCCTCTCAGGAACTCACCGAGCGCTGCTTCACACCTATACAATAGGAAAATCAAAAGTGACAATCTTTCACTCCATTATTAATTCATCATACTGTTTTAGATTATTTTCAACACTCCATTGAAGATTTTCCTTACGTAACAGTATTTTAACACCTTAACTCCCAAGATCTTATTGGTAATTCTCCTTACTATCTGCCATATAGTTCTTGTGATGTTAGTTCAGAGAATTTAGTATTAGATCAACTAATTATCCCCAAATTGATAATTTTCCTAATTCTCATCGCTTATCTTGTTGATATTCTATCAATAATGTAAGGAGAAATTCTGTTTTGGTCACTCATGGGAGTTAAAGGGTTAGTGACAATATTTCAAATGAATAATATAACTACTAACATTTTCCTTATCTCAGGATTGCGGTCCTTGAAAATGTTGAAGAGACCATCAAGGAACTCTGGAAGATGTGTAATTAGATCCAATTCTGGTACTGAATCAAGCACCACTAACTGAACAAAGAACAAATGTCAAGAGTCAATTTTATATCCAAATCATATTATATCTGCACATATTATATGTTAAACCATTCAGTAAGATGTATGTATCTCCTTAATAGCAGTGCTAGGACACCTTACACTCACCCAGGAGACCAGGAATTGTTTTGCAAATGGGTTGGCTGTGTAAATTCTGTCTCTCAACAGTGGAATGAAGGATACTAGGTCAAATGAGGAGCTTTCTGTCACAATATCCTGCAAAGGAAATTGAAAATTCCAGATTTTTAATGACGTACATAACACATATTATACGTAACAGTAGTTTTCTATAACTGCTTTACATCCTGACATTATTCATATTCTCCACACCATTCTCTTTACATTTCCTATTGTATTAACAAGGAGAATTTGTTGGACAATCAGGAACTTCTTAAATTGATGATTATTTCCATCTTTCATTCTCATCACCTTTCAATTTGATTCAAGGGTAAAACTGTAAGGAAAAAATTAGAAGCCAGACATTGGTAGGTTGATAGCTTAACAAATTAATTTTCACCATTTTGGAAGAACTCCATGTTAAAAAATAGTAATCACTGTTGTTTATTTGAAAGTTAATTCAACTCATCTATAAACATTTTCCTTAGTCTTCTTATAACCCTCATACTCACAAAATGTGAGTTGGAATTTCCACACCCTGCTTTTTCACATTTCCATCAAAACTAGTTAAGAGAATTTGGTGTTTTATCTGAGGTTAAGGGATAAATTTGCCTATTCTTGCCAGACATTCCGGTTTCAGATATTTCCTTAAATCAATTCTTTTTCAATAAGTGTCATTTCCATTTCCTTTGTTCTTCAATAAATTTGTAGTTATTGTAATCTAAAAGAAATAAAAATATTAGTTGACTGGAGTGAAAAAGTTTTCAACCAGGACAAAATTTGAACCATCAGAGGCTGAGTGTATCCTCCAACAAAGGGTTGCTAAATATTTTCTTCCAAGAGAAGTTACAGAGTTATTGAACTACATCTGGGTTAACTCTTTAACTCCTAAAAGCGACTTATATCTAATCTCTCATTACAGTCTCATTGCGAACTCCAAACACGTAGGTAACAAGAATAAAAGAAATGGTTACCAACCAAAGAACCTCTTGATTATCAAACTAATTCTCCAGGTCAATACCACAGGAAATGTAAGGAGAACTGTATGGAGAATATCTCTACAGATACTGAGGTGAAAAGGGTTACTCATCAGTTTTCTTAATCTACCTTGACCAATCTGTCAAGTAGCTCGGCTCCATTTTTTACATTCATATCAGGATCAGCAGCAAGCTGAAAGGAAAAAAATTGACATCTCAGTCTAATAGAAGAGCATAGATCAAGCCTTAGCTGAATGATGGACTTGTGACAGAGCATCATAAAGGTATACAGTAGGTTCAACCTTTTAACCATTTGCCCCTGGACATATATTTAGAGGTTCATGTTATATCTCGATGCTTATAATTCCCACAACCAACTATTATTAGGAACATTAAATTAATTAGATATAAACACTATGAAATAAAAACATTACAGCCTGCTTCATGACTGCTGAACACACAATCAAATTGGCAACTTAGAGTGCAATTGATGATGGTAATCTGAACTAAAAGAGTGCAATTTATAATGGTAATAGGACTGAGTTGAGTCCAATTTGGTCTTTAATCATACGAGTGATTAACAAAATCAGACAACTAAGAAGCGGGAGTCCAATTTGTTAATTACAAGTATGATTACAGACACAATTGGATAACACAAAGTCCTGTTACCAATTAATCAAAATTATGGCAAAATTTGTGAAAGAAACTAGACAGCAAGTCTACCTTTTCATGAAAAAAAACAACAGTTAACTCAGCAAAATGCGAGACAACATCATGTGCACATGACATGTTCTGTCCACTTACACAAGCATGACATGTTAACTGTCCCTTTAACTGTCCTATTACACTGTCCAATTACAAGCATGATGTGTACACTCTCCTATTAGTGCTTAAATCAGGTAATTTAGTGTTAACAACTGAGTTGAAAACGTAAATTAGCCATCGTAAAGGGTAAAAAAGCCAATGTTTTGAGCGTTAGCCTTTCATCAGAGCAATAGAAAATCAGACAACTTCAGTGCTTAAATCAGGCTAGTGATAACCAATCGCGTTGGAGAATTTTTTCATAGTTTTGATTAGGTCGGAAATCGTATACCTGATTTCAAAATCAAATGAGCACACAGTGCAAGTTTGATTTGAAATCACAAAATGATTTCTGGCCAAAATTGCTTGGCATAAAGCTCAAGTACCAATTTGTTACATCCATTTGGAAATCACAATATTTAATCACCCAAATGAAGGATATTAGTCAGAACAATATTTCGTGTTTCCTACGTTGCCTCCTTGCCACCATTGAAAACAACCATTGTGACATGTGAGAGGAAACTCCAAAATTACAAATTATTATTATAATAATTGTAATACATTTGATAAGGTTAACTTTGACTCACCTTGCTTAGCCCATCAAATACATCATTAAAGAATGGTAACACTGAGCCTCTTGCAACCTTGGCAATGTTATAAAGTGCCTCGCAGGCATAGTAACGAACTCTACTGTCTTGATCATAGAAACAGGTTAACACTGGTGGAATAAGACTTTTCAAATATAGACCAGCATCCTGGAAAGAACATTACAAAACACTTCACATCAGTGCTACAATCAAAATACAAGGTTAACAAATGTCAAAATAAATAATCGATATGTCTTCCATCACGTCTTTGAAAATGTCTGAGTTTAAATATTTTACTTTAATGCATTGAGAAATCTTTGCGTGAGCCTTCTTAAGGGTCTTCATTACAAAGTGTTGTAGAAGGTGAATAAAAAGAAGAATGTTTTCCATAATTGGCTAAAAGTAGCTCAGATCATTGAAATTCAGGAGGAGAATTGTGGGCAGTACATACAAGTTTCTTCTATCTTTGTTGCCTGCTGAACATCAACACAATTGTAAATATGACAATTATTCATTTAAGTGTGAGTGCTGGATACTTGCCAAGCAGCAAAGCTGTGAGGTAAATATCCAACACTTCCAACAAGGCTAATGAGATTAATTGTTTTAGAATACAACACATAAAAACCAAAATATTTGTTTGTTTCTGTCAATATACTAAAAACTGTTGGAAATTAAATTCTTGATGTATGATTTTGTCTCTTGGGCTGTTCAGAGGTACTCTGAGGTACTTTGCTAATCACTTGCAAATTAGCCAAGCAGCACCTGCAAAAAAGCACTATTCATTGCGTGGTGTATACCAGAAATGAATGTCATTGTTCGTGCTTGTCACTGTTCTTATTATTGTTGTGATCTTTGCTACTAAGGGGTAAAATGAGACCAGTACATTAAACTTCCTTGAACATAAACTGACTCCCAATAACAGTTACAGTAGTGTTTAAGCGCTTGACAATTAACAAACACAAACATCAATCACACATCCGTTAGGAGAAAGCAAATATGGTCACCTTTCCCAGAGCTATAGCTGTGGCAGCGAGTCCAATAAGACCTCCTTTTCTCGAATGATTATTGTGTGAAACTGCAAATTCGTCAGCGAGCACAGCAGTCAGTCGTTTTATTTGCCTCACGTCGTTATTAGCCACAAATTCTTTTACCATTCTAAAGTAATCAAACAGAAGATTTCACGACGAGGTAGCAAAGAAAACACAAACATTTCAACACGTGTGAATCGTACTTCATTTACAAACATTTTAGTGCAGTGTCTAATCTGATAGGCGAACTTTAGTTTGGTTTATTACGACTTTTCGCTTTGAAGAAGTATACAGCACATAAATAAACGAAAATAGAGCAGGAGATCTCCAAAAATAATAAAGCGATTTGACGACTCGCAACAAGATCACACGTACGAGTACTTGTTCCGGAAAACAGGTCATGACTTGACATACTTACCGCTCAATTTCCAAAGCCGCTGTTTTACGTTTTTCGTAAAGCTTATCATTCAATCCACGAACAACATTCTGTGTCAACGGTAGAAAGTCCTTTTCCGCCATTACAGCGAGGAATCGGACCACATCTAGGCGATTTCTCCCGCTGAGAAGATTGAAAGAGAAATTGCCCTGTGGCGAATGCTCGCCCCAGTCTTATTTTGTTTTTGCGTCATTTTAACCTGCATACGGTGTCCTCGTGCATTTTCGAGCCTAAGATCTTTTCGATGTACTCGTATTTTATGATATTCGTCTTTAAGATTTCTTTTAATTCTATTTTTTGGATATCTTCAACTAGTTTTAGAGATAAAATTAGCGTTTAATTTTGTATTCAACGATTTTCTCCTTGCGTGACTTAGCGTCAGGTCGGTGGCAAAGCATACATGCAATGTTTTGGAGTGTTGCGCCAGAAGCACAGATAAAATCCATGCCATTGAGGAACGTCAGTACGTCAGTTAGTATGCAAGTTTCCTCTCTTGAAAGAGTTAAATTTAAAGCTAATTATAGCGGGTAAAAATTACAGGAAAAAGAGTTCCGCCAAGTTGGAAGCAGCTGTTCAGGATAGGGGTGAATCCGCCTAGTTTTTGTATTCATATGCAAAAAGGTTTGGTTTTGAAGTTTTTCTGTTTAGAATCAGTCTGGATTATACTCATTAGTCTATACTAGATTAGTCTCATACTATCCATAAGAAAATTTTTTCCAATTCTCTTGTCTCTCTATTGCGGACGCAGTTTCTCCAAAACGTGGTATACAACGGACAAATTAAAAGTTTATAACCTTAGAGAAAATCTGGATCTTGCAACATCTGGGAAAATTTAAACAACAACAACCTCTCAGTTGCAACAACAAACTTCAAAAGTAACAATGTGCAAAGACAAGAATGAGTTGGCCAGGAAAAGCCCCTCCCGTCCCCCTCCCCCTCCCCCTTCCCCTCTCTATTCCCCTCCCTCCTTTCCATCCCCTTCTTTTTTCCTAATTTCTCAGCATTGAATTGGAGGTCATTACAGGTTTTATAGTTTGTTGAAAATGTTTATTTTTAAGTACACACGGGAAGAATTAAGAGAAAGTGTGGGGTGGGGGGACTTATATTTGTAGAACGAAAGGTGACTTTCCGGGTGGGTCTATGATAAAAATTTGACTTTATCACTTCCCCTCGACTTATCCGAAGACAAATTTAGTCGATCATCTAATATCCGCGGTAAGATCGAGTTTGTAATGGCATCTCAATGATGACCGATCGAAATACGTCGAATCAGGAAATTCATGAATATACTAAGAATACTACATTTCTTACAGATGCACAACGCTTTTAGTAAAAAAAAGAAAATCAATAAACAATAAATTTTAGCTTTAAGCGGAAGAGGTTCTTTGTTCTACCGCCCACGTGCATAACCTTTTTGAAACCTCTTCTACAGAGATAGGCCGATATTCGAACTAATCATTAACCACAAACTTAGCAAGAGGACTGCGGTTTGCATGCGGCTCTTACGTTTCACTTTGTTCTCTTTGCTCCGTTATAAAAGTTGTATCTTGTAGGGGCCACAGCGATCGAAATTCTGGGCTGCACGCACTTGGAGATATATACATATCCGAACTTGCTCAGTTCAATTTTTGCCGACGGGCTATTTCACTCCCCCCAGCTAACAGTTCCCTAGTGTAAATTTTGGACTCTAAACAACAATTTAAAAAACTCATGACAATATTGCGAGTTCACAAACATTTGTTATCCTTTCCTAACCGCATGGTTCATCGAAAAAAGAGATAAATATAGAAAAAAAACTTCTAAAAATTAGCCACTGAGCAATTCTTCAGCACAAAATTTACTTTTTCCAAGAATCAGACATGAAGTGGTTTGAATATACCGAAATTGATCATGTTATTTTTCTTAATGAAAGAGCTTTGTTTTCTTTATTACAAGCTCTGCAGGTTAACCCTGGCCCCTAATTCAATTATCACCTCTTGACTAATGCTTAATTTATTGTAATTGACACTTGTTGAAATTCGCAAACGTGACAATACCAAATATCCATTATTTTCATCTGAATGAGCCAATGGTGTCCTATTGTATACAACAGGCCAAGTAGTACGCCAATATCACCCAGTCACGCAAACTTCTCGAGGCCAATACTGACGCGGCAGAACTTTAAGGCACCTCGTACAGCGAAACTCTTTATTTCGCGCGCAGCATTTGATTTTAAGCGAATTTTCCTCGGAAACTTTGCACAGAAATGGCCGACTGTCCTATCATGCAGATCGACGAAGACTCTCCTGCTGTACCGATGTCAAATTGGGAAGCCGAAGCGGTCCATGATTATGGAAAAACGTACGCGCAGAAATATTCCGACCTCAGGGATGATCAAGCCACTGTTTGGACGAGCATGTACGAGAAAAACCTTGGGAGGAAGGTCAGTCGCTTACCGCCATGGGAAGTCTCTGAGACCGGTCGAAAGGAGAGTACAGAAATGCATTTCGGTGACCCTACCAAGAAAGACTTCGCTTCGGTCATGTTAGAGAGAGCAGCAGAAGCCGGTGCACTGACCCACAAGAAACATTTCGAGACTGCGGAGCAACGGAGGGAGAGGAGAAAAGGAAAGAAAACTAAAAGCGAAAGTGAATCCAGTAGAGAAGGAGAGGAAGAGAAACAAGACAAGGAGGGGAACGCAAGGACGTCCTCGCTTTGCCAACATGACGATGAAAACGCTGAAAACGCCACCGGAAAAGAATAACATAACCTGAACCAACACAATACATACAGACCTCTAATGTTCTCCCCGCTGTCCTTGAACTCGGAAATTAAGGTATTTAGACCTGATTAAAACTACCACAAATACTTGATCTTGGTTGCGGAATGCACATGACTGAGTTTGGATCTTCATTCCGACGACAAAGCTATTTAAAATTGGGTTAATTCACGAACATTTTATCACAAATACTGGGCGGGAGAATCGATTTGAACTGCTGCTCGAGAAAAAGCGTATGATCGTGTTTAAATTGGTAACATGATGTCTTCATTCGATGTACATTTTTATTTGTTGATAAAAGCTTTTGAAGGATCTAGATAGTTACTCGTTGTGAAGAAGATGTTATTCATTTCTCGATAAGTTGCTGTATTTAATAAAACCCGATGGATAATTTGATCCACTTCGCGTCACGTGTAAAATAGCCGAAGTGACCTTTATATCAAAACAAAAGCTTTCAAAGTACTTAGTAAACACCTGCAGAATTTTCATATTTGAGAGAAGGAAAAAGTTTTCTTTCTTAAGTACCTCAATGCAAATATATTTGTCAATATTTCCGTAGCGTGACTGTAGTGTGTTATTTTGCCTTCAGAGCAATAAATGAGGTAGAATAAGATTATTGCAATTTTCGCGATAAACCTTGTGAATGGAGAATTAGTTGTAAATTGATTAGACACATTAGTGTTGTATTAATTCGAAGCTGTACCGAGCTCGTTGATTGCTTTCAAAGCTTGACGACTCCACAATCCTGCGAGTGCTCTAGTTTCCATTGAAACTAAACGCTGTTTTTGAAACTCTTAGCTCAAAAGCGCTCAAATGCATTCTAATACATTATGCCAGTTCACTCAATTACAATTTCATTAAGTCTCTACTATTACAATAATTCCCGAACTTCGCTGTTGTTGCCTAAATTCAGGAAAGGGCTTGTTTAAAATGTAGCAAAAAGCTCTGTTTAAAGGGAAGACTTTGCTATTATTCGTGATAGCTTCTTGAACGGAGCTTCGACGTGAGAAGACTTTTCAAGGCTTGTTTCAACACGCTTTGAATCGATGGACTTGTTTTGATCGCAGTGGCGTACGAACCACTCAAAAAACCCTTATTTACACGTACTAAGTTTAATCAAGGGCCACTTTTCATTTCAAACAGTATTCGAAATAATATTGCCTAAGGGGTGCGTTTTGCAAACAACATGTAAGTGCCTTTCAGTTCAATTATGCAAAACCTAAATATAGGTCAAGACATCCAACCTTTATCAAGACGCACATAAAATCTGTTGAGTGCCGCTCTCGCTAAGAGCAGTCCTCTCGACTCCCCGTCGAAAAAAGTTTTCTTTTATTTTTTGCCCACGAAAAGGGGTTAGGACACAGGTTTCAAAAATAGATTAGTTGTTCTCCGATTCCCCTTTTCTGCGTCGCCACAGGCCAAAAATTATATTTGGCTAGACCACCCGTGTGGACAGCGATCGAAAAGTGTAAAATTTCACAGATTTTGTCCAGCGCCCAGCGACTGCAATGATATAGCTCACTAAAGTCAAGAGGACCGCTCTTAGCGACAGCGGCACTAAATTGCCTCAACTTCCCGTTAAAACGTGGTCTAGGTTGCCATATTTTAGAAGGGTAAACTGACAAATTGCGTAAACAGGATGTGGATCGTAGTCAAGAAAGTTCACAATTCAATAGCCATTTTATTTTTAGCCGTTCATGCGAGATCGATCGAGCAAAAGGTTAATTGACCGGGGAGACTTAACTCTTTCTGTTCATTAGCAACTCGACCAAAAGCCACCTTTGACAAAAAAATCAGAAACAATCTACAACAAACATTGCACACATCGTAATAAGACATTAGGATGGGAAGACTGTCTCTCTTGTACGTGGGAGTAACAGGCATGCGCATTCTTATCACTTTACTTTCAGCCATTATCATTGTTAGCTATCGTTTGGCGAAAGCAAAGTATGGACTTTAGATGGCGGATCACGGATCATGAACTTTAATATGATAAAAAAATTTAAGACTGCGCAATAGTGTAAAACGTCATAAGCTTGTTATTCAGAACCAGCTTCTGAGAAATTTATGTGACTTGATTATTTTCGTTTGGTTGATTGTGTGGTTCTTTTTTTTTTTTCAGCAAAATTCTGCTATTATTAAGTCCTTATTACGAAACAATTTGACACGAAGCCATGACTGATCGTAATTCGTGGTTGTTGAAGGTACTGCGTCAAGGCTAGGAGATAACTCCGGGTGTATCTATTGAACTAACCAAATTACTAACAAACACTCGACTGAGAAGCCCGTTACATAATTATCATTAAAATCGGTTACCTCTTGTATGGGCAGTCTTAACCTAAAAAACTCAAGTTATAATCACAGCTTATACATGATAGATGTCTTAGCTCAAATATTGAAACACTAAATTGGCCATAAAATCACGATAGAGAAAACTCCAACAGATATTTATTACAATGTTTGAATTTGGAACGGTCAACAATGATTCTGAAGGTATTATTAATTGATAAGTTTCTTTTTTGAAATGATAATTTCAGTATTCAGGGGGTAATTTTGCCATGCAATAATTTTTCGTTTCACAGCAGGAGGGTGTCTTGCTTTTCTCTGGAACATTCAGAGATCTCCTCACTGATTTAGAGTCCAGTACAAAGAGAAGGAAGTAATTAGGCTCTTACTTGTAATTAGTCTTGGTACAAAAAATAGAACCAAAAGTTTCACGCAGAAAATTCGAGAGGTCTGTTTGTCTTCTAATATCTTCCCGCGAAATAGCTCTTGCTTTCATGCAAAATTTCCTCCATAGAAATTAGGAAAGTTAGAAGGTAACGAGTTAGGGTGAGTGTTCTTTCTAGTACAGGCGAAATTTTATTCAAAGCTAAACAAAGGCTGTTTTATTAAATTCATTTTCGCAAAAAAATGAAAAGCAAATTAAATATTCAAAGCAAGTAGTTTTTCAACCAGTCACGTGGTCCTTTGAACACAGCCGATAGATTTCCAGCTATTGGTACGAAGCGATCTGAACCAGCGCTTCAGCATATGAAAAACCATGAATTGAAACACGTATGCTGTTATCTCAATCGATTAAAGCTCTAATCTACAATTATTCAAGTTTGAAATTCATCTTCAGGAGCGTTGACTTGTAGCATTAACCTTGGGAAAAGTCAGAAAGGGCAGCATTTGGCATGTGCCTAAAAATCCGCCATGAAGTTACTGCTTTGCCGTCTTCTTTCATTCTGTCAATCTGAGTGCCTTCAATATCAATATTCTTCTCATGAGTAAGCACACCAGCTTTTTTCACCGAGCTAACCAGTGTAACTCAGGATGACTGAAAGCTAATCAGTCCCCCTTCTTCAGGACATGTTCTAGTTCCAGTTACTACATTAAGAGAAAAGAAATTACGTTTCATTTTTTAATTTCGCTTATCATTGCCATCCTTTTTTCTTAATCCCGTTCATCCTTATTGACCCTTGGTTTCTTATTGCTGTATTGTGATTTCTATCTTGAATTAATGTTTCAGTTGAACACTCCCTAAAAACTAGGACAGTTTCGCTTCTCACCGAAGAAATACCAAAAATATCGCAACGCAGCTCTTTAAATTTTTGTTAAATTATCCTCAGTCTATGACAAATTTGGTTGAGCCAAGCCAATTTCTCCATCGTATACGATCGTAGTCCGCAAACATAAATATATATATAAGGATAAGTAAAACATTTAAACAGCAGCTACTGCGTTGGTAGCGGCGAGCTCCACTGGGACAAGCGATGGTTTTGTCATTGCCGTCGATATAACTCGTCGCTCAGCCCAATTGTTGATCCTTGTTTTCCCTCTTTCTGTTTGCATTGCACTGTAAGCTATCGTACCTGCCATGGCAAGCTCTACCAAGCGAAAGCTCGACTGAAAAGCCAGCCACGGCCAGGGAGAAGGATGGACGACTTTGCTGTACATACTGTAAACACCTAACATAGAATAGAACTGCAGCCCACACACTGCAAGGCCTAGGAAACTGGTACCAAGTGTAATCTTAGCCACTTTTGTTGTGCTGGCCTTGCTTGTCGTATTCAATGAAGGACGTACACTTCTCTCCATGGCAATAAGTTGCCGCTGAACATTCTCTACGCTGTTCATGACTCGGCATCCACTATAGATGAAGCTACCGGATAGAAACAAACCCCAGATAATGAAGAATGATTGGCACACGATCAGGAGAGGATCCAGTTCCGGTTTTATGGACGCTGATGTCTCTGCGGTGAAGACAATGATAAAATGTAGAACAATGACAGCAGATAAAAATTTCACATTCTGCAACTTGTTTGGGACGATCTGCATTTTAGTGACTTCAAGAAAAGCCAGATGAATTAGAGAAAATGCTGATGTTAGGCAAGGGTAAGCAACTCCAAAAAGAAGTAGTGTCAGCCATTTTGGATCTTCGATACCATTTTGTCTCGACTCGTAAGGATCTAACAACAGATACGCAGATCTAGTAGATCCCAGACCGAACAGCAACAGGTTGATGGCAAGGAACAAAGGCTTTGAGCCAAATCCTTTTCTGCGGTTAGCGAAGGCTACAGCAATAAATGCATGAATGGCGAGGAGGCCAAATAGGATTCCAAACCCAATCCAGTGTAGTTCCCATGCCTGACCCCAAATTTCCCGCGCAACTGGCCAATCAGGACCCGGTTCAGGCAAGGCTTCCGTGGGCAACTTTCTGGGATTGTTTGTTACTGTGGAATTTGACATCACCTAAGAGAATATATTATTTTTTATTGAACTTTGAAGGAGTCCACTCAAACCGAAAAAAAATAAACCAGAATCTAATATATCGTCTAATATATCGTAATTAAAAATCGTAACTGACTCAAGGGCAGTTGGGATAGCAAGTATTTTTGCGTGAACTTGCAGAAATTTCAAATATAACGGACGCAAGGAAGTGTCTAAAAGTAGCACAGTTTGGGCGTCTAGAAATGATTTCCTGCTTCTTCACAGCATTAAGAGTTGTTGCTGTAAGGTGCTGATTGGCATTATCTTCAACGTGAAGCCAGTCGGAAAATTCTTGTTTGATTGGGTAGAAAAACACCAAAATAGGACAGTAATACCAATACAGAAAAAGAATTCTGCGGGGATAAAAAAGATTGAGTACTCGCAAATCGGACAAACTTCAAGTGTTTGCCCAAACCGCATGACGTTGGTTCCTCAATTGTTAAGAGAGCATGATGCAGCGTTTTCAAAAGGCGGATATCTTCAGCCACAAGCAGGTGAAAAAAATTCGTCATCCAATTTTCACGGCATTTTATCTAAGCAAAATAACGTCCGGATACTTCCCCAGCATGATCTTCGAGAAACGGTTCCTTAAGAAGAAAGATTTTTAATTGATTCAGAGCAGTATTTCATACTGCATGAATCATGCCGATCTTGACGCTGCATCAAAGAAATACTAATATCTTTTAACACGAATTAGACTCATGTTACAGAAAAGCTATGTTTTCAGTCAGCATTCTAATAAGTCAAAGTAAAAAATTGCAGATTTTGGGTGAAGATCCGTGATTTTCTCTCGGCAAAGAACTCGCATCTTTAAAGAGCTTTTCTCAATTGCACTTCGTTGTAATCTTAGTTACGCTTACCTATCCTCTTTCCTTCATGTTCTAGAAATGCCTATCTTTCTTTATCTTAAAAAGTTTTTCAGAGGCTCAAAAAATGACCAATAGCAAAGTTTAGCATGATGTTCATGGTAACAGCAAATGGCAAACCTTGAACCTCTTGCTGGCTGCTCTCAGCCGTTTGTACACTGCAGTGAGAGCTGATTTGCCTCAACTGTGAACAAGAAGTTTTTCTCAATTTTTCCACCGTAATTCGGAGGATTACAGGAAAGGTGAGTCTAATCAGAAAAATTTTTTTCCATTTACCTCAAGTGCAATTTTGTCCCCACAAGAACCGCCGTCTATGAGCAAATGAATCCGAAGAATACAGAAACTGTCTGAGTTCTCCTCTACACTTACCAACCATCAAAGTTCTGCGACTCTGACGTTTCCAAAGAGAAACCAGCTGACAGAGTGGTTGTTATTTAGGTTAATGATATCATTTACCAGGTGAGTCAGTTCCTATTTTAATCACATTTCTTCCCCACCGGGATTTTGATGGGATGAAGCATCATGGGATGTAGGCCATGAATAAAGCATAAAGACAAATGGTTTCGCATTTCAATTGAATATTTCACGGCCTATGTAGGATATCTCTTCCAAGAAAATGCATTATTACTTTAACAATTTAGGGCGGGGAAACAAGGAAAAGAGGTGACAATGAACCAGCTAACTAGATTTTCAAGACTTCAGTCTTTGTTATGCAAAAACAAAAAGACACGACATTTATTTTGATATTGACCCACTGTCTTCGCCCCATTACCTATCAACTTTGTTCCCTGCTTAATCAATTCGCCTCACGTCTCACTTGACTGTCATGCAATATAACGTTTTTCAGTGGGAGAGTTACAATCATTAATTTTCGCATTGCATGTTACAATCACATGCAATAACAAAGCTAAGAAACTACTTAAAAAATTCTTAACTGTTGTAGAATTTTCCTGAAACGACTTTTCCAATATACCTCTGAACAAGCCAAAACAGCAGCAGCAGTTGCACTTCTGATGGCTTGAAACCTTGTTCATGTTTATTTTAAACGATGCTGAAACATTTCAATTAAGTTAAATCTTATCTCTCAAGTCACAGTGTGATTTCAAATCGTAGAAAGAGTCATTTTCTAGCAAAAACTCATTACCACATACGATATTCAAAAAGTCAAATTTCTCGGAACAGGTGCCATGTCAAATGTAATTTAGTAAATGAAACTTTCGTCAAATTATGACCGCTCAGTTTTGAATTGCGTCTTAAAATTAAGACGAGGAGTCAAAAGCTATTCTTCCAACAGAAATTTAATGGAAGGTTCTTCTTCGTAAGGTACGCTGGTTGACATATTTTGCGTTTAAAGTACACGACTAAATTGTGTCAAATAAGATGATTGACTCTCGTGTCAAAAATGATATGGCTCATCACGTACTAGCGGAATAGTCTGGAATCCTTAATTGCTACACAGCAGAATCTCACAATAACTTAACCAAATGTTCCATTCGTATCTAAGACTCTGCAGGTTTAGTATTTTACGAGGGGCCAGTAGATTATGAAGAAATAGCAACCATGGCAACAGTTCGAGCAAAGAAACTAATTGGCCGAAATTATGCTTAAAAAGATAAATCTTTGGTAATTTCTGAAAAATATTTGAGATTCTATGAAATGACATACTTTTGTACATCTTAAAGTAAAAGATGATTTCTGGACTCTAGGCGCATAAAGTTATAACATCTGACAGGAAAGTAAGACTCAAAGAATGTTGCCAGCTTCCCTGTGGGGATTCCACCCACAACAATTTCGAATGATCTCACGTTCGGCTAAAGTACGAAATTAGCTACAGGAAACTCTTTCACGAGCTAGGCTTTACTAGAATCAACAACTTCAAAAGCGTTCGTGTGGGTTTAGAGTTAAAATCTTAATCGTTTCGTACATATAAAGTGTTACTCTCACTCAAACGATGATCGGTTCAGAATTTTATGGAAAATAAATACATAATATGTGATATAGGAGCTATTTTAACCATCCTACCTGTACTTCTCTTCGATGATGCAGATTAGAAATATTAGCGGAAGAATCCAGTGTTAAGCCTGTATTCGTATGAATGTATTAAGCTGATGAATTAGTTTGTTGTGGCTTACATGCACAATTTACTTAGTTGTGGACTTAGAATTCTGTATTTGCTTTGCTTAATGTAATTTTTGACGGCCTTTGCGGGCTAACTTAAACGACCGTTACTCAGTGTTTCCACAGACAAACATAAGAGCCCAAAATTGATTTCGACGTCGCTTTCACCGGAAGTCTCAACAAAATCCTCGATAGAAAAGGCAGTATTGAAGGACAGTGAGAAAAGGGATGTGGTTATAGAAGGCGGAGGCAAAGACGAGAGGGAATTTCAGGGTTTTTTCTTTACGACCGGAGAGAAATGCTTTTCAGAGGAAGAAGACACGAAAGGGCAACTTACTGAAATGATCGATGCTGCAACGGAGGAGAAGCAACTTCAACACTTCAATACGAGAAAATAAAGCAATGAACAATTATTATCAGCAATGAACAAATATTTTGTAGATAAAATATCTTTTTCCAAGTCAACAGTCAGTTTTAATTTAGCAATCGGTATATTTTTTACTCAACACATGATCGCTTATGTCAGCGCTAACATGCGCTTCAAATTGACAGCACAATCTGCATGTCCAGTCAGCGGATACGGATCGATCTTAGGTGCCTCTCATGCGAATGGAATCCATTTCTTAGATATTCAACCCACGCATTTCTTCTTGCGTGATGTTATTCTAATAAATGAACCACTTTCCATTTGGAACAAAGAGATAATTCTGTTGTGGAAAGGTATCCCAAAGGACTGAGTGAGTAAGAGAGAGAGAGCTAGAGCTTTAGTGTTCTAGAATGTTTTTATTGAAGGCCTTAAGCGATTACTTAACTATTACAGGGTGCCCTTTCGAAAAAGCTCAGAAATGTGTTAGTTTTAATTTGTTTTTAGTGGTAGTTTTATTAACCTGTGCTAACCTATAAAGAGATGATCGAAAAAGCGTGTGGGAGGGGCAAAAACTAGTCGCCTGCCTTCCCCGTTGCCTCTACTTAGCTTTTAGTTACTGTCTCGGTTGACCAGTTTGCCTGCAGTTGTTGGACACGCATATAGTTCAACTAATGTTGCTAGTGTCATTGCTTACCGAAAAAGATTAACCTCCTAACGTGAGTTCAATGCAGTTACTTTGTCTTCTGAGCGTAGCTTCTATTTACGTAAAAAACAACATAACTCCAGGAGTAGAGCTACGTGAGCTTTGTACAGTGTCGGTTCATCTTTTCTTTGCCAGCCTTGTAAAAACCAGTAGAAGTCTCGGTTTATCCTCACATTATTTCATTAGTTTAGGTACCAAAGTAGAAATTTTCAGTGATATATTTCGATGCAATGTTTTGTGATTTCGAGTTATATTGCATTGCATGATTTCTCACCAAGCAATATCACAATGTCATGTCATGTCGTGTCGTGTCGTGTCATGTTTATCATGTGGAATTTCAACATGGTTCACTTGGTGCAGTATTTGGACAACCCATTTTGGGCAACAATTAATGATTGGAAACCATTTTCCATTTGAATTCATGACCCAAGGGCGTAGGTAGGGGAGGGGGGGCCTGGGGTATCCGTGACCCACTCCCCCCCCCTCTCATTTGAAAGTCTTTTTTAAGTAAAACACGGAGTGAAGGTCGACATGACAATCTGGTGAGAACCCCCTGTTACACGGTGTGACCCCCCCTCCTTGAAAAAATCCTCGTTACGCCCCTGTATACGCTCAAATGAGAGTACTGCATTCTATTGTGGCTTAATTCTTGAGGACAAATTCACTCCCTCGGTCCCACTCACAGCGTTGTCTTTCTTGTTTCCACCTTCCCTTTGCATCACACTGTAGGCTATCGTGCCTGCCATGGCAAGCTCAACGAGGCGAAAGCCCGATTGAAAAGCTAGCCAGGGCCAAGGAGAGGGATGAACGACTTTGCTGTACAAACCGTATACGCCCACCAAGGAATAGAAATTCAACGCACAAACAGCAATTCCCAGGATGCTCGTGCCAATGGTTATCTTAGCCACTTTAGTTGTGCCAGACTTTACTTTCTTGTTTCGCAGTCGCTCGTTTTTCTCAATCGAATTCAGTTGCTCGTGAACGTTTTCCACTCGCCTGATAACTTTGCATCCGCTGTAGATGAAGCTACCAGAAAGCAGTAAGCCCCAGAGAATGAAGAAAGACTGGCACACGATCAACAGGGGGTCCAGTTCTGGCTTCATGGAGGCGGAGGTCTCTGCGACCAATACAATGATGAAGTGGATGACAATGACAACAGAGATAAATTTCACATTCTGCAGCTTGTTTGGACCAACTTTCAGCTTAGTAACCTCCAGAAAAGTCAGATGTATCAAACAAAACGAGGAAGTTAGACATGGAAAAGCGATTCCAAAGAGAAGTAGTGTCATCCACTGTGGATCCTGCACGCCATTTTCTCTGGATTCGTACGGATCTAACAATAAATACACGGATCTGGTTAATCCGAGCACAAGGAGCATCACGTTTATGGCCACAAACAATGGCTTGCGAGCGAATCCTCTCCTATGATTCACCATCACTATGGCAACGAAGGAATGAACGGCCACCAAGCCAAACAAGATACCGAACCCAACCCAGTGTAGCTCCCATGCCAAGCCCCAAATTTTCTTCGCAATTGGCCAATCAGGGCCCGGTTCGGCTACGGCTGCAGTTGTCGGCTGTTGAACGGATTTACTTGTGTACGACATTAGTGATAAAGGTCTGCAAATCAAACATAAGAATGCTCATTTTTTTAATGTGTATTTCCATCGCGGGTGAAGCACGTTCTGAATGGTGTTTGTTTCCTGAGGATGAATTTACTTTCGATAGCGATGTCCATCACGATTACTTCATTTCATTTTCTATTTAACATTGTTTAGAATTTCTCAATTAGAAAGGCAATGTCTGATTTTTTAGATCATTTGGAAACAGTCAAGATACATGGAGAAGAAGGAGGTAAGAGATAGACATGATAGTGGTGCTAATGGAAAATCAATAAAACTACACAAATAAGGCAATAACCACGGAAATGGACACAATTCATAATCCTAGTTTGAATATCGTCCATTACGGGTTAATTAGTATGCATTCTATCTCAGTTTTTTGATGCGTTTCCGCTATTCTTTGATGCGCTCGTTTTTTTCAGTTAACAGGAACTATACAAACAAGACACTGGACGAGAAAATGTTATGCTAATAATGTAAGGTTTTAAACTCGATGCAAATTGACGATAGAAATTAATTGACCATGAGCATATCTCGAATTGCGTTACATTTATGTGAACGAGGCTGGACAAATGTGAATAAGTCTTCAAATGCAGGCCTGTGTTATGCAGATAAGGAAAAATTTTCCGCATACTAATTTGGGCCTCACGAAAAGTGATAAAAATGCCAACTTAGGAAACCGCCCTTATCCTTATCTATCTCACCTCCTTGTTTCCTACTGGTTTTTTCGACTTGAACGCTTTCGAAAGGTCCTCCTCATCAACGATTGATTAAAATAGCGTCTAAGAGCAATATTTATTTGCCAAAAAGGATGAATGACGTCGTGGGCGGAATACATTCACAGCGTTAAAACTTGGGAAACTGTAATTTAGAGTTTGGATTGACATTTTCATTGGTGTCCACGAGGTGAAACTGACTATGTCGGAAATGACTAATGATGAAAACGTAATTATAACACCACAGGTGTCATATATGATCGACGTTTCATGCGCTTTGCCAAAACTACATATTTAAAGTGTGGGTTTGCATTTTGAAGTTAAAAGTTACTTTGTAGAATGCAGCCCAAGAGATATCAACGCCCTTCGTCAGTGTTTGTGCCTGAAAATGTAGGCCAGCTAGAACCACGAGGAAAAGGAACTTTACCGAGATGAACGGCACTTCATTTTTTTTTTCTTCCTCTTCACTCTATTTGCATAAACATAAGATAAGCTCATATCACACACACTCTTGGCTTATAAATCATGTTTTCATGTCTTCAGTTTTCGCTCTCAACTTCTTTCTTTTAAAACCTATGAGCATCTAAAGCATATAATTTCTTAACTTACGGCTCAGTATTGAAGATCATCCATCCAAAATTTTCAATTAATTCGTGCTTGACAAAGAACGTCAGCAACATAACTTTAATTTCCCTTAACAAACAACTCATGTTTCATTCAACAACTACCTCTAACACCGCCGAATGACTCTCGAATGACAAATTTCTGCTTTTGAGACTACCTTCTTTATTTTCAAATCTTATCTGAAAATGATGACTTAATGGAACTTTAACCAATCCCGCGTAAATTTCTAATTTTGTAATGGAATTTTCAGAGTCACTTTTTAATAAAAGAGATGACGAATGTGGAATATCAATTAAGTAGTTCTTACGTTCTCAAGGTGGCTGTCACCGTAAGTTTTTCAATTGTCTAATCAACTTTACAATCACTTCATAAAAATCAACCCACGCTTAGGCTTTCAATAAAGTGTGACAAAAGCTCTAAACAACAAATCCCAAGTTCACTCTTATACCTCAAGCTAGCAAAAATTTTATTGACAAGAAAATTGAAATTAAACTGTGTTTTAAGTTTCGAAAAAAAAAAGAAAATTCAAATCAATTACAGATGTGATACACTATTAATTTTCTTTATTCTTTGTCAGCACGTACGTGTGCTATACTTTATGAATACCTTTAATAATTAATACTTGAAAACTGAGAAAAGGTAGGGGTTTTTTAATTAAAAAGGGATACAAATTCAGAAACCAAACTCATCCGTTTTTCGATTCTTTAGGGAAACATTTTTGAACGGAAGAATATGACATCTAAAATGGAGAAAGACCGTCGGTCTCGTGATCGTTATCAGTGCCAAAAGAGCTATCCTGAAAAATCTGTGTAGAAACTTGTCAAACAAGCTAAAAGAAGCAGGGATCATTAAAAAAGCTTCAAATTAGCTTAAACACCCACTTGAAAAGACCTCAGGGCAGTATTCAGCAGAGTTTGTGAATAAAAAATGAAATAGAATAAGAATTGATTGCATGAGTGTGGGCTGTCCAGATAAAGCTGAATCCGTCGAAGGAAAGTGTTTTGAGATGAAGGCGCAGCGCATGAAAGAATTGACTCTAATAATCGATTAAAAGTGTTATCAGAAATCGATCTGTTTAAATCCTTTTTCTGATAACTCTCATGATGTGTGATTCATTCTGAAAGTAAGACCAATGGTGATCAGGTATCGTTTGAAGATTCAGTTCCATATTTAGAACAAAACCGTTTTCAAAAAAATCATATCTAATTTTCGAACTAATTGTTACTTGATATTGGTATAAAATGCGCATAAGTTCAAAAAGAATCTCGAAAATTGGATGCCTTCATTTTTAAATATTCTGGTATGTTTCAAAACTTCAAGACTTCCTTTTTTTAGTTCAGTAGGTTGAATGAAGTTCGGCTCGGCTCTTAGGCATTGGAGTGGTGCGATCGGTTTCAATCGGCGTTCCCTCGTTGGGCCGAAGTGAGTACATGATATCATATCCTTAATTTAAAATTGAGGAATAAAAGGAAAATTTGATTGGCAAATTTTTTGTTGTTAGTTATCTGAAGTTAGTGCAACTAAATTATCGGAGTTTGAAGTCACTGCCATGCTGCAGTCAAGTAACCTAAGGATCAGATTCATTTCAGTTCGGTATTGGGTAACACGATGTTTGTAAAGGGCTCAAGACTTCAGCCGATAATTCACAGCGGTGATATTACCGTCACCGTGTCGTGGTCCAAGGAATAAAGAGAGGAAATTAGGTGATAACAAGCTATAAAAAATACGATCAACACATACACAGGTTCTCGTGTAATGGAATATTTCCGTATCGTCAGTCTAAGTTTGAAAACGTGCGCTAAATAGGACAAAAAAAGGGCTCTAACACCCAAAGAATATCACACCGCAAAAAAGAATCGATCATTATTTAGATAAATTCTTCTTGTAGCCTTTGTTTCACTTTATAAATGATTCAGAGATTGCTACATTCATAAAACTGTCGGAGTCGGCATTTCGTCAATTTTTGTGCATGCATGATTTCGCTAATTTGCACTCACCAGCAGTGCGGCATACCAAGTCATCTTCATGTTACACTTCTACTCACCTGTTGCAAATCGGTGCGACTGTTGCTTAACCTAAAATGAATATCCAATTGCATGGTTCATGGTATAATTTAAGTCAGTTTTGACTACTTCTTTCAGGAAACGGTTTAAACAGTTTTATTGATAAATCACAGCTGCTGATAGTAACAACTATTTTTGGTGAGAGGAAGCAATCATTCGTCCTCATCATATTGGCGTGGCCGGAGCAGTAATAGATTTATGAACCCCTTATGTATGACGAGTGAGCAGCCTTCCTCAAAAATCAAGATCTTATTTCAGGCAAAATCGCCTTTATAAAATTAACTTGGATAACATGATAAGGAAAATGGCCAAAGATAGTCTGTTCACCACAGGAAAATACCATCCGGTGTCGTCAAAAACCCACGCGAACAAATATAAACTTGTCTTCATCACAATGACGCGATAAATCATGTTTGTATAAACTTGGTTTATCGCTGAAAACTTGTCAAAAAAGGCTAATACACCTTTGATAAGTATTTTTTTTAGATACTGATCTAAATCTGAACTGGGATTTAACACGCAAAAAAAAGCCAACGTTAGGGTTCGCCAATTTTAATATAATAGTTTCTCGGCTTTGAGGTTGTCCAAATACAAAACATCTAACGTTTATTTTTCTCTCTGAATGATGCTGATGTCTCTTTCGCGTCATTGGTTCAAGCTTGAATAAAGTTCTTTTCATCTACACTATATTTCGTTTTAAAAACTGACGTGATCTAATCCTGCATCCTAAACTTCGTTGCGTTTTTGCTCTTACCGAGAAGAACAGGATCAGCATGGCCAAGTTGTTTCTTTGATCCGAATTCCTTTTTTTCAGTCGCACTTAATAACAGTGAGTAACATTTAGCTTACATTTGATACAAGGACTGAACACGAGGTAAGTATTGACATCTTCCGAAGTAACTTGAAGAAATGTTATGTTATACGGATTGATAACACTTACTACTGTATTCAAGTTAGTTTCTTCGAAAGGAGCTCGTTGATTTAAGGAACGAAATTAGGTGGGAAAAGAGAATGTGTTCTTTGTAAAACAGAAAAGAATCGACTTAAGGATGCAAGAGCCCAAGAGAGCTCCAATCTCGACCTCCTCTGAACTTGGCATTCGATACTTATCGTGCGATCAATTTCTTTCTTCCGGATAAAGCCTAGCCTTTGGTGTGGTCGTGAACATCACTTAATTACAACAGGACAACTCTCTGATATATCAGGAGATGAATCATCGAAACGAAAAAGACAAAAGAGTTTGGATAAAACTTTGTAGACTCAGTTAAGGCTGATGAATAAAGGGGTAAGTTTCTAAAGAAACTGTGGTGCTGCGTCGGTGTGAGAGTAAAGCAGGTAATTTAGTGTTAACAACTGGGTTGAAAACGTAAATTAGCCACCGTAAAGGATAAAAAAAGCTGACGTTTCGAGCGTTAGCCCTTCGTCAGAGCGAAGATCATCGCTTTGACGAAGGGCTAACGCTCGAAACGTCAGCTTTTTTACCCTATACGGTGGCTAATTTACGTTTTCAACCCAGTTGTTAACACTAAATTATCAGTTACGGCTGCTGGACGATGAAAACTAAAAACGAGTGTATTTAGTC